TAGTTTTTTGAATTTCTGGGCCCGAAAGCATTCACATCTGCAGTTAAGACTGTCATTATCTAAGAGATTAAACAGTAGGTATTAGTATAAATATTACTTATAAACTTATTCTTATTATATTTTTCTTTGTTCTCTTCTGGTAGACAGAAGAAGTCCTTAGACTGCTCTAGAATATCTATTTATAACTCAGATAGAATAGTATGACTACAGGATTAGAAGAATCCAAGGTCTTTACAAGTATAACAGATTTTTTTTAAATATTATTAGTATCTACAGCTGCCTTTATAGAAGGCTGTAGGAATAATAAATTCATGTTATTAAATATTTATATTTTATCTATCTACAAATAAAATTAATAATAGGGAGTAGCAGCACTTTTAGTTCTAATTAAATAAAATAATAAAGCTCATATAAATAGAGCTATATTTAATAAACCAGTCTAGTTACTAATAAAAAAGCATTGCGCCTGTGAAGAGTAGTTAATTACAATTAATATTTATTAAGACAGAGCAGGAGCTGATAATTATTAATATTAGAAAAGACTTAGACAATCCTGCAATATAGCCTATACTTCTAGAATAATTCTATTCATAAACTAGGCGCCATGTATTGAACTTATATCAGCATAATTCTTTTGACATACATTCAATGTATTGAAATACTGAGTAGTATATGTCACGGAACAGAAAGAAATTTGCGTGCAGTATTAGACAAGCCTGTAGCAACCATGTGTTGGTCTACTAGAATATGTACAGTATTTTGATAATATATTAAAAGCTAGTGTCCGGCTGAGAGAAGAGTTATGTATATAATTTCTTCTCTATTTAATTTTCTTGAGGAAGCAGCTTGTTTCTTACTTTATACTTAAGTATACCCATCAGCTCTGCTGTTAAATATTCAGTATACATTATATAGTAAATATATAGATATCTTCCATCTTGTAATATCTACTTCTTATTATTCTAAATCTATAATCTAACTTTAAATATCTTCTCAGTGTATGCATAACTCCTATCTCTATTGCATCCAGAGCGGAGATCTTTATATATAAAAGGCAGATCCGTCTTGCTTTTACAGGTGTCTGTATTATATAGAGTTTGTTAGATAGTTTCCCTGATAGACTTGTGGGACTGGGAAATCAAGGCCTGTTTCAATGATATATGGTACTTCAGAGTCTGGGTCGCTATAATTAATAATAAGTAGTTGGCAAGGGCCATGGATCCCCGGAATCTCTTTTAAAACACGGTTAGCCAAGTGATATGATACAGTACAGATACAATACTGATCATAGACATAAAATATATGGCAGACTGATAATCTTATTAGTATTTACTGCAAAGAAAGTAGCCTGGTGGTAGATTAATATACTAAATACTAAGATACTAGAGATAATCTTTCTTTCTAAGTATTAATTTACTGAATAGAATATACTTACAGTCTATTAATTACAGCTTGATATTATAAGAAGCGCGGAAACATGTAGTATAAAGACCAAGTCCTGTAGCTATAAGTAATATAGTATTAGAAATCTAAGCTGAAATATATCTATTATTAATATTATCTATTGCTTTCCACGAATATAAATTTCAGATTTATAATATTTCCAGTATTCTGCTATAGTAGTTTAAATTCTTATAACTCTTAAATATAGTCTAGTAAATTATGATATCAGCTGCCGGATAACTAATCTTCTAATATAGTAATTAACTATAGAGAATGAGTATCAGATACAGTAAATATCTTATATTTTTATATAATTCCTTTAAATTATGTCTTGCCTGCTTCCGACTTAGACCGATAGAGGAAAACTGTAGGGGGAGTTAAGAATATCCAATTTATTATATTACAGATATATACTTATTAAATACTGAAATAGAGTATTTTTTACAGTCTATTTTATAAGCAGCTTATTTCTCTTATTATATACCAAAGAATAAACTTGGGAGCTTACTTTACATACATGCTATATATCTTGATATAATTCTACTAACGGACATGCAGAATGCTGAGCCCAAAGAAAAAGAAAGAAAACTCAGGTCTATTCCAGAGTCACTGATATCCCGAGCCATGCTACTGCGCCGACAATTTTCGCATGTCTAATATATTTTAATACATAAAAGCTAGCCAGTAGTATTATTAATAACTCTTGCCTGCAGGCCACAGAGATTCTTCTAAGACTGTTATATACAGTTTATATCCATGAACTATTAATAATAATGGCACACTGTAATCCCAACTAAGAATAATTAAAATATTTACTAATTAATCTTATTTACCTGCCTCTTCAATCCCTTAGTATATTATGTACTGAGAAGCACATTGTAAGGTAACATACTTTTATAAAGACTATATATTAAGTCCGCAAGATAAAAAGACTGAGACTTTAACCAGAATATAATTAAATAAATCAATTAGTAATAAAAGATAGCCTAAACCATTTATTAAATTACTATTACATGGAGGTTGGGAGTCTCAGTATCATGATAATAACATAAACCTTGCTGTGTGTTCACACTACTAAGATAGAAATACTCCCGTATGCTTCCCAGAGGTTGGCCGGCGTTACCATGGGCAGTACTATATAATTAAATTAATCAGGTTTTATCATCTTCTTATTTACCTTACTGCAATCTATAGTCTTTATCCAGTCATTGCTTGGCATTGAAAGTATCAAAATCAAGATATATTTATAACTAGAAGTTCTGTAGCTATTAATTATCTCGAATACTACCACTTCTAGTTAATATATTATTCACAAAAGCTCTCCATCGCGAGTTCTGCTTTAAAATAACTCATAAGACCAGATCTATATATTCACTGTAAATAATATTATTTCTTGAACTTGTTTACTATCTTTACCCTCCATTTCGGTTATATATTTAGTATAGCTGATTGTGTTCCGTATTGCTTCTTCTACTTAATATATTAGGTACAAGTAAAACATAGAGTATTATTCCTATATTTCTTTTGATTAGTTTATTTCTTTTTCTCTGTATTTTCTGACTTGATGTCTTTCAGAATCTTAAGCTCATGATTAGTCTAATAAATATTATTCCACATGCCTTGGAAGTCCAGCAGAAAGATACTTATATTTTTATTAAGCATGGAGATCACCCCGACTCTTACTCTGACTATTTCCAGGCAGTCCGTCGCAACTCTGGTCTCCGCAAGCACAATACTAATGAGAGGCAATTCCGTGATTTTATAGACTATAATATGAATTTCATTTAATAAAGTGTATTAACAGTATATCTATGGATATATACAGGAGAGAAGCTCTTTATTTATAATTATTAAGAATAATATAGTATCTTCTCTAATATAGTATCTATCCTATTATACTACCGCGAGAGGCTCTAATACTAATAATTATTAATCTCTTAATCTGGCCCGCCATGGCTGGATCCACATGTATAAACAAGCATACATGCCGGGAGCCACCTTGTAAGTGGAGGCATTATGATAATATTTTTAGTATAAACAGAAGTCTTGCTAAGTAGACTTGAAACTTCCGTGCTAAAGTAATCCTCACGAACCGCGAACACCGCCATCATAGACTGAAATCAGCATAATAAACACCATGGGAAGCCACAGGCTTTGTAGAGTTATACTTTATCCACATTACCGCCCCGCTTTTATTAGATAATCAGTATTTCTCCAATAGAGGTATGATCCCAGCATTACTACTATAACCCATGGGTCCATCTACTACTGTAACCTATAATAACTCTGGTCGCTGGCTGCCCAAGAGCAAAACGCCAGTTGTGCTATATGATAGCTTAGTGATCTTGTTAGTTTGGGGTGTAGCACGCGCAACAACCCCCTCTTACCGTCTTATACACCACGAGTAGTATTATGGACGATGATCCGGAAGCGGCAATATTCCAATTTGCATCAACTACTGTCCCGTACGGTCGCGTGTTGTCTAGATTCTGTCAGTTGCAGAAATACGCTAGATTTAATCCGCTGTTGCAGTAAACTTGCGGTTAGTAGGCCGTATAGCTTTTTCCTGTATGTTTACTGCGCACGTTCGAGAAATGGAGAAAACGGACAACAATTTTCACTTCTTCCAGATTGTCGATGGCCGTCTCTGTTACTTACACGAAGAATTTCGTGAGAATATTTTGATCAAGCCAGCTCGGCTCGAGGTTGCGATAGAGAGCGGAAGGATGCATGAGAGTGTGTGGCAAGATATGTCTGGCCCGCATAACTCGAGCTAGGATGGAATGAAACCTCGCTGTTGCTGCGATGTAGCATATGCTTTTCCGGTAAGACGCACAGCGTGACCCGCCCTCACTGCGAAAAGCTCGTTCCCAGACTTACGCGGCGTATCCGGTGTTTATGAATGCCAAGTGTGGCGGCCTTCGGGCGAATAGCCGCCGAAACCGTTGCTTTCGGCATCTGACAGATTTTGTAACACGAATAGCAGCATCAACCACTCCAAATTTTATCGGGTCTAATTTATAAGCGGGTATGCACGTAAAACCCAACACGGCGCACAGAACAAGTCAAGGATAAACTCTGCTGCGTAAATGCTGAGCGCTTGCGGAAAAGTGTAGCGCTTGGATCTTAAGAGTAGAGAGCCGACGAAGAACATTGTTGGGGTCGTGTAACTCCTACAACGCAGACGACATTGCCGATGAGGAAACAATTAGAATATTCTCGAAGATAATATATGAAGGGAGTTGAAAAGGCAATCAAGGATACAAAGGAGACAGGTTATTATTTCTCAAGGACTCCGTATCATTTCTTACACAAAGGAGGGCCCTCCCCCCCCCCCGATTGATGCAAGCAAATCCCCAATATAAGGCATGCCGCTTGAGCAGTGTATGTGACCAAGCGTATTTCATGCCACGCACCAGATGTCCAATAGCTTGAAAGCTAACTGAGAAAGAAAATATAATCTTTTGTTTCAGGATAAAGTGAGGCTCAGTCGAAACAAAATACTTGTGGGTGATAAAAGAAAACAAAGAGTGTTGTAAATTCGTGGGTGGGCAGGATTAGTAGCTTAATTTGATCTTGAGGACTGGACTGAGATTTCCTGGTCTTGTAGCTGCGGCCTTCTCAAATGACAATGTCTCGGACACTTTGACAACCATATCCTGGCCGTCAGGAAGCTCGCGCACATCGTTATTAACTATTAGTTTGAGGCTATTTTGCTTGACGTGGAGGACTTGCATTATACGTTGGGGATTGATGCGTTGTTTCATGGAAATCTTCTCCACTAGATCGCGAATTGTCTGCTCAGTCAGATAGACGGCCCTGTAATAGCCATCTGAAAGCCGATCGTTACAAGGAAATTGTATGTATAAATAAGCGACTAAAACGATGTCAGTTCGCCTGTCTTTGATGTTACCAAACCAATAACTTACTTGAAACTATTGGTCGCTTCGCCGGTAGATGATAGGTTGGGTCGATATCTACCGCCTCTATTTATCCCATTTTGGCGCTACTAGTGGCTGAAGTGACTTTTGGTACTTTTATGGGATGCTTTAACGTGACCTTGCTGTCCAGATCATGACAGTGAATCCTCTTGGGCGGTGGCCAATGACCCATGGTACCCTGAGCCATAAAACATACTCGACTGTATATTGGTCGGAAGGCATGGCAAGCTCATGGAGATGCTACTGCTAGTAGGTGAAATGGTGTGCAGAGGTGTATAATCAAGACTGGAGTGGAGCCTGCTACTGTCCTCTTGTTTGATGAACTCACGCGACTTGAACAGCATGACAGGGTACAAGTCCGGGTTGTCTTGCTCTTTATCCCGCAAACCCAGGATGCTTACCGACCGCGTTGATGTGAATATATCTTGCATTAAAGGCAAGCTTTGCATGGAGATTGTCTTTTGAAAGCATCTTGCCAGGGTTGTTCTGCGAGCCCGCGGACCATGTCCGTGTATGCTTAGTAATTTTGGCTGGGCGGGGATCCGCGTTCTTGCGCGCCACCGAGCCATTACCATGCTTATGCTTGCTGTAGTTACCGACGCCCATTGCAGCTTGGGAAATCTGTTGTCGAAGCTTTTTGATGGTCTTCTTGACATGAGTGATATTGTTAGAGGGCTTTTGCTCAGCCCCATGGTTATGGAAAAGCTTGACCTTGCAGTAGTACACCTCCGCTTTCCTGTCCGAGGCCGAGCTCGCATCAGCCGGGGAGAGGATTTCTGTCTTTGTATATAATTTTACTGTAATACCCTTAACACCCTTGGAGCGACTAAAATCTGTAGACAGGAAGTTGAACCGGACAGGTATTAAATATTCTGAAGTACTGGTTGACAGGTTAAGAGTCCATGTAATGCAGAATCTATTGAATGCTGAGCTCCTGAGCTGAACCTGCCGGTTCTTTGTGTCTTTGATACCGCTCTGTATGGGATTGATGTACTCCACTGCTTAGAGCTTGCTGCCTCGTCCATGCGCTTCATTGGATTCCTGATTTTCTTTCTAAAGGTGCTAATAAGTAGCTGGCTTTACCCTCTGCTCTTCTTCTTGGAATGATAAATGAATGTAGGTATGATATTTGATCGATTGTGTAGTCATGGGTGGCGGTGTAGAATCAATCACGGACACCGAGTACGCCTGGTCTTTGTTGAGGTAGGTAACTGAGATCTCGGCTCGGTCATTGATCATTGCTGTAGGTGCGCGCAAAGTGACACGATAGCAAAGACTGCAGTGTCCAGAATAGTTAACCGCTGTTATAACAATCAGATACGTTTTCAGAGCTCACGGTTCACATGGCTTCGAAATGCTCGCTTGATCGTCTTGAATTGATGATGCAACATTGTGAGAAGGCGTGTTACCCTGCACATCAATATTAATAAGAGGGAATTCTTCAGCATGTTCGCTCATGGCATCGTAACCTGCATCACTCTGAACGAGATCATTGGACGCCAAGGTTGGCTGCTGAGTAAATGGCTGGGGGCAATGGAAGTGTGGGGGAATATATTGCTGGTTGAAGTGACCAAGACCGGAGGCTGCAGTTTCGGGGTTGACGGGAGCTGCAGGAGTCTGCTGCGAGAGAGAAAGTGGAGTCATCATGCTCAGACCTGTGACAGGGGTATGCAAATCTCCCGCCTGACTATGGTACACGGCACCCAGTCCACCTGAATTGGACGTCGAGCATCTTTGTGGTTGTAGCGGGATTGCATAAAAGACAGTATTTGGATCGGTATAGGGCGCTGTAAACCGCATGTCTTTTGTAGCACGGGGCGTAGGATCATTGAGCTTCAGATCGTTAGTAACTTTCAGCCTGGAGCAGTAATATCAAATTAGCTATCAGCCCAAAATGTATATTTAGAGCAGAATTTCTGATGAAAATGGATGGAAAACGGACGATCAGTAGAGGCAGATTATCAACTGCAGAAAGGCATGTTTACCTAGGTGGAGTGATAGGCCCGATGGGCGTCCGACCGAAGCGCGTGGCACTGCGGTGGATGACTGGGGAAATAATATCTGAGAAGGACTTTCGGAATCTTTAAATGAGCCTGTTGTCTGGCTTCTGGGAATTCTTTCTGCAAGGGTGATATCCCAATCAGTGTAAGAATGGCCGGCGAATCGTCGGCATCTGGAATGTCAACCGTACCTGTTGCAGAACATCGTTAACGGGTCGGAGGTAATAAAAACTACTTATTCCGTTCTGTTGTTCGTCGGGTACTAGATGACCTGTAAAGAAACACGAATCCAGGAGAAGACGGGAAGGCGCTAGAGGAAAAATGCGGCGTTCGGATCGCCAAGCGCTACCTGATCCGGAACCTCGAAGCTATCCCGGGGCCGAGGGTAGTGCTCGTATGTATAGGTCTAGTTAAGCGAGGAGAGGGGTCAAGCGAGCCCGATATATAGTAATAGTATGTCCTAATACATCCCTATAGGACGGGATGGATACGCGGCTGTACTTGACGGTTTCGGTATCATACCACGAACCACTACAACAGAGAACTGCTGAGTACTACTACGACGCCCACTACGACTACCAGGTAGCGAGCATAATAGTGAAACAACCGACCATCTCTTTCGTGTTTTATATCATTCCGATTGCTTGAGATTCTACAGGTCGTCGGCACTTCAGACGTCCGGATATCCGTCTTCCCTTCTCTCCTTCGCTCGGATATCCTGCCTGGCAGGCCAAGTGGATTTGTACGCAGCCTGGCTCCTAGTAGTAGCCCTCAAGAATACAAATACTAGATAGTACACGGATACGTTGAAGCCTTATGCGCCTTTCATTCAAGACCGAAGCAACCCGCAATACGGTGTCAGTCCAAAGGACTGTGGAACCGCGGCCTGACAACTCCTAGGAACTTAACACATAGCTCTCTGCAACTGTCAAATCCCGAGAAGCTGATGTCCTTTTCCCGGGGATTTTGGATCAACATTTTGGATCAAGTTACCAGGCTGGATTCGTTACCCTTTGACGTCATCAAAAGGGTTCATGCCGAATAGACTCTAGTCCTTCTTTGCTCATAATCGAATTAACGCGCGGAGAGAGAGACCCACGGATACTCGGTATTGGATACCCATGGGTACTTCAGCCTAGAAGAAAAATGGTGACGTAGTTCAAAGTCCGCCTCGCACCCGCTTCGCTAGAAGCAACTCAAACATCTACCATGCCATCATTCATAGCAACGTCGGTTGTTTGAATTTCTTCACGGACAGGAGTTTTATGACTGCAATTTCAACACGGTAATGTGCGCTATGCTCACAAGCCCATATTCTCTTCATACAATAGGGAACTTCTCGCCTAATGCCGGCTCCTTTGTTCATCAACCGCAATTCCAGTAGTGATGTGGCTTGCGGCACTTGGCAAGCCACGAGTGGCCAGACCCGAGCGGAGGGAGCAGCAAGGCTTGTACTCGGGAGAAACGAGCCTCCAAGCGGCGCATCTTAATTTGCAGATCCGAGACGAAGCTTGTGGAGTTAAGCAGAACCAGAGGTACGAAGACTTGTAGTGCTGTAAGCGCGGGCTCTAACTTGAAGTGCACACTCAAAGTAAGCCTGGTTGTTTCATGGTTGCGATCAGCTGTCGGCTGCTTCTGATAGGTGCAGTTCCCTCACGAGCCAGTGGAGTGGATTCCTATGTCAACATGTCGCCTCCATGCCAGAGTTACCCAATTTTCTCCTGAAAAACCTATCTTGGCGGGTGCCTTCCGTTTTATGTTCTCGGCCACGATATTCCCTCACGTGTGATGGCGCGCAGTCGATAGAAGAGCATAGCTGATCAATCTTACTGCGGGTGCTCAGCCAAGCGTCTTGGACTTATTCGACTCCCCGCGTCGTTTGTTGATAAAAACACATTAATAGCCGTGCTCTGCACCCAGAGCAGTTGTCTAGATCGTATAAATGTATATATTGACTAGCGCCCCGTGCACCCTTCCCCACATCGCAGCAGCATCTTTTCTACGTACATCAACTATTCATAACTACGTTCACAATTGATCCACTCCGCCTGCGCCCCGGCCCTCAATAACAGACCTGATAATGTCCGCCGATTCGAACCACTATGGCACCGTCTCGGGCCCACCAGCCATCACCGAGGATCCCAGGCCATGTTTTGTTCCCATATCTGTAAACGACACCATCTATCAGGACTACCTGTCGCTGCCTCTTATCGAGAACAACGACCCATGGCTGCTTGATTCCTTCTCGCCACCCATGTCTTGGGCCGTTGGTCCCGCCGCCCTTACCGACTCCACCGCTAGCTTGGAGGCTAGCTTCATTGCTCCCTACCATCTCCGCGATCATCAGCGGGTAAGCCCCACCGCGCGGACATTTCACTTTTGGTGCAGCGGTCATACGCCAATACGCGAGATTACGGAGTTCCAAGCAGGACCAGGGGATGACATTAGGTGCCACTTCCGGCTTTACGGGAGGAGGCATTGGCAGAGGTGCGAGAAGACACGGAGAAATCGCCGATTTGGATCGACCCCAGAAAGGCCGTCCATGGTGCCTGTATATGTTTGCTTGAGCTTGGAATTACTCGGCTAAGGGAAAAATGATTCGGCTGCGCAATTCGGGCCAGTCCACCCATTTTTCCGATTCCCAAGCCGTATATATTTTGCAGCCGGGTCAAAGGAAAAAAGCTTGACATTATAGGCTGGCACATAAGCTGGCATGAACCACATAACATGGGGAAAGACTGCCGCGGGCCCGCTGACAGGCGCCGCGATGGAAAGAAATGGCGTCCAAAATATATTGCGCTTCCCTAAGAATCAGCTTTGATACCATTCGCCCCATGCACAGATTTAGAAAAGAGACCCATGTGCTTCTTCCTCATGCTACGCCATCGCTGCCTGCGCACTTCCGTTCCGCTAGATGTGTATCGAGTTCATCCACCCGCCCTATTGCCACCAGCCTCAACACATACGGCGGTTAATAGCGGCCATCGGGCAAAAACGATTTTAATGGCTGCCGTAATAACACCGCCCTAGCGTTCCGAAGAGTCCGCTACATCTCCGCCCGCCGCGTTCGACACCACGTCCCAAGAGCAGTCCAGAACAGCACCTCCTCCAAATTCGGATCTCAATTCACCGCATACTGTGGATGCATTCCCTGCACCATGTGTACCTGATGCCACCCACATAAACCCTCCGTATCTGCCCCGATTGCGCCCCCGCTACCGAGGAGTTGGGAGATTTTGTTCTGTGCGGTGATTGAGAGTGTACTGTGCTGTCGAAACCCCAGAATTTCTCTTTCTCTCGTTCGCACTTCCAACAGGAGCTGCACACAGATCTCTTCGTCAATTGTAATCTGTTTGCAGAGGGAGTATCCGATATAGACTGTGGCTGCGATGGCAGTAGGCTAGTTGGCATCGTTGGTGTGGTGGTTTGATTCCCAACTTGGCAACCGGTGTCCCCATTTTTGTTCGGTAATTCCTGTGCCTCATAGATACAGGCTGGGTGTATGGTAGGATCGAAACCCCATTCGAGCTCTGCCATGCAGCCAATTAGTACGGTACGTAACTTCGGACTCGATGGTTGTTGTCTAGACGTATTCCTTAAAAAAGCTGTCCAGAAACTTTTATATGCTCCTCCGGTACCGCAGTACAAGATGTTCATACATCGACGCAGCGAGGTGTAATCACAACTTAACCCTGATCTTCTGGCCCTCACTGAAGTTAGTAATGTACTACGATTCTGATTGAGTCGCCTCCAGGTTGTGGGACGTTCTAGACGTAAGCCATCGATGTCAGCCTTGCGTACCGGTCTCATAACGTGTGGACTGCTGCCACAGGGGTTGCTGCTGCCGCCGCTAATCAGTGCAGCGGATCTGCGCACACTCCTAGCCTGCCCACCCCTAGCCTGCTCGCCAGACTAACTTCACAACGGCATATTTTACCAGCCAATGATAGTAGATATCTAACATTATCATCAGAGTCAAGCTGCAAATGAGGGGAGTGGAAAAGTAGAGGTCCTCCATCACCAGCTGCCACCCGTCGCGTAACAGTAGTCGCATATTTGTGGTGAGGTCATATTGAACCTCTCGATCCGGAAAGATCCAGCGAGCAGGTTTTGATGGCATGGAATACATGAAAGGTCACGGTAAAGGCAACAGGTTGAGGTAATTTGTTGGAGCGGGAATGGGAAAGTGGTTAGCAAAGTGAGAATCATTGGCTTCAAAGACGCAAGCCTTATCATCCCCGTTACATGTTCCTCTTGCTGATCATGCTTCTGATTCCACTAACTCAGTACGATACTATAACATACCGGGTTTCACGATTAAGGTTCACTGAATAGTGTCATTTCCTGTTTCTCCAGTAGCGGTTATCATTCTTCGAAGCCTTTTGAGATGCCTGACGGGTAGGCGACCTTCTTCCTGCTTCATGTTACGTTGCCTGTCACTCTGCCCGCAGGCCATCTTGTACATAGACCGCTGACTAAGGGAACAATAGCGGATTTCGGGCACTTTGGAACACTATTCCAATCCTACTGTTCAATTCTTTGCTTGTTCTTCGAAACACAGGCTCAGCGTCCTCCTAGCATACTGACACACCACTTAGTCTGAGCTGTGAGCAAGATGGTTCGTTCGCAGGCGAAAGGCCTCAGGGCCCTTGCTCCAGCGCCCATTACGAAGCCTTCCCGAGTGACAGAGGTGGATGTCAAGCCAACTAAGAGGAGGTCAAATGCCTGTGAGGCTTGTAAGAAGAGAAAGACCAGGGTAAGTGTGAATGACTCATTTCAGACAGCACATGGCTGATATGTACTTATAAGTGCCATGGTAATCATCCATGCGATAAATTCGCACAATCAGGTACAGAATGCCTGTTTGTCGGAGGCGTCGATAGACGAAAAAAGCTTGCGTTGCACGATACTGAGCAGGAGCTCAATGCGATCCGATCGCTTCTAGATCAGTTGGTGGCCGCTTTCAACAATGGTAACGATACAGATTTTCAGCGGCTTATCAACATAACAAGAAGCAAGTCGAAGACTAAGAAAGATACCAAGCTGCATAAGTGGTGCAGCCTCCAGGTATACAATAAGACTCCATCAATAACTATACGCATGGTGCTAAATGTTGCATGAGGACCTGGAATCACAACTTAGCTTCTACGAGCAGCTAACCCATAATTTGTCGGCGACATTCGGTACCGATGTTTCCAACTATATTGCAGATTCGTCGAAGTTGAATACGTCTCTTACTTGATTTCAATCGGCTTACCACCAACATTAGCTACTGTACTACACTCCGCTATTTGGATCACAGTCCTCAGTGAACTAAACGTCTTGTCAGTAAAACTTCTGGTGAAATTGCTAGCTTAGGTAATGTCGCAAGGGGAATGAGTACGACAGGAATATTGGTACATCTCATTTTGTAAGGCAGAAGTCCTGTAATCTAATTCAGAGTATATCTCGACCACACAGGCAACCCAGGTCAATACGAGTTCAAGTCCAGGGAGCAAAGTTCATCTTTAAGGCGATCCGTTACTACCTGTGATTCAGACGCTGACCTCTAGCCCCAACTGTACCGTCGACTCGCCATCTTATCGGCTTCTCGCTGTTCACCGTGCCATCGCGTGCATTATAAAAATCAGCGGTGTGGGGAGTTACATGGTGATTATCCTTCGTGATATAGAGGAAATAAATGCATAAGCAGACGGCTCAACTAACTTAGGACTTATGAATTCTCAGCTCAGTGGCTGGTCAGGTACATTGACTGTCAGCTGAGTCTTGCATCGCATTCTTGTTGGTCGCTTCCCCGTTTGAGTTCACTAAGACCACGGTCGTTAGCAATGACAGTGAAATTGACTAGATCGTAATTTGTGTCAGAGGAGGTCATCGAAGAATCAATTTTCAGTTCATCACGCGGTCAGCGGTCCTGTAGCTACCGTATCCTGTTTAAAGTCCGCTAAGTGTCAGGCCAGCATTTCGAAAACGCCCTTCTGCACTTGATTTCCTCGTGCCCACGGTATTAGCGCACCAGTCAAGAAAATAACCGGATTCCTGTTCAGAATTTCGTCATGAGTTTGCCAGTGCCGCCTTGCGATCGCCTTTAGCTCTAAGAAGAATTCTTTGATTGGATCTAAATCCGGGGAAATGGGGGTAGATATACTATCTTGGCACCTGCTTGCGAGCACATCCCCTCTATCCTCTCTGAGCGATGGAAGGGATGCATTGTCTACTACAATCACTAGTTTCGGTTCTGGCCATCTTCCACAGTGTTGAAGCAGTGCCTCCATAAAATCCTCAAACACCAAGGCGTCAGTTGAGCCTCGAAAATGCGAGAAAACATAATTCCAGCTTGAGAATATGCCGGAAGGATTTGATACCGCTGATCGCGGTGGAACCTAGCCACTTGTATAGGCGCTAAGACAAGAGAAGACCAGCCTGTCTTCCTGAAGCTATCCTCTTATCACATCCTAATTCATCGACGAGCAAAAGATGGTGGGAGGAGAACTCTAATATATGCTGAACATAACTGTCCCGCAAAGCTGCATTACGCTCATTCGCTTTTTGCTTGGCAGTCTTATTGGACCAGCCTTCGCGTTTGAGAGCACAACGGATGTGGCACGTTTTAACTTGTACGTGGAACTCAACACACAGAAATATGGCCATTTTTTCAAGGTATAAGTAGCGCTTTTTCAAGATAATATCACAGAGCTTTAACCATCTCTGGCGTCCACTTGAGTCCGTCACATGATGAAGCATCAATTGTTTCAATCAATCTTGGAACTCGCCCAGAAGCTCCGACATCCGGAAGAATGACTCTAGTCGAACTACCGCCCAGCAGCATACCAGATGGTATACTCCACTTCAAGAGCGGATTTGGCAATTGAGGAACCCTACTCTGCGTTGTAATTGACTGGAATGGAGATAATCATATGAAGGGTCTGGACCCAGAGTGAGGACATCAGGCAAAGTCAATCGCAAGGAAAGCCGACTGCTCAGCATGGTTCGCGTAAAAGTGCGTCTTCCACCATCGCGTCGTCAATAAAGCAAAGACATCTAGTATACTGGGATCAGACCCAATTGATCGGTGATCCTGGTTGCACGAACAGAGTACTGGCTTCAACAAGTGTTGCTACCGCTGTTCATCTTACAAGGTGTCTCGCAACGAAAACGGACTTTTTTTTCTCTGGCATTTCGAAAGCCGCGCACGGGTCATCTCCAGGGCCATGGTTCTCCCCAGCGCTAGCGCAATCTGATGGTTGATCAATATGGTCCCCAGTCGATCATGTCTTGCAGAACAGTTGGTTGGTCTTTCCTTGTGCGGGATAGAGAGAGAGAACCGGAGAGATCGTAGGTTCATGACTGTAGATTCTGGACGCTGCATCAATAGCTGTTTCCCTCGTCCAGATTGCCGACAACGGAATGGTTCCGTCGAGAGTTCCAGAATTAACTGCTCATCTACGCGAGGTGTGGGAGTTGCCGCTCTCGATTCAGCACAATCATATATACTCTAGGAGAAAGCAGAGGAGGCGGAGGGCTGGGGGGTATACGTGCAGGCTCACTCAAAAGCTTGACTACGAAGAGTCTTCCTTCAATGACGCCTCTAAAGGACACCCGTATTTCCGATTGAGAAGCCTAACATTAGCTGGCTAAGTTCGACTTGCTTTTCTGGACCCGGACGTGTGAGACACACTCATGCTCTATTAGCTTGTAGGCGGGCAACAACGTAACCTAAGTTTCCAGCGCTGTTGCGAAGCGCAATCAATTGCCATGGGATAGGTCCGCGCGTTCTACAAAAGGTCTACCTATCCCAGCATTACCCGATCCTACCGCTAAAGCAGAGGCAATGCTCCGTGTCGAAAGTGGCCTTAGCCAGCTTTTAGTGAGAGCAGATGTGCACTGCGTGACACAGATTATATTATGGTTGTCGATCGGTATACTTGTGCGCATCTCAGAAGATAATCAATTACTATGGCAGAGCAACTACAACTGGAAAAGCTGTGCGAAGTTACCAGAGTCGGGTACCATAACATGATCGTTGCTAAATGCAGCCCCTCCATTCTCCTGAGTAGGCCACATGTCCGGTACCGCTGTCGTTGCCGGTAAGGCAGTAGTCAAGGCGGCCGGATCCACACGTTCTGGTAAACCAGCAAGCAGGGCTCCGAAGCCGCTGGTGCCAACCTGTAACGGTATGCTGCATTCCATCCACCGGTTGTTTAGTCGCCTGCTGTTCAGAGAACTCTCGCTCCGTCCTGAAGGTGAAGATGTTGATCACTAACGTATGGTAACGCATCCTGCTCCGATCAGCAACTTGTATTATCACTATAACCTGTTGCAAGCGCCGCCGCTGCAGACAGCCGGAGATGTCTAGCCAACGCTGAAGCAGGTCACTCACCTCAGCAAGATGATATAGGGTGGTGGGCTATGATACTGGTCGAAGATAACAGGCAGTCTACTATACCAGCCACGGAGCCTTCCATACAGGGATTCTTGGATCCGGTGTAAGTACTCAAGAGAAGTTGCATTGGCATCGATCCCGAAAAGTCGCTGCGATACCTCTTGTGCAATTTAACACAGGTTGTATACCTCGTTAAAATATTGACTCACACAGGACGGCCGGGCAAACCGATGAGAAGGATAAGGGTACCATAGGCTCGAATCTTCGGAGTTGCACCTATTTGGCCGTTCAACATTGACTTTGTCGATGAGGCTAGGACGTAGGAAATCGGCATGCGCGACTCTGTCAAACACGTTAAATGAGCAACTGTTTTGTCTCTTAAAATAAGCTGGTTTGGGACAACTCACGCGTCAGTGTGGAACAGGCCCCAGGCCGTTCGCTTAATCGAGATATCCATATCGTCCGAGATCTGTCCTGGACTCAAGCTAACTTTTCTGGGGCCGAACAGGCCTAGAGACCCGCCGGTCCAGATCGCTTGATGAAGCATTCGATAGCCGAGATCATCTTCGCCGGATATAGAATATCTTTATCAGTGATCAGTTGAGATGCATATTAACTAGAACTGTTCAATTACAGGACATCATCGCACCTTTCATATAACAACACCGTGCCCTGCAGGTTAGCCAGGCTGGGCTCAATGGGTTCTTCCTCCCTTAAACGCTCCGCCTCGGCAAGGAAATCGGTCCCTTGCGTCACTATGTCGCCTGGTTCGACATAGGTTTCAGAGTATTCCGAGAGAAGCTGTACATGTATATTAGCTGATTTTCACTGACTCTCCACAAGAGACCAGTATACACAACCAGTTGGATGACAGATGTAATTCATGAGCAAGAGATCAGAAGACCTACGCATGCGTTCGTGAGCAGAGCATTCACAAGGAATGGACTACAAAACTCCGACTTGAGGTTTCCCTTTCTCATATGCTTGAGAAAAACGCCTCGGTCAAGGAAAGCATGAAAGGGATAGTCCCAGGTAAAGTAGAGCGACACCAGATGAGAGACGAGGTCTGCATCGTTGGTTACAGTGGTCCAGGGCTTCGCGGGGACCTTGTAAGGCACTTCGTTACATACATAGTGGATATCCATAACATTGGGACGAAATGACAGCCCAGCTCCTTCGACATCGATCACCCGTCTAACCTGCTTTAGCTGCTTGCCTGACGCATTACTCACCATGCTATATCCCTCAATCCGGCGCAGTGCATCGTCTATATATGCACGTATTTCCTCAGCCGTTACATCCTTCCGGATGAATTCCAGCAGTTTCAGAGCATGCGTCTGATCCTCCACACGCATCACTTTCAGGAGATCGTCTAACATCATCCGGTGATAGCTGAGCTCATCGGCAGTGCGCTTCGCAGCCACTTTTCGACGCTTATCGAGCGTCTCATCGAAGATGCACTGCCGATAAAATGCACAACAGTTGTGGCATGGTGCAGTACCGGAGCACTGATGGAAATGAGATGTAAGGTCAGCAGCTAGCATCTAGCTTATCATCTTCACCCCGGAATTCAGAGAATAAGCAAGACTTGCCTTCCGTTTAGACTTCCTGCAAGCCAAACAAGCCATAGACACGCGTCTCTTTGGGACATCTAGCGAGGTCTGAAAGCTTTTTCCTGAGAAACCATTACCCGATGGAAACTTTTCTGACTTAGTAGGCGACGGACCAGGCGCCAGCTGACGATATTGACCGCCCAATTCAGTCATGTTGCATATTCAGAGAGGAATAAGTGAAAAGAACTCATGGATTTCTCAGTGGGAGGGGTGGATGAGTGACAGAGAGGATACATATATGAAGTGGCGAACCCATATAGTTGTAGGACAGGGGAGAAAAGGCCCCTCGAGCGAGGCACATGCCCCCGTATTATATGTGTCCCTTTGAATATACGTTCTTATGACGTAGAGTGAGCAGATACCGCCTACGTTAGAGGCGTCAGGTAACCATGTTCGAGCAACTGCAGGACGCGGGACAAAGCCTTGGACGGCGGCCAGGACCGCAGCCATCATCACGGAGGGAGCATAAGGGTAAAAACTGTAAATGTTACAGCCACGAAGATCAATACAGAGCAAGCCAGCCTGGAGGGAGAGAAATATATAGCCAGGTTTCCGCCGCAGCAGTTGTAGTGGAAAGAAAGATGGCAACCCAAAGCAGGGTAGCGCAAGCCCGTTCTGGTGGACAAGGAGAGCCATACCCACGTGATCCCTCCGCATATTGCAATGCATGGCATGGCTATACTGACCACGCCTCTTCTACCACTCACACAGAGTCAAACCGCTCAAGATCCAAGTGAATATAATACGTACGGTGATACAGTATATCCTAGCCAAAAAGTGGCCTATAGTCTGCAGCTTTCTCCAGCGAAACCCCTTTGGCCCAGAATTCTGGCGTCCAGTAAAGTACAATGCGCAGAATCTTCAAAAAAAGAACACTGATGATCATAATGAAATAGCCTCGCGAAGAAGGAAGGATGCCTAAATAAGCGGATTCTCTACACCCCAAAGCAGATGCCGCCATGGAATGAATGCGCCCCTGCCCGGGATGCATTACAAAGAGCCTCGGCCTCAACCGGACGGCAGTAACATGTGACTTCTATTCAGGGAGGTTGATAGGGTTGAGTTCGCACTGGCTTATGTAAGCACTCTATGAAGTGGAAAAGGTGACGCGTCAGCTTCTCAAGATCAAGGCGAGGTCTCTGGGTGCGACTTTATTGGGGTTCAGGCGACAAGGGTGAACGTTCAGGTGAAGGAGGGTGAACAGGGTGAAGAGAAAGCGGCACGGACACTAACCCAACAGATCACGAAAAACGGGTGAGCTCCGACGTACAACAGCCAGGATCCGCTGGTGGTCACCCACCCAGACTACGAACTAGCCGGCGAGTGGCTTCAGTATGGCTGAACGGACGGGGAGCCCTGTTTTGCAAACCCTGTGGTCGTACTACTATTAGGGCCATTGCGGTAGGTCTTCCTCTGTGTCGCTATGCCCTTTGGTCACACGCTCAGGCAGTGAGACCCCTAAGTCGTAATGCCAGGAAGCGTCCGATGTTGTCAGACGGCTATTACAATACAGAAGTTTTCAAATATCGATTCTTATTTCGTAGTGGCATGCCGTCCAGCCGCATGTACTGGCTAAATCATGATCGATTTCCTGGACCGATCGGGTAGCGCCACTAATCCCTTTTGAGAATTTAAACGGGGGGTTCAACTTGGTATCATCTCAGAATTTTGATGCGTCAAAACAATGATTACGACTCTGGATTCGGCCATAATCCCCCGGTGCAGGAAGAATGTAGTTTACTATGCCCATCCGGTAGATTTTATTTGTCTCCTGACTCTGTATCACGCAGTAATGCAGTTTAACTTCTTAGGACGACGGCTTGGTGTATCCAAGTAATTCCTCCCGTAGATGGAAGCGTGATATATATTTATATATCACACCCCCCGGAAATTTCGCGTAATCCAGTCAGCCCCCCAAATATTCGTCTTATCCGGACAACCGCCCGCAAGCTGCCCCCCAAAGAATGCCACATATTTGGGAATACCTTGAGCCCACGAAATCTTGGCACTTATTGGCTGGTTCCGTCGGTTGAGGAAATTTGACTCCATTACTACCCTATTATAATACCAAAATTTATGCAACTAGACGTTGTGCAGCTTATTCATCAAGAGACAACTTTAACTAACAGTTTTTGAACTATTAATAGGGTGGTACCCAGCTCCGTAAGACCAAACAAGGTAAAAAAAAAAGAAAAAAATATAAAGATTATCTAAATATTTTCAATGCAGTTTTTGTTTAATGTAGCTCCTGCTGCTGTAGAAAGATATGTTTCTGTACTATTTCTGCTTTATTCTTTTTTTATGAGATAGATTAGTCTTTTCTTTATATATCTTCTTCTGCAGTATCTGAGAAAGTGTGTAAAGACCTATTTTTCCTTGCTGGTATACTAGCTCTACCTCTTCTACAGTCTTCAGAAGAGGAGTTCCCGTGGCGTGCCTTTTATAGATTTCATTAATAATTATTTTCATACGGCAGAATTTGACCTGCTCGTGCTGTAAAGGACGCCAGGCTGCACTATATATATTTTCTAGGCTTTGAATAGAAGGTTTATCTTCTAGCCCAGATATCTATTCCCTCCAGAGCTCCGGTACGGTGTGTACTGTCCGGAAAGGCATATAGTGAGGAATTCCTCCTGCATGGTTTGGTGTAGGTACAGACTTAAATGTCTCCTGCATAGTTACTGTACTGCTACTATCAGCGGCGGCCGCAGTGACAGCAGAAGAGGCAGAAGGGGTAGATATAGATTCAGAAATAAGTTATAGACTCTGGACAGCAGATATGAATAACTTAGTTATGTCCAGGTCTACTGCTTGCAGGGTAAAGACAACCTGATTACTTATAATATCATAAAGATAATTATTGATTTCTTAAAATTAAAGATACATTTTACTGTCCTGTTTCTTGATAACATGGCCCAGTCCTTGCTGGAGATCCTGTCAGACATGGTTCAGATACTTATCTAGAACTAGAAGGGCTTGCTGGAGTCAAAACTCTTCAGGCTCTTTTATATCCTGCATGGATTACTTGATCTCTGTAGTAAACGCCTTATAATCATCTTGCAAAAAAAAGGGGTTGTTCTAAATAGGATATAATAGAAACTACTTATAAAAGATAATGGAATCTTGTAGAAGAATTATATAGAGCTGGATAAGAAGTTATAAGAATCCCTGGGCTGTTATATCTTACTAATTATTTTTATTTATCTTTTCTGTTTTACTATTATTTTTCTTCTTATTCTGCCGACTGGTGCTTTTATAAGACTCAAACCAGTCCAGCTATTTATTAACCCATGGCTATAGAGTGTGAGTGAGAGACTCAGAGAGTTAAATTTTTACTTAGAGTAAATAATAATTCTTCCTGGTAGAAGGCTTGAAGCCCGCCATTACCTGTATAAATTTTCGCGGAAGGTGAGTGAGATAGTAATTTATTAGGATATTATTATTCTAGTATCTAATGCAGTGAATTTGATTTTTTAATATTTTATTCAGTTCCGCCTATCTAGCTTCTTTAGATTGGCTGATATAGGTCTTTTTCACTGAATTGAGGCCAACCTGGGCAAATACACGGTTGATCTAGTAAAGCTGGGTGTTATATAAAAGCAGTTTTTTTACTAATTCTCTTTTAAGTAAATGTAAGTTGTACTATTGGGGCCACTAGTGAAACTGAGGCATGGGCTCATGTCTAATATTCTATTAGAAAAAAAGATAGAATGCTGTGTGGACTATTGTACAGATTATTAGATTGTAATACTATATTACTGAGTTATATTCTAGGCGGCCTATTACATTTGTCTTACTATTATCTATAATTATAATCATTGGAAAATAAAGCGTAGGCCCTTTATTTCTTAAAGAAATAATAAAAAGATCTGTGAACTGTAAGCTCCGGCGTGACTGGCCCCGTGTAATCATATAGTGCGAGAAAAGGAAGTCCACGACTGTACGTAGATGGGATTTAATGCTCTGCGGCTTCCTGCGCTGGGAGTTTTCGGGTAGATTTTGCGCCCAGCTGTCCCAGTAGTATTGAACAAAAGTCTCTATCCCTTTTTTATTATAGCTATTTAACAAAGTGCCTGCTGCCTGATCAAGATATTAATCCTGTTTTTGTATATACTCATGGTATATATAGTTATCTAAAAACACGGTAACTGTCTTGCTGTGAGGATTTAGATTTAAGTTAATTCTGCTGTTCTTCTGATATAATAAAAGGTCTATAATTACAGATATATAGTTCTGTATAAAACTTTTTTTAAGGGTACAGATGATTGGCTCTTCTTCTTTAGTTGTATGGTGCTTCTTATATTAACAGAATCAGACTTTACAGCTGAGGACTTTCTCTTGAAGAAACTAGATAAGCTTATATTATATTATTAGTTTGCTGTTAAGAAAGCTGATTTGTTTGATTTAATCTATTTATTCTTTCTGCTTTGGATTGTACACCTTTGATGTATTCTCAGGCTGGTTAATTTAAGATAGATTTAAGACATCTTTGCTGTATGAAGCTAGCTGCCTAGCTATAGCCATATGATGCTCTGTTACAGTGATTATGTCTGAGGACGTAGAGCTGCTGGTATCAAGGAGTTTATTTTATAAAGGAAATAAAGAAAGATGCAGCTGTTTCCAAGATATAGATAATTTAGTGAAAGGAGGTTGACGAAGAGGACTTAACTTTCAGGTTTATTTAGTACTGTAGAGATTTTACCCGGGGGATTCCACCATGATAATGTGATAATAGTATTATAATATATGGAAATATAAGCATAAATCGACGCGTGCAATAATGTTGAAGCGGTATGTGTAAATTGCTGTAGGTAGGTAAGTATGCGGAATGCTCGCGCCTCCCGATGTATTTCAGCATATTCGGGAGATGGGTGGTTACGCCATAGTAACCTACGTAATCACCCGCCGCGCCGGACCCCCATATATCGCCTATATATCTGAACAGGACTTCTGCTGAGGACAGAGAAGTCGTAACCTGTGACACTGTCATATTACCAAAAATACATATAACGACTAATCAAATTTATGCTGAAATTATACAAACTTTGGTTAGCTTGGGTAACCCGCGGGTACCCGCCAAGAACCCATGGGCGGGTTGGGGACCCCCGAAACCCAGCCTGGGTAAACCGTGGGCGGGTTCAGAAAATGAAAACCCAACCCAACCCGCGTTTTGGCGAGGTCTACACTTCGTTTACTTAGTTGCTCGCGCCCAGCTACGTGGCCAAGATAGCGATAATTCAAGCAGCGCTTTAGCCTCATATTTCCCCTTCAACCAACGTTTTCTGTGCTCTCATATATATTGATGAGTATGTACATCGGGTCCCTTACACTACATTCCAGGTAGGATAGATAACAGGAGCCGTGTGATAAACAGACTCCTCTGTTATAGTAGACAAGGAGATACGAAAAGCTCGACCATATACAACCACTTGGGAGACGTAGGAAGGGAAGGTGTGTGCAGACGTATTGTCACGTTCCTTGGCGTCATGCCACTACGTCTGTTTTCACTAGTTGTTTGTCGCCGTCAGGTCTGTGAATTGTTCGACCGTACAGTGCTATCGGTGTTAGTTCACAGTCATCATGTAGACGGGCGACGTGGTGGACTGACTAGTAAGAGAACCCAGAGAGCGGCTGGGTTCATCCGCGCTGGCGATGACAATGGCTCCATGAAGTAGGTTTGGGCGGTTATCACCCGCCCAAACCAGCGATGCGACCACGCAACGGCAGAGCGCCTGATTCTAAGAACATGGGACAGGAAACCGAAAGTCAAGCCAGCACCGAGCGGCAACAGGTTCAGCATGGCGAGCTTCGCCGCGCGTTGCTCGAGAGCGGTGGCGATGTCAATAGTCTGGACAAGCCATGGCAACTTGGGGTTCGAGTCGTCCGAGGGAACTGGGAGGTCGCGAGCTGGCATTGGACAGTCCACCGGCCGAGCTTGCATACCAGCTGCGTAATAGGCCAGACGCCCAGTAAGGCAGCAACTCATATCCCGTACAGTGAACATAGTTGATTTGAGTGGCTTGCTCATACAGGTCTAGACGGGGCAGAGGCATTGTCTCTGAGGGAGCGAAAGTCGGATATGGCAGATGGAAGATGTCAGCTTATAAGCATTTTCACGGCGTCGGCTTTGAGCGACCAGTACAACTCAAACCAGCTCCGTGCAGGCAAACCAGTATTGTTACAGATTCACTTTACAGTTATTTCCAGACATTAATATGCTGATTAGCTAGGGCACATACTGTAGATCAACAGCTGACTTCAATTCTAGACCCTCATCATTTATACAAACACAACAGGAGGCCTGTTTCTGTGCCTCTGCCACAAGTATGAGATCATGTAGAAGCTATGGTTCAAGTAATGTTTATTATTCTATTGTCAACTCCGTCTTCTCTTTTTCTCTCCCCTTTGCCTGCTCGGTTGTAAAAGTGCTGACAGACCCTCTATGTATCGGATAAGCTGTTCATACTCTGCAGTTGATTGTTTCCCCGTTCTTCTCAGCAGGTTCCGGGCATTCCGAGCTTCCTGAAGAGAAGCAGCCAAATTTGATGCTTTAGTAATGAAGTTAATATACGGTGCTTTGCTGTTTGAAGTCCTAGTCATTCGTGATGGACATTTACTTGGGAAATCTGTGTCATTGCTGGTTTAGTGAATTGCGGAGTAAGAACACACGATCAATAGCAACGCACACGTATCTTGAGAAAGGCAGCTGACATAGTCCAGCGATGACCCGGTCATTTGCCTGTCACGCAGTGAAAAATCATCTGAAACAAACTCATAGTACTGCGCGTCGTGTTGGTCCTTCGCCTCCATCTTTGCCATTTCAGCCTCTATCTAAGACACGGATGGGGTGGGATTCTCCAGCGGTATGGGCTCGCTGAAGAGCATAAGAAAGTTGCTTTCATCGCAGGAGGAGCCGTTCACACACTCCGACATTGCTTCTGTAACCGGCATGGGTATGCCAGCGAAAGTACCTATAGCGACGAAAGAGCTGGTCTGTGAAGGATGTGCCTTGGCGGTAGCCCGAGCATTATAGGCGGTGTTACCACTAAATAGGCGACCGTGTCAAGTATCCGAGGCGAGCCCAAGAAAGATAGGAAATGGTCTCCAGTTCCCATGACATTTCGGAGGGATCACGGGAGCAGAGTCACTCACCAGAGTAAATCGTTGGTTCCCAGGAGCTTCGGCCGTCTGTCGCGGGAGATCTGCTGCTCTTAACCTCTGGGCTATGCCTTCTCGAATGGTCGATCTGAATCAGTCATCTGCAGGGAGATGGGCGCTATTGCCCTAAGCACAGACATGGTCTCCTACTATCCTGCCTAGGAAGCTATTGCTCATTGCCCATGCATGAATTTCTCTCTCTTACATGAAGGATACGAGACAACCAAATATGGCTATGTACAAGACCCTCGCATCCGAGGCAATCACACAAAAATGACAGAATTATGGATGATAGAAGCCGCTGCCGAAATCTTGTCTTCTATCTCCTGGCCTGCAGTCCTCGCCAACTACTTTCCTTCGATAGGCCAATTCCCTCAAACACTATACATCTCATACGGAACAGACAGTGGCAGTGAAGCAGACTGACTATTGGCAGTATTGATTCCAGGGGCTGCAGGTTGAGAAATAAAGCAAGCAGAGTCAGGTATCTCTGCTTGCCAACTGGTGACAGATAAACAAGGCTGGGTATCTTGGAACTCATGCTTGGCAGAGGTTGTCTGGGGATAAGAAGTCCACTGCTCCTATACTGAGACGGCACTGCCCAGGGGTATAAAGCCATCTGGACTCAAGAGACAGCTTTGGATGAGGATTCCTTCTTTCTCAGAAAATATTCCTGTTAAGTGTTTATAAGTGCAGTTATTATCTACTGAAGGGGCCTAAGCAGCAGGCTGTAAGTCCTGGTTAAAATTAGAGAATATTTTTAAATATAATGTTAATTTCTGAGAATAGTCTTTTACAGTCCGCGGCTTTCTCTGCTTGTTTGACAGTAAAAAATAATATTCTGGATGTGCCCTGGTATAGTTTAGTCTCTCCATCTCCGTAAGTGTCTTGTATTTTTTCTGAATATAAGGGGCTTCTATCTTCCAGCTCTGTCTGCTAAGTCTGGAGATGCTCTGATAATTATTCCGGCTGAGCCAGCATTTTACTCAATCACTGTACGCCAGCCGGTATAGTATAAATAAATTAAGTGGGTGTGGGATTCTTTTATACTGTTACAGTGCCTTCTGGCGGCGGGTCTTGACCGGGTGGTGTATCCAGGTGTATATATCTCTAACCGGGATATGTAGCATACCCGCGGTCAGTTTACTCAAGGAATATAGTAAGCATAGATTTTGATTTCTTATTACTGTATACTTAGCTTAGCTATTTCTTATCTGGGCTTGGAAGCAACTTGACTTCTGAAGTATAGTCTTCCAGCACAGAGCTTCTAACTTTGTATAATTTATATTATTATCTTTTTTCAGGATTAGCTTGTTCTCATAGGCTTGGGTGCTGTCATGGATCTATTAAGATTAGCAGAAGACCAGAAAGTATATCTAATTTCTAGCTAAGATAAAGTAGGAATGCTTCTTACTGGCTGTGGGATCTAATAGTATAGATTATCAGCTGTAAATTCTAGCATAGGGATAGGCTGATTAATGTTCTAGGACTATCAGAGTATGATACTTTTGCAGCTTCTAGTTAGAAAATGGATATACATATCTATTACAGCGTGTTTTCTAGAATCTTGGGGAAGACTATCAGAGATGTACGGGAGGTGCTGTCTGAGATCCTCACAACCAGTACCAGGTATGGATCTAGACTGGAAATATGGCAGTGGTGGTATAGATATCGGGTCTTCTGGTATGGCTTGAAGAAATATAGATATCTTAGTCTCTATTTTATTTTGCTTAGTTGTGGCTGCAGAAGATTTTGATATATTTCTACCAGACTGAGTGGGTAGAGCCTTTCTTGAATAGCAGATCAATTATTCCAAAGCCAGTAACTAAAGATTGAGATAGTAAATGAGTGTAATTTGATATTAGGATGGACCCTGATGGCAGTTCTGGGTTTTTATAAAGGATAAGTATGAATTAGAGTCCTCCCACTTTAACTTGACCACTGATACTACAGCTATAGCTTGGTCGTCCTGGATGAATAGCGGAATCTTCCCAGATTGCAGCTGGTGGGACATGACCTACAGTTATCCAGGGACCCCTGTGATTTAGAGACGTACTAGCTACAGGGGAAGTAATGAGTAGGGTTCCGGATTGGAATAGACTGAATCTCTATCAGTATGTTCAGCAATAGCTAGAGCGACGTGTGAGTGGAGCCGCTGCGAGAAGTGAGATCACCATTTGTAAGCAGCTGAATTAGGCAATAAGGTTATATTGGGCGTCTTCGATGGCCCAACTGAGACATGCTGAACAGCGGCTACATAACTTGTTAATTTCCAGTACCCACTAATTTGAGCCATCCACAGCGATTCCCAGTGCAAGGTACCCTTGCCTAGCTGATCCTCCATTTTGGGTAAGTATGGTGGAATAGGTTCCAGCCTGGACTAAGTGGGCTTTGAAATCCATAAGTCATTCGCCCTCAAGGTAAGGCTCTCGGAGAAAGCATGCCCCATATTAGTAATCCCAGAATAGCCAGTCCGATCAATAGTCACCGTAAATCACCGGAACCGCATAGAAGGCCGGATCTTCCAGGCACACCCCTCCCTCCTGCGTGATTGGTCCAGATAATCAAGGTTTGATAGATTGTCCCGGGAGATTGGTAACCAATTATCGATAAGCATTTCCTAGCCTTTAGAGACCCAGACACGTTTCCTGTCAGGGCTTATTGAGTATAGAAGAGTAAGTAGAAGACCACAACGAACTTTTAGTACTACAGGGAAGCTTGGCGCAAGAACTGCCCATTCGCGAGGGCAAAGACTAGAGAACAAGCAACAGGAGCGACCCAGAACATGAGTACTTCGGGTAATCGCGGAGTGATCTTTCGAATGCCGCCGGAGCCTTACCGCCCCAAAAGGACACGCGTGTTGGGACTACGGCGTGATAATCTGGAATTCGCTACCATAGCACTGGGACCGCACCGAACCCCAACGCGTTTCCATGCGATCGCAATTGAGCGGAAGCTATCGTGCGTCCTAGACTTATACCCGTCACAGTAGACCAAACTTTAACAAATGAACCCGGTGGTCTAGATCTCCTTTTATTGTCGCTGGAGCAGTCCTTGAATCGTGTCACAGGCTGCTTTGCCATCGCAATCTACATTACTCTTCTTTGTGGAAGGAACATCGGCATGTAATCAAAGATAGCCAATGATCGTCTCCATTAAATACTCGCTATCTGGTGCCTCAATAGCTTCCTTGCTAGAGGCAGGACTTTGGCTTATCTTGACAGCGGAGCCCGTCAGGTTCCGTAACCCTGTCGCCTGAAAGCTACCCTGGATATGGTATTCCGGCTGGAGAGGCTGTGGTCCGCTTCCATGACTGCCGAGGGCTGACCTTTGCTGAAATAAAAAGGGACATCGGCTTGTCGATCTTGGTAGTATGCTATAATGCCCGCCAGACAAGAGCGTAGAACGATCAGGTTACATTTGTCACAGAAATAAGTGTGAGCGTTGACCGGCCTGGAACTGTAGGGAAGTTAGAGCTGCCTAGGGACTGCGTCCCTCCTGTGAGATGTGAAAAATTAGCGTCTCTGACGGCTTGATCATTCGGGTTCGCTGGGGGTCAGCCGCCGCCTCAATCGTGATACGAGCTCTACTATAGTAAGTAAAGCGGAGAGCTAGCTCCACCGAAAGAAAGGCCTTTATCCATTTGTCGATGGGTAGGAGCTATCTACGCAATTGTTCGATGCTATTGGCCTGCGCGGAACGCGGACACATCGGTGTTCCACGAAGCATAGGCTGATGAGTGCGCTAGCAATTGAGGATAGCTCTGTGATATCTGCAAATAAAGGCTATGTTAAATCAGGCCTAACCTACCCAAGAACTGCTCAATTCACTCGGATACAGACATACAGGTTGTGGTAGTTAAATCTGATCCGATCGGTCAGCATTGTAACCATGCTTCAGAAGCCACACCTGCGCGGTCAATGGAAAGTAGTCTTCGAAACTGAACTAAACAATGTATATACTAATTTTCGCTGGTAAGCTCCCGAGCTCCATATTTAAGTATAACAAATGGATATATTGTGGCGTGTGCGCTAGCCATCTCGGATATCGTGTGTAGAAGAGGGAAATCCCGCAAGGCGGATAGCTGCCCATGGTCCACTACGTAAAACCGCCGGGTATGATGGCGCCAATCACAGTTCCTAATATCACAGGACCCGTAAGACACCGAGAAGGACAACAGCAGGCGGCGAAAGCCCAAGGCATTAGAGAAGCAGTTGACGCATGTTTTGATGGCGATGAGACATGCCATGTCAGTCGCAACAACGACCGTCCAGGCGCCCATTCAGCAGGCCCACTTATGCAGACCGGGGTGTAGGAGGGGTAGGATGTGGACACAGCGGTAGCTCCAAGTAGCGGATGTGTGATGTGGTTCTCGGGGAAAAAGAATATTGTAGAACTGCAGCAAGGCGATGGTAGACAACGTCGGGAGCAGTCCGGAGTGGGCCAGCACTGTGGCTCGATGTCACCGGACCTAATTTCGTGGGAGAGAAATTGACATTGGCTGAAATTGACACTGGGCTAGTCAGCCTTTGGACCTGCTCGAGGTTTCAGGTTTGCATCTTTTACGGACATGACGGACTCACCGGCCTGCAGCGGGGCCCCCGTCCGTCTCGCATGTGAGCTCATTTTACCGTTACTGCTTTGAACTGCCATGATATGGTAGTATCGGCCCACAGGGCAGCATCAGTCCCATCATAGGTATTCGCGTGTATGTGTGATTCTAGACCCGTTCACATTTCCATTTGTCCCACAATAAAACGGTCTCAAATCGTATCAGATGCTGTTGGTCGCCACCACCTGCGGTTTTCTTCAGCCGCCAATTTTCTTCCGTGAGTTTTGCAACAGTACGTGACCAAGCCTACTAGTATTACTGATTCAACAGAACATATCTAACAATGACCATGTATATGCAGTTCTGGGACTGGATAGGTATTGGGAGAGACAAATGAAACACTTACTATGCACCCTTCCTGTGGCGCCAAGGTTGGAATTAGGCTTGAAGTTAGTCTCGCAATTATGGATTGCCTACGACGTCGTCGCCATGGTTCTATGGCCATTTCGCACGAACTGGGGCCTCGTGAGGCAGCGGCAACAAGACCTAGCCCCTACATCAGGCCAGTATGTGCCGATCACCTTCAGCAGAATACCTAAACCCACGGTGTGCTTCGGTAGGCTCAATGGCTGGGAGATACAGGAGAAAGAGGACACAACACATGTCGGTGACATAAGCTTGTGTCTTATGATTGCGGAAATAATGGAAACCCACTTCACCCGAACATCAAAGTCAAATTGATCAAATGCGCAGCTGATTTGCCCAGATGCCAAAGCCACCAGTGATCCAGTGCGGAAAAGGGCGGAAGGTGGTCCACACAGCTATCCCTTTACCCTTGGATCAACAGACCAGGTTGCCCTGCAGTAGCCAACACGAACATTCTCTCTCATATAAACATAGGTTTGCATTCGGTATTTTGCAGATCTTGTTTGTTACTGAATAAGCTTGGCACGAGGCAGACTTCGCCTCCCCCAAAAGACACCAGATCTGGGACCCGGGATGGCGAGTTCAATTAATAGTCATGCCAATTTTCGAGAACGGCACTAGAGGTAGGGCTTTCCCGGTCACAACTCTTTGTACAATGTGATTGGTTCAGATAACCAAGGTTGATAGGTCATCCCGGGACATCGGTACCCAATTATTGGTAAGCATTTCCTAGCCTCAGAGTTCCAGACGTGTTTCCTTGTCAAGGCTTATTAATGATAGAAGAGGATGCAGGAGACAACGCCGAGTAGTTTTCACAGGAACGTTGAGTCAAGAGCTGGCCATTCGCAAAGGCAAAGACTGCAGAACAAGCGAGCTGGAGCAACGCGTAGTATAGGGCTTGGGCGATAGTGGAACAATATCCCAAAACAAGACAAAGCCTTGCCGCCCCAAAAAGATGCCTCCATTCGCGCTACGGAACTATGGCACGATGATTTGGAATTGGCAATTATTGCACTGAAATGGCACGGAAGGCCAACATGACGCCTTGTGATTGCGATCGAGCGAAAGCCATCGTGTGTTCTGGCCCTATATCAGTTGCATTAGAGCAAACTTTAGAAAAGTGGACCTGATGACTTAAACCCCATTCGGTTGCCGCAGGAGAGCTCCTTCAATCGAGGTATCACAGCGGCTAACGCCATCGTTGTCTACTACACAGCCCCGTCTTTGGGGTAGGATTGTCCGGACGACACCGAAAGAGCATCGTCAATTGGAAACAATCGTCATCGTGATAAGTCTAGTGCCTTCAATTATTTGAAGCAGGGGACCGAAAGTTGACCGGATTCGATGGCAGATTAGTTGAGTCCAGTGGTGTTGACACCTGGACGCCCTTCGTCTCGCATTGAAAGCTATCGGGGATCTGCCAGTTCGGCCGAAAATACGTGTGGCTCGCTCCCGCGGCTGCTCCTGGTCGGACTGTCTGGAATCATTGACATCTGCCTGTCGGTCTTGATGGCAAGCTATAACGCGGTCCGGATAAGAGCGTAGAATGGTCAGGTTACACTTCTGGCATAAAGAAAAGTATGACTGTTGCATTTTGCCCTAGCATAGTGGAAAACCCAGCCAGGGCCGTTCAGAAGTTGCTTCCGTGCTGTGAGACACGAGAAACTTAATACCAGTGGCACCTCGGTCATCTTGTATTATTGTTAGGCAGCGGTCACCTGGGTTACAAAACGAATTAGTTATGGCACGTAAAGCGGAAGGTCGATCTCACCGGAATATTGGCCTGACATCCACTTTTCGGTGCGAGGGTGGGTTCACGCCAGTCCGACGCCATTGGCTTGCGCGGGATGTGGCCACGTTGGTGTTCCACGCGGAAAAATCGTACAGTAACAGTGGCAAATTGATCCGCGACCTGGTGCAGCCACAGGCACGGGCTGGTTCTTGGCGCACGTCCCCCATCCCCCAGCTCCACCTCGAATGTTCGTCGCAGAAGCGAGTATTTTCTCCCATGTTTTGTGCCTAATTTTATTTCTACAGCTAGAAATGGCACAGATGCTGGACCTGGCAAGAACCTGGCCGGAAATTTGTTGCGATAATATCTACCTCGTCGCGAATCAGGCTATCTAGTTCCAGAATCCTTCTGAGTGACAACGCTCGCTCGAGATCGATGTGTCTGGCTGTTACAACCCATCAGACTAACCGGATCTTAGTGGGCTGACTGTCTTTGCATCTCTATACACTCAACACACCACTTGATTGCAGCCACAATCGGATGACTGGGCGCCATCAAAGCTATATTCTGGAACGTCACAGGCGCAAGCTGTGTCCGACTCAATGCAACTACAGGGTTAATTTAGACTTCTCAGTGAAGTGTCTGAAAACAGGGACAAAACTCCGGGTCCGGTTCGCCCTTCCTTGCTAGTAGAGATGAGTCGATCGCTCTTACAGGCGGAGGTTAAAATCCGGCCGTAGACAAACACTTGTGTACAAAGCAGCCTTCCAAAACGAGGAAGAGGTTTTTGTTGTGATATGAGGCTGGTGCAGATCAGGAACCAAGCCGAACCATCGGAATTAATCCCGAAGTATGTATAAGAAGAATCAACTTGATTGGAAATCAAGTTGATCTTCTCGTTGTATATATAGCCTCATGTTTCCCTCTGAATAATAATAATTAAGCTTCCTTTGAATTACAACAAAAACCAAAATCTGGGAATCCGGGAATCCAGGAGCCGATGGGTAGGAAACGGGCAAATCGTCCGACAAGACTACTGTACCGTTCTATCTCTCGTGATGAGCTTTACGATAATGACCAGGTAGGGTTGTGTTGTGTTCGGCAGACACAAAATTCCCCGCTGGTGCTTGCTGGTGCTCGGTGGTGCTCGGTGGTCAGTTTGCGAGACAGAAGTGCCCCATCATGTCGACGTCTTTTCACCGCGCATCAAGACCCGAATCCCCCAATCCTGCGTTGGCTTTGGCGCAGCATGACTCGGCTCCACGATCAAGAGGAATTGGCCAGGCTAAATGCGATGATGCATTTCCAAAAAGTATGATGGTAACTCTTTGAAGTGCCTAACCATGGTCTTGTGAGACCACCCAGTGGAGGAGCTACATGATTTGCAGACCTGGGGTGGGGGAATTGGGTGAAGAATGGCCAAAAGATGGTGAAAGGAAGGGGGAAACGGTCAAAAGATTCGCCGAGTAGACATGGTCAAGTAAAGTTGGTATACCGTTGTCTTTGGGAACGCGTGTGCCGCGGGGATCTGCTGGGGCGTTGATCCGTTCAGAGGACGCAAATTTACCCAGGCGAGCACGTCTTTTCACCGCCCTCTGGTCGGGCCGTCTGGTCAATCGTTGTTGCCTTGGGCCAACAACATTTGCTGGGGCTCGGGAAGGACCGAATTTAGTTTTTTTGGGGAAGTTTATTTCAGGGGTTCAACTTGATGCCCGCCTGGAAAATCCGAATCCTCACCGAACGAATATTTTTGCCTTCAGGTTTCGACCTCTGGGCTTAGGGCGTAAAGCAAGAACCATTGGCTTCTATATATGCTATTAGCCTATTACCATAGATAACTACTAATTTGAGCCTTGTCGCTTGTGATTGATGGTTATGCGTATCAATAGTCTTGTATGTGAACGGTCACATATATATGTACAGGATATATATAAACATCATCAACTCGAGAGCATTGAGTAGTATCGACCTTTTTGACCGGCCCAGGAGACATGTACGAATCAACAGACCCGCAAATTCTAGACGTAACCATGCTACTCCATGAGATGAGTAAATGGTATAGTAGAGGGGAGAAATGGGTTGCAGCATGAATACTTGGAAGAGTAGAGGCACATGCCGCGTACTAAGAACGCCCTAACGCCCAATTTCTGCTGCCCTCTGTGCTCGATAAATTGTACCGACCAGACACAATGACATATTGGGTCCCAACTTCCTCAGCCAACATATCACCCTGCGCTACAGGGGGGGGGGGGTTTTCTCACAATAGGAAGATAAGCGATCTGCAGGAACCTTGCCGCAGACGGATAAAGGTTGTTTGGCTCGCCTATTAGCTAATAGGAAGGGCACCATGCGCGGCAGGCTGCCCCACCATTCGGAACAATTATCGCGGAGAGTTAATTTGCGGCCGCGTGTCGGAGACGTGGTATATTAACCGCCACAGCAGATCGATTTTGGAGGGTGCATTCAATGACCGCGACGGCATTCCATTATCTTTCTCATCCCCTGCAACAAAGAAGGTTGTCAATACATCGGACTACTTCAACCGCCGCATGGGGCATGTTCTTACCAGAGTGATCCCGCGGATCTTTACAAACCCAATGTGTCTCAAACCTGCGAGGATGCACACATTTAGCTGGGGACTGGATGGTTGATTTCGGACCCTGAGTTGACTGTGCGGTCTGACCGTGGTCCTGCGGACGGGCGATGCGTGTAGGGGCTGGTGGCCTCATTACCCGTATTTTTAGAGGGGTTGGGTTGTCTGAATGATGCTTGGAAGGGGAGGGGGTGCTGATTGAGATAGGACTAGATTATATTCTGTGCTGGTCACGGCCCTGTCTCCTGGGGATCCGATATCTGAGCCGTGATGGTATCTTGTATATCAGGTGGTGGTGCTGTCTTATATCTTTCTCCAGAAGCTGGTATTTGGTTTGCAGAGATTCTCTTGTTCTGGATTTATGCTTGATTGAATATTTCCGAGCCCTCTCCGGCCACGTTAAATGGAGATGGTGTGCTATCTATAATGGATAGTCCTGTTTCTTGCCGGGAGTCCAGGCCCGGTAGTGTCTCTTGGCCATGGGGAGTAAGAGTGAAATTGTAAAACATGGTGTAAGTGGGGGAACTGCGCATGCAGAGACCGGCATAAATGTCAAGTTCTAGATACAGTACATGTATTACCTGCCATGCGGAAGACATCCAGCATTACGGGGCTATAAGAAAGAGCAGGGGAGACCAGGAAATATTTAAATATAAAAGATTTATTACTCTGGGGTTGTTTCCAGGTAAATTTTATTATACTGATATAATAATTCTCTGTAACTTAAACCATGTTGCTCACCGGTCAATATGCCCTGTTGCCCAGGATTGTATGAGGTCCACAGGTTAATGCTACTTTGTATAATAGTGTCAATGAGGGAAGGGAGCCTTGAACCACAGGCCAGGTGGATTAGTTTCAGAGACTACAGACTAAATGAACTTTGGTATAAATCAGAGTAAATAAGATTAACTTAGATATTTGACTGTTCTGGGTGAGTAAATGCCCCATGGCGCTTGGATCCGCAGTAAAGTAGGTTGTCGCAGATCTTAACTATTACTGTGTCTTACTTGGGTAATCATAGTGACCCCGGGTCATGTGGCCAAAATAACCAGAGGGCGGTTATTTCTAACTTGCTTTAGCTAATTATGTTGCTTAGAATCCATCTGCCATAGCTAACAGTGCTTATTTCCTCTTGCCAGGCTTGCTCGCAGGCATTTAAATTTCTCCAGCTACTTCTTTCTTTAGCACGGTACATGCGCAGTTGTTTCTCTACGAGTTCTGTTTTTATCGGGAAATGCTAAAGTCAGAACCACGGGCGGGCATCCGTGTAAGTACCCGGAAGACTGAGAGTCGCAGTACTGCTTCTAACTCATGATCTATCCAAGGACTGGAGTATGTAATGTGTTCTCTCCAGCAGCCTCTGTATTCCCGTTGACGCCCATCCACAGTAAGCCTTCATGTACGGTTGCAAGTCCCGGATTGTTCCGCTGACTCCACGCACCCACCAGCTAGCACAGGTACCTGGCTCTGGTTCTCGAGATCCTTCTTCTGCCTGATCGTAGGAGAACCACGAGGCATGTTTAGCTATAGTTAAAATTCTGGAACAGGAAATTGAAGTGTTGGAGAGGGACAAGGAGACCCTGTCAGAGTATTTTCAAGGTATTAATAATAAGAAGTAGAAGCTGGTAAATAACCAGTATTAATAGAAATAATAGTTTTTTGAGTGGCAGGAAACTCAATAATTAGTACTTGAAATGTAGTATATTATTATAGATTAGCACCAGTAACTTTGGAATTCTACTGGTTTACTGGAAGATATAAATCCTGCTGCCTTGAGAACTGCTCTACCAGTAATGACAGTGGTGCCGGATATGTGGACTATATAGGAGGACGGAGGGGGTGTATTTAATAATGATTATAATATTATACCTGGTTTTAGTGATTTTATGCAGTTTCTTTAATTCTAGTTTCTCTACTGTAGTAATTGATATTTTTTCTGGGGCGAATGCGCACATATATACTGATTAATAATGACGGTGCTAATCGTGTTAAATAATACATATTGATGCCTGCTGGAAGCGGCTTAGGAGCGCCTGAAATATAGAATTATATCCTGGGTCTGCAGGTGGACTGGGTGATACTAGAGTGGATAAATTATCTTGTGGATAGTAGGCAGGCCTGTTCCATAAATAAATAATTATGTTCGGCAGCAGCATTTGATATCTAATTGATGTTCTTGTCCGCCTACCAGCAAACGGAGCATGAGCAAGATTTCACATGGTCAGGTCCAGGAAAAGAAAGTTGTGATTTAACTAATGAATGGCTAATGTCCGAGCCCGAAATATGAGGGCCCCGGGAGGTGTCAGTGAAGGAAGACTTATATTAGTCTGTCTTCTGAGTATGTCTGTATACTTATATATAATCTAAACCTCACTCATCCCTCCGAGTATATATAGTTGTACTGGACCGGGATTAGTACTTTATAATTTTGTCTGTACAAGCGGCCAGTTTTACTTTAAATTTAATCTCCAACAGAGCCATGCTGCTGTCTGTAATTTAGACAAGAAGAGCAGCTAATGATGTAGTATTAAGTATTTATAATTAAGAAACTGAAGTTACTCCAGTTCCCCCGCTCTCTATCTTATACAAGGGGAGGAGACCAACTGAATCTCCTGTAAGACATAATCTTCCAGAGATCAATGTGATTGATTATTAAATTGCGCTGGCCCGGGGAATAATTATGGCCCTGGAAATGACCCGTATGCGGCTTTGAAATGCTAAAAAGAACGGTCCATGTTCGTTGTGAGACACCTTAGAAGAGAAGTGGTGATAATAGAAATACCAGGAAGATGAGAACCGGTTCTTCTATACATGCCTTAAAATCTTCGACGACCTCGCGGCCGTGGCAGTCGAGGTGTCCGACAATCTGATTCTGCAGCATGAATTTGAACCAGAAGTCAGTCTGGTGGGAAACCGACGCATCCCCCTTGGGATGCGCAAGCTGCAAGAGACCCTGTCCAACTCGCACAGGAAGAAAGCTCGAGCCAGAGAAGAATGGAACCATTGCTTGAACCTGCTTCATATCCATGCCCTGCTACCGCAGTGGATATGATGCGTTGTCGGATCTATGAGTTTCCAGTGGGCAGGCGCTCTACGTGACTCTTTGTGTTCGTTTTCCCATCGTGTCTCTACATAGGGTTGAATCTTCTCTGGAATGTGCTTGGGTCTTATTCTCAAATAGTCTCCGCCGAGCATGACTCCAAAGGCATCCAAATCGTTTCCCTGACCCTGCTTGCTATCTTACTCAATCTGCAACCTCTAGACGTGAATCTGTCAACGGCCAGTCTGCTTCACTGACACTGACTGTTTCGTATGAGATGTATAAGGTGTACGGGGAATATTATTGGAAGGAACGCAGGCGGTTACGACGGCGGGCCAGTAAGGAGCACGTGTGGTTTTTGCAGCAGGTTCATCACATATATTTGGGTATTAGCGTCCATAGCCTCAGATGCGAGGATCCCATGTATAGTTATTTTCGTTCCTTCTGTTTAGTGCAATAGAAGTGAAGCACCATTTGTGTAATTAGCAATGGCTTCCTCGGTAGGAGCGTAGGTAGAGCATGCTCGCGGCTAAGACAATAGCACCTCATTCTCCTGCGGATGACTGGCTCACAGCGAACACATGAGAAGGCATAGCCCAGGGGTCGTAAGAGCAACAGATACCCCCGGAAAACGGCCCAAGCTCCCGGGAACTGTTTGTGTGCCCCTGGGGGCCAGCATGTCGCTCTTGAGAGCAACGCCGCTCCCATGATTTCTGCCGTCAGTCACAGAAATAGGCACCGTTTCCTTCCTTTTTGAGCATACTGAGATCATCTTGGCTGCTACCTAGCCGACTGTACAGCAGGCTCATTGGATAGGAACAAGATGCGGACTTCTATAATTCATTATGAGGGTTTATTGATATGCCTAGCATTCTTCATGCGTGATTCTATCATACTACGTCGCTGCTGCGTGATTTGAGCCTGCCATCAGACCAGGCTATATAAAGTGAGTGGCAAGCCACTCATTGAGAATACAGAAAAACCCAGACCAGGGTCTTTGGGGCGTGTGCTAGTCTTCTTATGAGTTATAACGTTTTTTGCATCTGTGTACAGACCAACCAAGCCATTTTCCACTTATGGACGAGCAGCGGTCACTGCCTCCGCTGGAGGAGTTATATACTCAGGTGTTAAAAGACGCATTTGGGAACAATAAACAGCTTGGTGCAGTTGTGATTACAGCTGCGACCGCAGTGGAAGCCTTTATCTTGGTTATGGCCCCGGTCTGTCAGTAGTGGGAGGATACCAATGCTATTAAGCCTGTTATAAAGCACTAAATATTTTTAAATGTGCTTACTGAGGTATTTTTATAATTTACTCTCTTCTATTATATTGTAACAGCTATTGTCTGCTGAGTGAGTATTATCTGATGAAAGGATAGCAGTACTTCATAAAATATTCTTGTATGAGGTGTCATCGTCTGAAGATAAATATATGTAAAATCCAAGAATTAATATTATAGTAGAATATCAGTGGACAGTGTTTTTAACTAATACTATATATTAGTGTTCTTGCATCTGGCCCTGTGAAAGGTGCCATGAAAGCGGAAATGGCTGTATTTTTTATATTTAATTGTTTCCATATTACTTGAATATATTTTATACTAAAGTATGTTTATGTTCTATTTTTTTTAATATGAAGTATAACTACCACCCTTTGCTGAGTGAGCATAAGCTGATAAAAAGATAATAATAAAGAGTAGATTGAGCTTATGAGAGTTGTTATTGTTGAAAAGTTAAGATATGCAGAATCACCAGGAACTGGAAGAGTAATAATAAGAAATCAGTGAAAAGTATATATAATTAATATAATAGACTATTAGTATTCTTGCATCTGGCTCTGTAAAGTATACTAGAGAAGCGGAAGTACTTGCATTCCTCAGTTAGATTGACAGAGTATGAACCATCATACTAGAATATCTACTGAAACACGCGCAGAGAAGTTGCTAGTCAGCAGGATTTATTTATACCAGCTTTCTAGTGATATCTTAAAAATATCTGAGGCTCACGCCAGCATATCCATGGAGGAATACTAATGGAGTATATCTGATATAAACTGCTCTTCAGATATTGCTATTCTAAAAGACAGTGGTATTAAATATAGCTTATTTATTATATACCCTGCAGACATTACTGCTCGTGGGGAAAGATATAAGATTATTAATAATAGGAACAGCACTCTCCTATCTGAAATTGGTATAAATGCAGGCTGGGAACTTCCGCTTAGCGTAATTATACTTCTGAACTTATATATGCCTGCAGATAACTTGACAGGGAACCTTACAGTAAATGCATGGTATTTAATGCCGTGGGCTATGGAGCCATACTTGTAGAAGATATTACCTGTATTTTTCTGGGGTTAGACCTGGTTTTAAGCTGATAATCTAACTAGATCTAAGACTGACAGTTCTTTATATCTGTTTATTCCTGTATTGCAGGCGGCAGGGTGGCCCCTTAGAGGTGAGACTGAACAATCTCAGTATCTGAGCAGAAGTAGTATCATGCCCTTCTAAGGAGATCACTTATAAAAGCTGTATCCTCTGGGTCCCTCTTTTGATATACCGGATCCTATTCCCTTGTCTGATGCACTCGGGCTCTCTTATATCCTAGAAATTGCGCCACCGAGTGTCCCAAGATTTCCTCGCTTGCAGCATGTTGAGGAAGGCAGCTTTGCGCTCCCGGCTGAGTCTCCAATGCTATCGCCTCCCTGGGATCCATTGGCGCCTGTTTCCGCAGTACTGCCTATGACAGACTTCCACCGCCGCAGCTTGCATTAATAACCATTTGCGCCTATCCCTGTTCAGAACATCGAGTCAACAGTAACCCCCATGATTACAGACTATGGTGGATTACCAGGGGACTGAAGTCATCCCGTTCAATAATATCGGTGCCAACGGACAGGAGTCATCGTGTCATGTCACGGTGCCAGAAGGCCAGGTTAAGTATTGTTACTCGACCTCGGTGTGTGGCTTCAATCCTCACAAGAAACGGGAACTGTTTGCGTAGTAGGAACGCGGAAATTTGCATGTCTATATAATGAATCATGATATAATGTTGTTCATGATAGGTTTGTGCTTTTTTACGAATGGTTCCCAAGGTCACATTTTACTATGTATTACTGTGATATGTTTATGAACGAATAGAACAGCAGTGAATGAGTCGCGGATGTTTACTTCATACTTAGTTGCCACAAATTAAAAATCATCCCATCGCACAGGACAGGTTTAATGGGGGTAGATGCTCCGAATACTGTATTCCTACCCATGGAAACATTCTGTGTGATCAGCCGGCTAGAGTCTTGTCTTTGAACTCTTGTTACAGTAGATTGTCTATCCCTGGACACATATGCGCACGGACTTCGAGGAGAATTTAGTTTATTTTGCTTTAGCTGATTTGCATTCCATATATGTGCTCCGCAGTGGAGTGTCTGGAGAATTCCGTACAAGGGTCTGTAGAATTACTGGCTTGCTCCCATAGCTGATTCGAGTTCAAGCGGTGTTTCTGTACTGTAGAGCAGCATACATAGGAGTTGAACACAATTCTATTTTCAGATAACTCAACCTTTGTCAGTATGATGTAGAGCTAGGGTAAGATGAAAAAGTGATTTCTTATAATCCACTATGGTAAAAAGGACGTCAAAAAGAGACCCCTTTGGACAGAGGCAGAAGCTAGCTAAATACTCATTTAATGCTCCTATATATTTATTTTTGATGTACCTCGTACTTTTGATGCCTGTGCATCGGATTGAAAGGGCTAATAGAACCCTGCGTTTTTCAGATTTTGATCTTGTGGTTACACGGGCAAATACGCGGGTATCTGCCATATACTTAACCGTCTCCCCATCTCCAACTACAACAGGAGGGCCGCAGAGGTCAACCATCAAAAATGAAAGTATATAGTATCTAGCTATACCCGTGGCCCAAGGCCGACGCCGTGAAAATATTTATAAGCTAATATCTCCCATCTCCCATCTGCCAGATCCAACTTCTATTTCCCCAGAGACAATGCCTCCAGCCCTCTCAGACTTGTATGAACAGGCCACCCAAATCTAATATATTGACTAGTACAGGATATGGATTGCTGTCTTGCTGGGTGTCTGGCTTCTCGTGTGGTTAGCATACCAGCTTGGTCAGTGGATTATCTAACGCCACATCGCGGCCTCCCTTAGGCGGTGCATCAGCCATGAGTTGCCGTGGCTTGCCCAGATCATTGACATATCCACCGCATTCAAGGCTATTTCAGTTGGGATACTCCTGGGCGTTAATACTGTTCTCCTACATGTGTCCGTCTATGGCTGGGCCGACGTCCAGTAACATGTGGCGAAGCTCGCTGTTCTGAATCTATTGCCGCTCAGTACGGGCCTGACCTTTAGTCTTCTATTCCATCAGCTCGGAATCAGCTGCTCTGCTGTTGCGTGGTCGCATTGCTGGTTTGGATAGGTGATGGCCGTCTATTTCCTGCTTCATGGAGCTATTGCCATTGCCAGAGCGGATAATCGGATTGCCTTGCTGAGGCATGACTGGGTGTCCTTACTGGTCAGTCACCACGCCGCCCCTCGATGATGATGACTGTAATATAAGAGTGATACTACTAACCAGGGCTAGGCAGCTGCTGCCGTCTATATTATGATTCCCGTGATATTGCATACGGTCGTCCGCCGGTACTGTCAGGTGGTCCTGAAAAGCTACTATCTTCTGGCGGTCATGGTAATGGTGGCCCTGGTGTATTATATGTAGGACCAAGGGTCAGATTCCCGCTGGTAAGTGGTTGGTGCTGGGGTTCTATGGATCGTGTTGAGTGTAGTGGCCGTCTCTCATGCAGTTTTTGTTTAATAATGCTGGAGTGCTGGACGGCCCACTATAACTATATGTCCCTTTCATGAGCTGCTTTGTATGGACATTACAGTGTCTCTTTATTGGTATATCCAGCCGGGGCAGTATATATACTTCTGGTTATCTTATGCAGGATTTTGCTCGTGCTTCCAACTCCAGTCCTTCTATGTTGCTTACTGGGATGATACGCCCGGACCGCGTATCCTGTATGTTCTGACCTGATCATGAGTCTTCAGTCTCAGTACACGACTCTATCTCTGTGAATGGTTATACCAGCGTCGACAGCCTGCACTGTTGCTGGGGCTATACGGCCGATCGATCGACTTTTCTCTGTTTGGGACGATCGTGTTCATTGTAGAGGACATTGGTATGTTGTGAGTGCTTCCCTATATCCGCATGCTCGTCCGGGGGAGCGAGCAGCGGCGGGTTATGGTATGCAAGATTGAGTGGCAGATGCAAGATTTGGTATGGCTGTCTCTTCATGCCCTGTCCGAATTCGCAGAGATCCTAATGAATCCTAGACCACCAATGCTGGCTGGGCGATTGGATGCAGGACCTTCTGGACCACGACTGCGGTGAATTTAAGGTATGTGATAAATCCTCTGCGACTATTAATAATGCTGTCCTGACTCTGGTAGATTCTTGAGTTTCGTCTGTATTATCTTACAAAGGGGACATCCGTTAACCCCGGTGACGCGTTCGGAGAGCGAACCAAACTGTTTCAAGGGCCACTGATGGCCAGAGAAATCATCCAAGGTTACCTGAGCAAGCGCCGTGGGAAGCTAGCTGTTGGTGGTAGGTTTAGTTCCCGCCCGATCGATTCACCCATCAACCTACAACCAATGTGAGAGGGGGGATTATGGCAGGCCGTGTCGGACATGCACCCCAAGACTAATGATTGTCTACCATAGTGTGCGCCCGCTAGTCGATTCACCAACAAGTCCGGGATGCAGTTCAGCCACAGACGGGGGCAGGCATCAAACTTTTCGACTTCAACCTCGAACCGTGTCACACCTGGGAGGCCCCTTGCCGCGACAACGATACCACCACTAATCTTGCGCACTGTGATTATCAAAAGTGGGTTGCCTCCTGCATTAGTGAAGGTAATTCTCAAATGCAGTGAGTCCCAACATGCCTGTAAGACGAGACACTTGTCTTTGCGCGCAACCGATCCCATGTGTGGCAGAGGCATCCATCGGTACGTCTCAGCTTCTCTTTCCGGCCCGATGGCTGGACGTTCAACTTGGACAATCACGGGTCTTGTGATCTCTCGTCCGTCTGTTGGTTGGGAGTTCAATCCGTTGTGGAGTTCAGCCACGCTGCTTCATAAGCAATTTTCAACGGGCACATCCGGTGCGCCGCCGCAACAGATGCCCCGGGCTGGATAACCCCACGGGGTCCTACGAATGCTGACCATGGCAGGTCGAACAGCGACGACTGCCACAGCACTTACATAGTAACTGCTTGACACTGCTTTGTTCTGGTACGCTGTTGCGTGTAACGTTGAACGAGCAATCGTCGCGTGCGGTGAGTAGCTCTGGAGCAGGCGATGGCGCATGCACAAAGAACATCCGACCGGAGCTCTGTCGGGTCGTCGTCTGCGCGTGCCCGACTGGGTTTGAATTACCAACCAAACTGCCATTCGGCCAGTTCATATTGTCGCAATGAGCAGAAACGCCCATTAGTTGACGGCGCGATCCGGGACCGAAGATGTCACCCTCAAAGAGCAGCACCCTCTCATTTTTCCAAGGTCCATTGCTTGGGGACTGTGCCTTTATTTGAAGGTATCGAGCAGGACCAGAAGCTTGAAGTCGTTTTTGGCGTATGTGGTGTGTCGACTGGCGTCGCCAGGGTTATCATCGGCAGGTGACCGACCTGGGATTTTGCCCATGATGGATAGTTGGAGATGACCACGGCATAAATTCTGCTCAAGGTCAATCCTTAGCCGGTCTTTCATGGATGGATGGATGGATGGATGGATGGATGGATGGATGGTTTCATTTACCCTGACCCCTCGCTAAGGCGATATGCAGGCTACTACCACTATATGTATCTCTTTAATAAACATTGGTCCTGTACCACTTCTTAAACGAACTTAGAGCCTCGTCGGGGCCTATTGTGGCCCTTGCGCCGTTGATGTTAGTTAGCTGCCCTTATGGCACGCGGCTTCGAAATCGCTGGGATGCTTCCGCAAAGTCCAAGACGGCCTCGACTGTCTTAGTGCGCGAAGCGTTGCTGACTCTACTTCCACCCTCCTGACAAGATCCGCCCAGCAGGACTGACATGTTATTGAGCGCATCACCGACCTTTTCCCGGAGCTCTCGACGTAAGTCTCTGAGCAGCGGGCAATCTAGAAGGACGTGTATTATACTTTCCCGTTCACCGCAGAGGCACCGGTCATCATCGCGGACGCCGAACAACTTTCCGTACGTGGACAGCCAGCAATGTCCCGACCGTATCTGGGTCAGAAGGTATGCTCGATTTCTTGGCAGAGCTCCGTAGAGTCGTCTGGTGTATTTTGCTGGCAGTGTGTTGTCGATTTTCCGGAGATGGCCGCCGTCCCTGGACTCCTTCCATTCTTTCTCCCATTGAGTAAGGATTCCTTGCCTGATGTATGCTCTTTCACGCGAGAGCAGGGGAGAAAACGGGTGTGTCTTGCCAGGTATGGCTGCTTCTTTGGCCAGCCGATCGGCTGTGTCGTTACCGAGGATCTCGCTGTGTCCGGGAACCCACTGCAATCGAATTGTAACCCCGTGTGTTCTCGTATTCTTGGCTGCTTGAAGGATCGCATAGATAATTTGTTGGCCTGATTTACTGCCGGGTTTCTGAATAGCCAGCAGTGCTGACATGCTGTCGCTGAGAATAGTGACTGTTCTCGCTCCTTTCTGGCCGGCTCTCCGCTGTTGCAGCACGACTCTATTGATAAGATTGATCGCATAAAGGATACCGATTAGTTCGGCGGCATGCACCGACCATTGGTCCATGCGTCCGACCTGTATCTGTAGGCTTCCAGTCGTTACCGGTTCATCATCGAGGACTGCAGCTGCGGCACCCAGGTGGCCTTGGCGCCCCGAGGCGTCGGAGTACACCACAAGGTCCGACTCGGACCGTGCTGCCTCCGCCTGCTCCATCGCTATTTCTCTATTGGTCGCAATGTCGATTTTAGAAAAGGCTTCAGTCCGCCACGGTGGTTGTGGGGCTGGATCAATCATTTCCAGGTCGTCGAGCCTTTCTAGGTTCATGGTTTTCAGAGCCTCCGCGAGCGGGAACCGGGCGTGTGATCCGACATTATCTCGTCGTCTCCGGGCCCGAAGCAGGACTTCCCGGATTGGATGCTTCCGTGCCGGTCTTTCATAATCTTCATTTTACCCAGCTGCTTGCCCGAGGGGATCGGCAGGATTTGACCCACGTTCCACCATTCCTGGCCTGCAGTCATAAGCCAGCGTTAAAATACACCAGCAAAAACGTCCAAACTCCCTTCGGAGGCGGACTATGTCACCGCGACAGTTAGGGACGCTATAAAGCACAAGTCGGCTACGGAAAATTCTCCTATCTATCTGATTTTCGTTATCAATAAGTGTACTGCCATATTGAAGAATGAATAGCTGACAATGTCTTTTTTAAATCGAGTGTCGTTACTATTCCCCCAATGGGGAACGTGACACAGTAGTGTACGGTCGTTGGTCATCGATGTCTGCCACATGGGTCTGATGGTGGTACAGCACCGCAAAGCCTGCCACAGCACTAGAGACTTTTGCTCTCTAAGCTTGTCTCACTGCGTTCCTTTGTCAGGTAATTCAACACGCTGTAGTCGGGCTTTGGGATATAAAGTGTTTTCGTTCATGTCTTGCCTGGATATCGCGTGAGACCCATCTCGAAACACCCTGACGAGGGGCGATTGTGGTCGCATCGTAGGATTGGTTGCCCCGCCAGGACTGATAACCCAACCCAACCCGGCGTTTTGGCGCAGTCTGAACTGGCACGGTGGCAAGTTGGCAATGTAATGACGTAATATCTATGTAGATTCTTGCCGGATCCGACGGAGCGAGCGGAACCCACACTTGCCGTGACTCAGACGCAGTGTCGTAACTCAACCTGAACATGGAACATGCTTAAGAGAAAATGTTGACTGCCATCGATAGGATCAAGGTCGCGAACCTCCTCAACCCGGCTTCACCTCATGTTTGCCAAATTGAACACCAGAATAGTTTGTTAGCACGTAATTCTCCTTCTGAAAGCGAACAGAATGAAACGCGAAAGGGATGCTCAGCTTCCGTTCCGAGCGTTGTGAGTTTATCCAACCATCTCTGTGTGCTCTTGCAATGAGGGTCGTCACTACGAGTTACTTATTTTGCATTAGCAGATATCAGTAAATCATGGGAACCGCTGCCTCGATCATGTCTTGGCCCTGAGGGTTGCTGAGCTCATCAATGACTACCGGTCTTTACTGATCAATACTATGAACCATGTTAGGGGCATGCCGCTACGCGATGTAAATTGTTTTGTTTATACGGTGTCTATAAAGGGTTATACAGCTGCCCAACGCTTATTGTCAGCCAGTTTTGACCTAGACGCGACGTCAAATTCCTGCAGCTTTGATTGCATAGCACAGCTAAAACGGTAAAATACATGACACGCGACTCTTACGGTGCCGGCTAAGCCTATATTTGGTCCAGCAGGGTTGTACTAGATGCGAGCGCCCGTCGCCACCAAGCACACAAGGTCTATCTCAGCATAGCCGCCGCTAAACGCTGGTTGCTCAACCGTAACTACGTGCTAAGCCATCCCGAGGCTAGGGATCTTGATAAACGGCTACAAGACGTGGATGTGTTGTTTTACGAAGTATGTTGCTTTCTTCTCGGCCTCTTGAGAAACCTCAGCTACGCTTGCTAAGTCACGTTATATCAAGGAGATTAATAATGTTTCCGACCATCTGGTGGCATCTGACTTGCGTGCTGCCGACATAAGGAGTGGATACTGCGTCGACGAGGATCCTCCTCTAGAAGTAATCACAAGTTGGATCCGGTCGCATTATTAAGACATGCAAGGGCTTATTCATAGAACATGACACATTCTATCTCGTTGACGTGGGGTTGTTCCGTAGTCGCCTGATTTGCGGTCGGATAGATGATCATGAACTCAAACTGAGCATCTTACGTTCTCGATCCAATCTAGAAATTTTGGGCTGGAATTCTTTCCCCTGCTTTGTCTTCTACCGGGCGCGCAAAAATGACGGATATCAGCGCTATGGTTTCTGAATCTATCAAACACTGTAATGGACAATGATTGGTTCGAATCTTCACAATCATACCAGAGAAGATTGCTGTTCATAATATCCGTAGCTTAATCTGACGTGTTGAACAGTGAAAAGAAGGTTCAGCCGAGATGAGTATAAGAGCGTACTTGTTGCCGATGATAAGCGGCTCTATTCTAAGGGCATGCTGGCATGTTTGGCCGATTATGATTCCGTGGGTACACCCAAAAAGCAATATGGCTAGTCACATTCGAATTGTGATACTACGGACCAAGAGTGCCAAGTGATCGAAAGGCCAGAGGGGGGACATATGTAAAATCGGGCTTTTGGCCCTTTCAATAGAGTTTCGGAGGTTAATTATTGCCTCCATAGGAAACGCGCGCATCAGTCTAGTTGATATGACCGAGGTTGACATTTGACGATGGTTTCCGAGCACGGGAGCTTCCAACGAGAGCTTTTCCTCAAAAGCCCGGCCATCTAGCTAAGCTAACCTAAATTCAGTACTGTAGCAGGTCAAGTCAGAGAAGCAGGGTCGTTTATGACTGGCTCACGTCTTGTGGTCTGAAAGCATCGATCATCAGCAGGGTCAACGAACTGTTGCCCATCCGCGTGCCGATCGTCGTTGGATGCGATGTTTGTACCAAATCGACCGAATGAGTTCTTCAGCGTTGGGTGACTCACAGGAACTCAATCAATCATGAGGCCCTTTACACCATGGAACACCCAATCTGAGTTCGACCCAGGTGGATCTGCTCGATGCCCTTTCGACAACCCTTTTCTTCTATGAGCCATTCTAACCCCCCAGGCTTCTCGTCCCAACACATCTTCAAAACTCGATGCCGTAGAGTCCGTCCTTTCACCAATGCATGCACATATCTATAGTTGAGCTGCTATGCCAGACCCACGTCCGACGCCGTGGTTTGAACGTTCCGCTATCTAGGGGTACGCTGAAGTGGCATTCTTCAGCCGCCCAGGCAGGCTATAAAAAGAGGCCATTTGACTCTGCACAACTACTTTCTCGGTCTAATGCAGAACGTGTAGTGTCATGGGTGCCACGTGGGTTCAGGTACGTTAGGCTTGCTAGTCTTGAATTTGAGCTCTACACTCATCCGCTCTAGCATCTAAGACCAAAGCCGCAGAGACCCTCTTACTTCTGGGCATCCGTTCGACCCAATTCACGTGTTTCGTTCTTGTGGTGAAAGCGTCCTGTGGTATTGTGACCCCCTGTACCCTGTGCTGGTCCAGAACGGGCTCCTCTTCGGAATCAGTCTGTCTGGTTCTCTACCTTCTCCAGGACGACCGATGTATCGACCAGTCGTTGTTGTCTCACTTAGACAGTGTTGTGCTCGCCGAGCTTTACATTGTCACGGGCCTTGTCAATCTACTGAATTGGCTACTAGTACCTTTAGGCCTCCCTCCCCGGTCACTTGCTCAAAAAGGTGTGCTTTCTAGTCAGTTGCCACATCGCATGACGAGGCTGGAATATGAGCCAACTTACTTGCACTAATCTATCCAAGCATCGCGCGGAGGTGCTTTTGGCCAGCGCCGATTTAAGGCTTCGGATCTCCTGGCTCCAAGTAAAATTGGAGCCATCTTTCTGCATGATCTTGTCGAGAATCGACCGTAGAGCATTGAATGTAGAAGTCATTGCGTCGGCCCGGGAAGGGTCGACTTGGCGACGGTTCTCGATACCCGCTATACCTCAATCGATATCAGTGTCGTGCGGTCTGTCGCTAGGACGGACATATGAATCTTTATTTCATCCTCCTCGGTGAACAAGATATCTCGAGGTGTGAGGCTGGCCAGCTCCCTGGAGCTCTGCACTCTTTACATGCCTTGCTGGTGCGTGGCCTAGAAGTGGCTTCACATATCGGTAATCTCGGGATGGCGACCTTGGAGGCAGATGAAGTACACGGGGAAGCAGACTGTGATCCCGGATTTGAGGCCATTTTCATCAGGGAATGCTGTCCGCACCTCAGGCCGTCGTCAACTGCGATTGAGGCCGTGGCTGCGCAACGATTGCCCATTGCCGTTCGCTATATATCATCACCAACCAGTGAGCTGCTGACAAATTGAGAATGCTTTTCCATATAACTATTGTGCGTGCACTACAACAGAATGACATCATCCCGTTTCAGACCAGGATCGGTGCGTGGGTCGTCACGTATACGTCTCTGCGAGAAACAGAACGCTCCCGGGCGTAGGAAGGTAGCTTTTGTCCCGCCCAGCTGCAGCTCGACGAAAGAGCTCTTGCAGTATTATTTATGGTTTCTTCACCAATGAAATGAAAGGAGTAAAGCCAATGTGCTGTGATTGGGTAGCAATTTATCCGGCGATAGAGCGAGGTTGAGAGCGGTCCAGGCCCGGAATGATACGGTATTATCGTGGACGTCGCTATGGTTTGTTGGTCCCTAGCCCAGCTCGACTCGGCCGTTTGCGGACTGGCGCGTTTCGCATCGGATCTGCTGGACAGGTCAGGTTAGCAGTCGTCGAAAATAAAGAAAAGGAAAAGCAATGGGAGGTACCTGGGCTTGCCGATACCCCTAATCATAGTCCGTGCACTGTCCGCTTTTAGCTTTGTATACTTTCTCTCCGTGGAACTGCCATCGTGTCCCATACGGTGTTTTCGTCACTCCGTGTGTAAGTCACACCCTTCGAGTCGCCATGGCACACCGACCGAGCAAATCTCAGTTAGAATTTGGCAAAAGCGAAAATACGAAGCGGGCCACGCTCCGTACTTGACGGGTTGCTTTCTCTTTCCTATTTTAGCTGCAATTTGTACCTCCACAGATTATCTTTACAAGCAAGATGCAGCAGGAAAAGTGGTTTAAAGCTATTCCCAATGACTGGCGGATCAGTGTTAGCGATAACAGATAGATGAATAATAAACTCGCGTTTGACTGGCTTCAATACTTTGATGCGTATACAGCTTCAGAAACAACAAGCCAGTATCACCTCCTTCTTCTTGATAGCCATGGAGGTCATTCAACTCCTGGAATTTTTCCAATATTACAAAGAAGAATTGATTATTCCTCTATACATGCCTCCTCACTCTTTCATGAACTTCAACCGCTTGATGTGGCTTGTTTTACACCGCTAAAAACCCTGTATAGCCATCAAATCAAGGATGCTGCTGATCAAGACTTCCACCATATACAGAAAGAAGACTTTCTATATCATTCCACAAAGAATTTATTCAAAAGCCTTAATACAGCAAATATGAAGCAAGACTTTACTGCAACAGAGCTTTCTCCATACACCCTCAAAGAGTGCTTCAAGATCTCAATACTTCAAAGAATCAAGCACCTCCACCACCTTCAACATCATCATCTGTTAAATCTATGTATCTCAGCAAAACACCCTTAACTCTTTATCAACTGAATCATCAGAAATCAGAGATTGAAACACTACAGAAAGCTGGAATATCATCACTTATTACTGAACAAGCACTCGAGAAGGTATATAAAAGTACAGAAATAGCAATGCAGAATACTGTACTGCTTCAACAGGAATTAAATCAGCTTCGCGCAGTGGATCAGTATAAAAAGAACAAGACGAAGGCTTCAAAACACATTCTACAAGAAAAAAGCACGTTAGATGGCTCTACTGCACGTCATATCTTTCATAAGTAGATGTTAAAGCTATACAGACAACAAAAAGCATTCAACATCGGCCACCACACTGCAGTAATTGCAACAAAGAAGGCCATAATCACCTTAAATATCCAGATAAAGTCAACACCTAGTTTCTTTGTATATAATTCATTTACCTAATGTTGAATTACTTCACTTTTTATTGATCGTTGCATCTTGGTAGGCAGAGCAGCGGCTTGTTTGAAGTGTTGAGGATCGCCGCGCCGGCTCGTTGTCGCGCCGCTTCGTTGTCCGATTACGTTGGAGAAAGAATCGCTTGAAAAATGGATTATATGACTATATTACTGTGGTGCACCACCAAGGCACACTCAAGTCCGTGAAGTGGTCAATCTATTGTTTCAAAAATGCGATCAAGATACAGCTATCCCTATTGAAGGAAAATGGTTAGGGTTCCGAAAGGAATAAAGGACTGCGAATATATGAATCTTTATTCGCGCGGCCGGTATCGGTGGCGTAGTGGTAAGCGCTCCGAGGCAACCTCCAAGAAGATGCGGGATTGGTCACCTTGCTTTTTGGAGGTGGTGGGTTCGATTCGCATCGCCGGTACCACGTTTACCACAACAATGGAATTCGTTCCCACAATAGTACCCAAGCCTCCCCCTTATAGCAAGGTGGAGAGGAAGAGAAACAATCACAGGCCCCGGCGAGGCGTCAAATTCGTCAGGAAACAAATGTTTTACAGCAAAAGACATGTATTTAAAGAGATAGCTATATAGAGGATACCTGCATATCGCCTAGGTGAGGGGTCAGCGTATGAATCATCATCATCATCATCATCTCATCATCCTGAGAGATCGTGTTTTACAGAAATGGGAAGGGAACCTGGCCTGGGATCCTCGGTGATGGCTGGTGGGCCTGAGGCGGTACCATAGTGATTCGGATCGGCGGATATTGTTAGGTCTGTCATCAAGAGCCGGGGCGCAGGCGGAGTGGATCGATTGTGAATGTAGTTACGAACGGTTGAGATATGCAGAAAATATGCTGTTTCAATATAGGGAAGGGTGCACGGGGCGCCAGTCAAAATATGCATTTATACTATCTAGACGACACTCTGGGTGCAGCGCACGGCCATTAATGTGTTTTCATTAACGAACGGCGCGGGGAGTCAAATGACTTCAAGACGCATGGCTGAAGACGCGCGATAAAATTGATCATCTAAGCTTTTCCATCGACTGCGCGTCACCACACGGAAGGGAGAATTGTGGCCGAGGACGGTAAATGGAAGGGACCCGCCAAGATAGGTTTTTTCGGGAGAAACGTGAATAACTCTGGCATGCGGGTGACACGTTGACGAAGCACCCACTCTCCACTGGCTCATCAGGGAGTCGCACCTACCAGAAGCGGCCGTTAGCTGATCGCAACCATGAAACAACCAAATTTACTTTGAGTGTGCACTTCAAGTTTGGTGCCCGCGCTTACAGCACTAAGAGTCTTCCCACCGTACCTCTTATTCTGCTTAACTCTACAGCTTCGTCTCGGATCTGCGGATTAAGATGCGCTGCTTGAAGGCTCGTTTCTCCCGAGTACAAGCCTCGCTGCTCCCTCAGCTCGGGTCTGGCCACTCGTGGCAAGCCACGACATCACCGCTGGGAATGCGGTTGAAGAACAAAGGAGTCGGTATTAGGCGAGAAATTCTTTATTGTATGAAGAGAATGTGGTCTGTGAGCATAGCACACATTACGGTGTTAGAATTGCAGTCATAAAACTCCTGTCCGTGAAGGAATTCAAATGACCGACGTTGCTGAATGATGGCATGGTAGATGTTAGGGTTGCTTCTAGCGAAGCGGGTGGGGCGGACTTTGAACTACGTCACCATTTTTCTTGTCGGTTGAAGTACCCATGGGTATCCTATAATCCCGTGGGTATTCCTTTATCATTTCAGACACGGAATGACACCCATTACAGTTAATTTACGTGTGAGGCCGGTAGCGCTTGGCGATCCGAATGCCGCAATTTTTCCTCTAGCGCCTCCCTGTCTTCGCCTGGATTCGAGTCTCTCTACAGGTCATTCAGTGGCCGACGAATAACAGAACGGAATAAGTTAAATTTATTACCTCCGATCCTGTTAGCGATGTTCAGCAATAGATACGGTTGATATTCCGGATGCCAACAATTCGCCGGCTATTCTTATACTGATCGGAAAATCACCCTTGCAGAAAGAATTTCCAGAAGCTAGATAATGATCTTATCCAGAGATTCTGAAAGACCTTCTCAGATATTTTTTTCCCAGTTGTCTGCTGTAATGCCACGCGCTTCAGTCAGACGCCCACTGGACCCATCAGTCTGACTAGATAAAAATGTCTTTCTGCAGATGATAAACTGCCGCTACTTGTTGTCCGTTTCCCATTCTTTTTCATCAGAGATTATAGCCTGAAAATTCTGATTTGGGCGACAGCTAATATGAGATCACTGCGCCAGGCGGAAAATAGATAGTGATAGGAAGTTTAGTGATTCTACGCCCCGCGCCACAGAAGACATGCGGTTTGCAGTGCCCTATACCGATCTGAACGCTGTCCCTTATATAATCCCGCTACAACCACATAACGTTAGATGCTCGCCGCCTAATTCAGGTAGACTGGGTGCCGTGTACCATAGTCAAGCGGGAGATTTGCATATATCTATCATGAGTCTGAGCATGATTACTCTGCTCTTTCTTTTGTAGCAAACTTCTGCAGCTCCTGTTAATACTGAAACTGCAGTCCTAGATCTTGATTACTTTGACCAGTAATATATTCCTCCACACTTCTATTGTCTTCAGCTGTTTGCTCAGCAGCCAACCTTGGCGCCCAGTGCTTTTGTTCAGAGTGATGTAGATTATGATAATATAGGTAAACCTGTTGAAGAACCCTCTTTAGTTAATATAGATATACAGGGTAACACGCCTTCTCATAATATTGTATTATCAATTCAAGACAATCAAGTGAGTAATTTAAAGCTAGGTGAAATATAAGCTCTGAAAATTTATTTTATTATGTCTGTTTAATAGTGGTTAACTGCTCTGAATACTGTAGTCTTTGTTATCATGTCACTTTGCACACACCTACAGCAATGTTCAATGATCAAGCCCAGATCCCAGTTACCTACCTTAATAAAGGCCAGGTGTACTTGGTGTCCGTGATTGATTCTATACCACCGCCCATGACTATGCAATTGATTAAATATCGTACCTACATCCGTGTGTCGTTCTAAGAAGAAGAGTAGAGGGCAAAGCTAGCTGCTTATTAGTAATTATGGAAAGAAGGTCAGGGAGCTAATGAAGAGTATTAACTAAGCAGCAAGCTCCAAGCAGTGGAATATATCAATTCTATATAGAGTAGTATGGAAGATATAAAGAACTGGCAGATTCAGCTCAAGAGCTCAGTATTTGATGGATTTTATATTATATAAACTCTCAATTTGTTAATCCAGGCTTCAGAATATTTGATACCTGTCCGGTTTAACTTCCTGTTTACAGATTTTAGTCGCTCCAAGGGTGTTAAGGGTGTTACAGTCAGATTATGTGCAAAGACAGAGGTGCTATTCCCGGATGATGCGGGCTTAATATTAGACAGGAAAGCAGAGGTGAGCTATTATAAGATCAAGCTTTTCTGTGATTATGGGGCTGAGCAAAAGTTCTCTAATAATATTGTTCATGTCAAGAAAACTATCGAAAAGCTTCGATGACAGATTGCCCAAGCTGAGATGGATACTAGTAAATATAGTAAGTGTAAGCATGGTAATAGCTCAGTGGAGTGCAAGGATGTAGATCCCCGCCCAGCTAAAATTACTAAGTATACACGGACATGGTCCGCGGGCTCGCAGGGTAACTTTAGTAAAATATTTTTAAAAAATAATCTCCATGAAAAGCTTGCCTTAATATAAAATATATTTATCTTACTGCGGCCGGTAAGCGTTCTAGGGTTGCAGGATGAAGAGTAAGATAACCTGGAGTTATATTCTGTTATATTGTCCGAGTCACTTGATTTCGCTGAACAAGAGGATAATAGCAGGCTCTGTTCTAGTATTGATTATATACTTCTGCATGCTGTTTTATCTACTAGTAGTAGTATCTCCATGAGCTTGCTATGTCTTCTGACTAATTTATATTTAAATATCTTTTATAGCTCAGGGTACCATGGCTCATTGATTATTATCTAAGAAGATTTACTGCCATGCTCTGCAGCCCTGAATGGCAAGGTCATGCTAAAGCATCCTGTCAAAGTACCAAAAGTTATTTCAGTCACTAGTAGCGCCAAAATGGGATATATAGAGGCGGTAGATATTAATCCAACCTATTGTCCACCGGCAGAACAACTAATAGTTTTAAGTAAGTTATTGATTTGGTAATACTAAAGACAGGTGAACTGATGTCATCCTAGTTACTTGTTTCTATGTATGATTTCCTTGTAATGATCGGCTTTCGGATAGCTATTACCGGGCCGTCTATCTGACTGAGCAGACAGTTCGTGATCTGATGGAGAAGATTTCTATAAAACAGTGTATTAATTCCCAGTGTATAGTGCGAGTTCTCCAGGTCAAGCAAAATTGCTTTAAACTAATGGCTGATAATAATGTGCGCGAGCTTCCTGACGGCCAGGACATGATTGTTGAAATGTCCGAGGTATTGTTATTCAAGAAGACCGCAGTTACTAGACTAGATAATCTCAGTCCAGCCCTTGAAGTTAAATTAAGCTACTAATCTTGCCCGCCTATGTATTTACAGCGCTCTTTGTTTTCTTTTGCCATCCATAAGTATTCAATCTTGACTGAGCCTCGCTTCGTCCTGAAACAGAAGATTATATTTCCTTTCTCAGTCGGCTTTCAATCTATTGGGCGCCTGGTGCGTGGCATGAGCTACGCTTGGTCGCATACATTGCTCAAGCGGCATGCCTTACATTGGGGATTTGCTTGCGTCAATCGGGAGGGGGCCTTTCCTTTTTGATGGGAGTAATACGGAGTCCTCGAGAAATAATAACCTGTCTCCATATGTATACTTGATTGCTTTTTCACATCCCTTCATATATCAAATCTTCGAGAATATTCTAAATGTTATCTCGTCGGCAATGTCGTCTGCGTTATATGGGGTTACACGGCCCCAACAATGTTCTTCGTTGGCTCTTTACTTTCAAGATCTAAGCGCTACACCTTTCCGCAAGCGCTCAGCATCTACGCAGCAGAGATTACCCTTAACTTGTTCTGTGCGCTGTGTTGGGTTTTGCGTGCATACCCGCTTTTAAATTGGACCCGATAAAATTTGAGGGGTTGATGCTGCTATTCGTGTTACAAAACCTATACGATGCCGAAAGCAACGGTTTCGGCAACTGTTTTACGGCGGTCAATAGCGGCCATCGGGCAAATGCGTTTTTGGTGTCTACTGCCGGCAGGTTGAGTATGAAGTTTGATTGGATTGTGTAGCTTATCTAACGTACCTATGTAAATGAAGCTGTACGTACATCATTGGATGACTTGCTTAGCTTCGCCATCTAGATGGGTACTAGTCCTGAGCACCACGAAGAGGTGCAAGTCTTGCCCAGGGTGTTGTACACAGGTATCCCGCACAACTGGGATGTAGTAGAACAGTTAAAATAAACGTACCTAATCAAGTCCAACGACATCCAGGTCGATCAACGGCACCCACTGCACGTCCAACCTCTCCGGACGTGCAGGGGTTGCCGGGACGAGCACGACTTCATCATCATCCTCTTCCTCCTCCTCCTCCTCCTCTTCCCAACCCAGGATGATTGGGTTTGTACGAGAGGCCCGCGGTGCGGGCAAACCCCCTGCCGATGATAGGCATAGGAAGCTGACTCTCCCGTAAGGCACCCCATGCTGAGTCTCGTACGGAGCAACTGTTACCAGCATCAGGCCATTTGCAATTGGCGCATGCTCTGTCGAATGCGCCTGGTAAATGGCGACATTTTGGGAAGACGCCCCCCGTACCAGCGCGGCATCTAGTACATGGGGCTGGCGGACGACTTCCCTGAGACTGTATCAGCAGGACATTGATATAGCTCGGCCGATGCGTACGAATCTGATAAGCATGGATCCGGCCGCGAGGGAACTCAACAGATTGCGGCCCTGATCGGGCACCTCCAAAGCTATACGCGTATGCACAAACGGGCGTGGTCGACCTAGATCCCCTGCAGGGATCGTAAGGTTGCTGCCGACCGGGAGCCCCTCGTACAACGACTTCCAGTAGCGGGCGAGATCGGGAGGGGCGGCGACGGGCGGACGGTGACGGCCAGCCAGGTTGGGAAGAGGAGGAGGAGCGCCAACGTGACTGCCCCCAGGGCCGAGGTTGGTGTTGGTGGTGGTGGTGGTGGTGTTGTTGTTGTTGTTATTGCTGTACGGACACATTTTGGAGTCGGTTTTGTCCTGTACGACACTCGAATAGTATACGTAGGTAGGAAATCCAGCTCAGCTATCTGATCTTGGTCCTCTAGCACGTACGAAGCCATGGTAGTTGGTGGTGGTGGTGGTGGTGGACGTGTTTGTGGAAGGCAGAGGTGGAAGATAGAAATTACTTAGTAGAATTAAACTAACACTAGGGAAGAGTCATTCTTGTACAAGAGATGCCTTGTATAAAGGATGTTGATTATTCTGTACGAGGAAGAGCAGGTTCTCAAGACTCCAAAGCAGCGGTGAAGCAGGAAGAATAGCAAACAAGGAGTATACAAGCATCCCGTACGGGTATCCTGGATAGCTACTCTGATCCCTGTGGCTCAAGCCAATCAAAAGCTCCAGTTGGCGCCTCGGATAGTGTCAATTCTGGCTTAGCGTAGGATCTCATATGTACTATCAACCGTTCCCGCAAGCCAAGGTAGATCGTACGAAAAGGGGTCGCTGCTTCGTCCGGACGTACTGCTGGTGGCTTTTCAGGGTCAAAGCCCACCTGACGCCATCTCAAAGCCTCTGTAGGTAGATACTCATCCATATCCCAGCCTTGCACGCCGTCCCTCAACTGTTGAAGAGACTCCTCATGTACGAGAAGACCATGGTTGATTGTGTTCTCTGGATGATAGTAATTCATGTACGGCCGACCAAAGACAACGTATGGCCTCTGTGGTTGCTTCCGGATGATGTGTTGGTTCCAGGTACCTACGTACGATGAGACCTGTGTCCGAAGCATAGGCATATAAACAGCGTACAGAGCATTTTGATCTGGTATCATATCTCTAGAGGAGTCTCCTACTTCCATCAAGGCTTTGAAGTAGCTCTACACTAGTCACTATCAAGGTCCAAAGAATAGGTCCGTATGTACATGATATCGAAAAAGTGATGATTTACTTAGCTGTGCCCACCGAGCCTCGATTCTCTGATTTGCTGTACTAGAACCAAAGATACAACACTCTGTTGCTTCAATCTCTGGCTCGTACGCTCTTCAGAGTTAGCACTGGGCTTTAGCAGGTAAAGATGTCTCTGATCCATGGTCGGAACGAATTTTATTGCAGATAATCTTCCGTTCATGTACAGCAACAATATATTGTCCTACAACACTGACTGACGTACGAGTATCAATGCCAATATAGACCCAGATGATATAGCGAGTATACGCGTCAATGGCTGCATGGATTCGGATACCGTACGGCTCTAGCTTCATATAACCATCCACGGACCAGAAATGATCTGGACCTGGGTTCATGTACGAGCCACGACTTCGCTGCATGTCATTCTTCCGTTGTTGTATAGCCTCAGGTGCAGCCGTACGGTAGATATTATGTTGCCGGTATCTGGAGATAGAAAGACTTTAGTTAGCTAGATATCCACGTACGACTACCCTCTCTGTACAGACCTTGGAATAATGAGAAGTTCACCACGCATATGAGCAAACAAAAGCTCTCGTCCGTAGCCTTGGATAGTCCCTTCATTATATGCTTCAAGTAGGTGATTTGTAGCTATATCATCCTGGAGTTGACGCTCACTAGATTCATCTGTTCGTCGGACGAGGCCTTGCTCCGTACGGATCCGTCGAAGTGCCCGTGCAGAGACTGTGTAGCCTTCATACCGAACAGTACGTAAAATCTCTGCATCTGAGAGGCATCGCTCAAAGAACAACTCCTTAATACGGCCGTGTAGAGAAGAATCAGTGGTAGCTGTACTGTCGCGCTTGCTAATCCCACCACTCAAGCGGGTCTTGATTGTACGCTCACCTACTCGTACATGATATTGTGCTTCAATGATGGAAGCAATATGACTCTCAAAATCTCACGGTGGCTGAACCTTATGGCAGGGATGGGACCAGACATATATATGTGCTATCCCGCCCTTTTGAAAGATAGGTTCTGAAGTAACCAACGTTCAATCAATCTATTCTCACTTCAACAGGTTATGAGCCCGGGTTTGCTCAGCTTAGTTGGTGAATATTTCCTACTGCTAAGTTTCCTCATCGAGTGATAAGTTCACCTGTTGACTTAACTGGTATGGCTCAGTTGATTCTTCATGGAAGTTGACAACCTCTAACGATAAAGAGGGGGGAAAGCTTGTGTGGAATGGTCTCACGAGCCTGACAAAATCATCACATCGCTGCAGATATTCGTCAGACCCATCATAGTCCTCAACAAGTCCTCGCAAGAGACAACACATCATCACACCGCCAAACATGATCGACGGACCAATCAAAGCCTACAACACCCATAGGCGACGACGTCTCACCACACCGCTACAGAAATATCACATTGGCAAAGAGACATGAAACCACCTGCCCCGTTCAGCATGCCGAGATACCCTTATCCCCCTTTCATACCCTGATCTTCGAAAAGGGAAAATCTGCCATTCTAGCTTATGACAAAAAGACCTAGATCTTACATGGGGCACAGCTGGACTGGGGAAGAGCTCAACTTGATGTGCTATCTTCGAAGCATCCGTCATTGGCGCTTTACACAAATCCAAAGGGCTAAGTTTCAATTACTTTCACGACACGCAGTCGGAGGAGCGTATAGAACACTATCCCCGAAAGAGCATGCCGGGCACTTGCTGCTGCGTCTGCTATTGCCAGGTCCCGGCATACCACTAGACACAAGTCTCCTCACCAAGCTCAAGCTGCAGTCTCCAATCCACAACAGGGACCGAGTCCCCTTCACTCAACGAATATCCAGATCGGACATGCACCATTAACCTCAAGTGATAACAACTCAACCCGGTACAGTCTCCGGGCAAACAGAACCACAACCTTCCCGGGAGCGGAAGCCACGATATACGGTTGATCGTGTCCGCTTCCCTCACTTCTTCGAGTCGTACGGCCGTTATCTCAAAGCGTCCGAGTTACCAGATAGTGAATACGTCCCTCCATCACATACACCTACGCCAAGCTCGTCGGACCGCAGCCTATCCGTCATCTCGAGTTTCCCCGGCGCTGCGTCAAGCCTAGAGCTCTTTGGATTAGAAGCGCGCTCACTCAACTCATCAGACTGTAATTCCTCGGTCATTCCCGACTTGCCTAACGGCGGATCCAGCTCAGAGTTCTTCAGCCCAGAGGAGCATCTATCTACACCATGACTGACACTGCAAAATTTGTGCAGTTTGGACTTAGCGCATTCTACAACAATATCCCAATCCATGACAATGCCGGTGACTGGTTCAAATGGAACCAGAAGGTCAACCAGTTCATTCGAATGTCTCCTGTTGCCGACGATGAGGTGGTGCCGCCAATAGAGGAGGACGAGGCACGACAGTGGACCCATCGCCAAAAGTTTTACTCGGCAATGATAACAGCGAAATTGACACACAACGCCGCGCAGAGGATCAACGCCTTCGAGATCTCACAAGTCCAGTTGCTCATCCAGGCCGTTAAAGACCATTTCAAACCGGAAGGCACTGGCACATACGTGAATCTCCAGCGGCGGTACATGTCCCTCACAAGAGAAAAGTGTGGGAGCATTGGGCGCCGAGATCCGGAAGATTCATGCTGAAAAGCTTCTCCTTGACCCCGACTGTGCTACATCCGAAATTGAGCGAACATTCTTCTTCATGCACGCACTTGGTCCCGAGTACGAGAGCTTCCGTGACCATATTTTTCGACAAATGGACCTTGTTAATGAAAGGGACGCTAACGGTACCATTACGAAAGCGGCGCCCACGTTCGACTATATCGAGAACAAGGCTATTGAGGAAGAACATCGGAAGGGGCAGTTGGGCAAACAACCCATTGACGGGCAAACGCTTCCTGCCCTCGCTCTCATCCGCGGGCCCGGTAACAAGAAACCCATACCGTCACTGGACGGGACGACATGTCGAATCGAGATCGATAACGTCCCGTACTGCCCCTTCTGTCGGAAACCATATCACGTGGACTCTGAATGCTTCCGCAAGAATCCAAAACGGAAGGATCAGACAAAAGAGGGAAGGAGTCACAAGGAAAGACCAAGCAGTTCGCATACGGGCGCCCGCAAGCCGTTGAAGAGACGGCCCTCCACTGATGATGAAGCTGACGATGCGGTTGGCCCAAAGGACCGATACTACCGTAACATGGCAGTTCAAAGCTGTAACGGAAAACGAGCCCACATGCGAGACGGACGGCGGCCCCGCTGCAGGCCGGTGAGTCCGTCTTGTCCGTAAAAGATGCGAACCTGAAACCCTCAAGCAGCCCCAAAGGCTGACTAGCCTAGTGTCAATTTCAGCTAGTGTCAAATTCGGTCCCACGAAGTCAGGTCCAGTGACATCGAGCCACAGTAATGGTCCACTCTGGACTGCTCCCGAAGTCGTCTACCATCGCCTTGGTGCAATTTTACAATATTCTCTTCCCCGAGAACCGCATCACACATCCGCTACTTGGAGCCACCGCTGTATCCACATTCTATCCCTCCTACACCCCGGTCTGCATAAGTGGGCCTGCTGAATGGGCACCTGGACGGTCGTTGTTGCAACCGACATGGCCTATCTCATCGCCATCAGAACATGTCTCAATTGCTTCTCTAATGATGATGATGATGATGATGATGATTCATACGCTGACCCCTCGCCTAGGCGACATGCAGGGATCCACTATCTATATCCTCAATGTACAACCATTGAACGCGAACGATTACTTTTCAGACAAATTTGGAGCCTCGTCAAGGCTTGTGGTGGCCTGTGCCTGGGGTTGTGTTCTGCCCCCTCGTGGCGCACGACTTCGGAACCTCTGCGATGCTTCCGCGAAATCCAGTACCGCCCCAAGGACGCTGCTGTCTGGCGGGACATCTTGTAGCCTACCTTCCCTACCGCGGCCTGCTCCTCCTAGCATATCTGATATATTATTGAACGTGCCTCCAATCTTGTGCCGTAGTTTTTATCGTAATGTGCGCAGTCGCGGGCAGTCAACCAAGGCGTGTACAACCGTCTCAGTCGCCCCGCACTCGCGCTGCTCATCTTCTCGGAAGCCCTGTCGTTTGCCGTATGTTGCCAGCCATGAGTGGCCGGTGCGAAGTTGAGTGAGCAGGTATGTTCGGTTTCGGGGGAGCGGGCCATACAGACGGCGAGACCTGCCATCCAGCATGTCTCGGTCGACATGGCGCAGGTGCCCTCCGTTTTTCGAGGTCCTCCTTTCTTGTTTCCACTCTTGGTAGATCTTACTGCGTATGTGTCCTTTCTCCCGTGAAAGAAGATGTTTGAAGGGATGTTTCTTTTCTGTGCCCACTGCGTCCTTGGCCAGCCGGTCGGCCGCCTCGTTTCCAGGGTCACCGCAGTGCCCCGGCACCCATTGTAGGCGCAGCGGGATTCCTCGGGCTTTCAGCTCGCTGGCCGAGTAGTGGATGGCTGGCCTGAATGATACACTGGCCTAATTTGTTCCATGAGTTCCTGATTACCTGTAGTGCTGACATACTACCGCTGAGGATCGTTGCGGGCTCTTGTTGTGTTGCTGTGTTCCCTCGATTCCTCTGTGCTAGCTGGAAGACTAGTTCAATGGCATAGTAGATCGCCATGAGCTCGGCGGCATAGTCTGACCAGTACTCCATCGAGCCGTTACTGACTTGTCGCGATTTCAGGACCTGCAGATTGCGGTTCAGAGCTACTGCTGCTGTACCCAGCTGGTTTTCCATTCCTGATGCATCCGAGAAGACCGCTACGCTTCGCCCTGAGGTCTATTTCGCTAGAGCTTGGGCCTGTGCTTTCTCTCGGTCTGGTTCAATCTCGATGTCAATAAAGGACTGCACCCGCCACGGTGCTTGTGGCCTTGGGTCGATGGTTTCCAGGGTCCGTAGACGCTTCAAGTCCATAATACGCATGGTTTCAGCTAATGGAAAACGCGCCATGTTGTATACATGTGTGCTGCGTTCCGTTGCTCGTTTTATAATTCTCCGGACCGAGTGATCGTCCGGCAGGGTGCTGAGACGGGCTGCTGTTATTTGTCCTCGCTGCTTCAGTCGCAAGAGGGTAGGCAGCATGTGGGATTCGACTTCAAGGGCGTCTGTGGACACTGTTCGGAAGGCAGAGAGGATCCGTATACGCGCCGTTCGCTGGACAGTCTCCAGAAGTCTCAGATGTGTTTTATTACGTAGCGGGTCGTGCCAGACGGTTGATGCGTAATTAATGTCTGGTATGACGCACGCTTGGTAGAGTTGGCGCATCTGCTCTGGTCGGAGATGCCTGAGCCCGTTCAGGGCGATGGTTCTTTTGGTTGCCTGTTTGACGGCCTGTTTTATATGGCCCTTCCATCGCAACTCTGTGTCGGAGATGATCCCCAGGAGTTTGGCTGTGTCCGCTGGTTTGATCACTTTGCCGTTCATGGTTTTCCCGCCCTTGCCACTGGCTGATTTGCACCGTGTCAGGTGGGCCAGCTTAGTTTTCTCTGCTGCAAATGACGCTCCCGCTCTCCGTGCCCCACTGCTCAATTCGGGGGAAATCCTCTTCTTGGATGTTTTTGATATTTTCCTCTGCAGACGTGCTCGTTCGCCAGCGGAAGTAGCCATCGATAAATGCCGATGCCCCGCCATTGCTGTCGACCGGTTGATCGACCAGATCCGAATCATAAAATCCAAATGGGATCGGTCATAGCGGGGCCCCTTGGGCTAGACCTGCATTCTCCAGACGTGTACTTTCCGTTCCAAAGTCATCAAGTGTCACACTGGCTTCTCAATTCTGCATGAAACTGAAGATCCACTGTCGGGCCTTTGATGGTAGCCCTTTTGCCCGAAGTCGCGCGTCGAGGGTGGTCTTATTGACCCCGTTAAAGGCGCCTTTCAGGTCGAATGCGACCAGAGTCACAACCCTAGACCGTACCCATGCTCGATCAACCGCGTTGGCGAGCACCAGCAGAGCTTGCTCGGTGTCTCATCCTGGTCTGCCTCCAAGTTGAGTGTCAGGAAGTAGCTTGTGTTTCTCTGCCCAGTATGAGATTCTTCGGGCTATAACAGCTTCGAGCAGCTTTCCCAGTGTGTTGAGCAGGGATATCGGGCGGTAGGCCCCGGGCACTGTGTAATTCGGCTTGCCAGGTTTGCGGAGAACAATGATCCGCGCCTGTTTCTATTCTCTGGGGTAGTAGCCTGAATCTACCGATCTTGTGAAGATGGTGGTGATTATTTCCTTCAGAGATGTCCAGAGATGTTTCCAGACCAGTGTAGGAATTCCGTCTTCTTGAGTTAAACACTTATCAGATTAGCGTTGTCTTGGGCTGATGCCATTCTTGATATACGGAACTAAACAAGCACTTTGGGACACCATATAAAATCAATTGTATCGCTATCCTTCGACTGCCTGTCTTTCTGGTACTAGAGAGACCATACAATCCCAAGCTGGTCAGAGAGCACGAATGCATAAAGGACGTACAAAAGATCCTACAGAATTATGTACTAAGTCAAAGTAGATTCTCTGATGGTCTGTGAATGGGTGGCTTCCCAATACTTGAACAAAATTGAACGGGCATGCTATATATAGCCGGAGTGGCCAGGAACCAGGGAGCGGGGCGGACGGGGGATGGTGAGGTTTCTGATGACAGGCGATTGCTGCTGGCGCAGGATTGGGCTGGTTTCAGGTAGTCAGGATGTAGCGTGGACCAGTAAAGGGCCGACTGATAACGCATGGGTAGACTAGATAGACTAGGTAGACTAGAGGAGATAGGGTAGACTGAAAAAAACCTGTCAGAATCCCTCCGTCTCTCTCCCCCTGTCTCCTTTTCTCCTTCCATACAAACTCTTCCATTTTTCTCGCTCTCACCGCCACTCACTCGTACTCCTATCTTGGCAGAGTTCCCCGTGCATAGGCGATGAAAGAATCGACAGCATTATTGATGATTCAGTCCTCGACTGCTCAGGTCTCAAACTTAGAATCCGACCAGCGCAGAGATTAGTTTCCCCTCCTTATCAGCCCATCCCTCGACTCCCTAGACCTTCTATATTGCATCTTATGTCGCACTTTGTGTTTCCCTATCAGTTCTGAAAGTCGTAAACCTGTTTGTTTGTCGTTCACACGCTCACTTGCTTTGCTAGACGCAAGGGGCCCCACCCTGATGTGGTTAATCAAGCCTGGCGGTTAATCAAGAACAATCAATCGGTTGGACACAAACCAGCCTCTTAACTACTATCTACCCGCCCGATCGATACGGGGTAATTTAAGTCCTTTGTTAGGTGACCAAAAAATTCCACTTTCTAACTCCGCGCCTCGTATTCTCTGATAAAGCCGAAGTTGAGTGGCTGGGAGCCGGGAGCCTGTTCTTTGGCTGCAGGGACACACTCCGGCTTCTTTTTCCTGTTTACTTTTTCCCCTGAATGCATATTTCATTGCGCAAGAAACGATACTGTAGATGTAAGTGTAATGTATTGTCGATCCATTACTGCCGCTTAATTTAAAAGATAAGAGTCAATAGTGGGGTATATCTGTGTATAACGACTGATGCCATTAGTTTAGTTTTTGCCGAATCCTGGTGGTGACTGTGTACCATGGACCGTTGGATACGTAATCTAACTATAACACTACAGGTTATCAACACATATTCATCTATCTGCGACGGTTCTAATCACTCCTTGATTTCTGAGATTGACCGCTGGAATTGTTGGATGCTGTCTGAATTGGACCAATATGTACAACACCAAATCAATATCCTAATTGCTGATAACCGGTTCCTCCAATACGTATGAATATTCAATCAAGTTCCTCAACCTCTATCCCAGCCCCTGTTGCATGGTTGCTACACACATGTTGTGTTAGCTAGCTAGGTGCTTACTAGGAGCCAGGGGAACCTGACATGGGTAGTACGTTTCATGCGGTGTAAAGTATTTGACGCATCGCGAGGATAATCTTGCAGGTGGTGAGAGATGCTACTGCTACGGAATGATGGTGTAGTTCCAATCCTTCCGATAACGTACCTTAAGTAGTAATTATCCTAGCATACATTTGCAGATACATCGATTACTCAATTCTCATAGACAAGATAATCCCATCATGACAATTTACACCGTCATCCGACTGGAAGCTTAAAGCCTACCACGCGACCGTCGAGCTCAGCCCATCCAGCTCGCGCTGGTAGTTCCGGTGCTGCGCGATCTGGTAGAAGAACATGCCCACGAAATCCTTGGCGCCCTTCGCAATCTCCACGCTCTCCTTAAAGCTCTCCGGCTTCTGCACGCCACCGGCCGTGACCACGCCATACCACTCCACGGGCTGTGCATTGGAGTTGGTAACCACTTGCACGTCCAGCACGCTACCCAGCGCCTCCTTCATTAGCTCGGCCGCTTCACCCATACCAGCCAGTGGCTTGAGGTGGCCAAACGTCTCAGCAATCCAGTACCGAATCTGCCCGTTCTTCCGCAGCGTCTCCACGTGTGGTCCACCGGGAATGAACGTCGCATCAAACATGGTCGATCGCTGTCCATCGTACTGGTGGTCGGCAATAATGCCCTGTAATGTCTCCTTCGATTCACCGTCAGCATAGATGGGCGACCGCTTGGTGCCGATAACGAACAGCAGGGCACCCGCCACCTTCACGGCAGTCTGAATCCCCTTGTAAGCCACCGGGTCGTATCTGTCGCCAATCATGATAGCAATGCGTCGACTGGCAATGGTTGGAGTCTTGGGAGGAAACTCGGTCTGGGAAAGATAGATAGTCTTCCGGCCGTGGTTGGCCATGAGGGCCTTCTGGAGAATCAGGGCGCCCACAACTTCCGCCACCTGCTGCGCCAGGGTCAGGTTGATCTCAGCCAGACACTTGCCCGCCATGCGCTCGTAGACGATGTGATCATCGCAGTGGTCCAGCTCAAAACCGAAAGCTTTGACGATGTGCAGCTTTTCATGCTCCGACATGGAATTATAAAAGAGTTAGGCCTGGGAATAGTGTTCGCGGAACTTGGGGCTCAAAGCGCGCCTCTTGCTGCCTTGTGCCGGCTCCGGATAGGACTCGAAGCCACCACCCTGGGGAGCGGGTTCGTCGGGCTTCGCCGCCTCGAAGCGGTTGGGCCAGTAGTTGATACTACCCTTAGTAATGCGGTGCTTCATGGCACCATCGCGATTGTGATTCAGCACGGGGCAGACAGGGCGGTTGATGGGCAGCTCCTCCCAATTAATTCCGAGACGGCTAATCTGGGTGTCAAAGTAGGAGAAGTTGCGGCCCTGGAGGAGAGGGTCATCAGAGAAGTTGATACCGGGAATAATGTGCGAGGTATAGAATGCGACCTGCTCTGTCTGCGGGAAGAACTCATCCACGTTGCGGTTGAGCTCGAGCACACCAATGGTGCGGGGCGGAACCAGATCCTCTGGCCAGATCTTGGTCGCGTCAAGAATATTGAATTCAAAGTCATCCTGTTTCTCCTCAGGGATGGTCTGGATTAACAGATCCTATTTCGGATAGGCGCCGTTGTCAATGGCCTCCATCAGATTCTTACGATGAAAGTCGGGATCTTGACCCGCCAGCTTCAGGGCTTTATTCCAGACGAATGAATGTACTCCTAGGTGAGGCGTTTAGATAAACTTAACCAAGTAGCGCTTGCCCTCCTTGTTGATGAGCAAGAAGGTGTTAACACCAAACCCTTGCATCATCCGGTAGGACTGGGGGATCGCGCGATCCGACATGGCCCACATGAACATATGAGTGGCTTCTGGGTGCAGGTAGCAAAAGTCCCAGAAGTTATTATGGGCGGTCTGCGCTTGAGGAACCTCATTGTGGGGTTCGGGCTTGACAGCATGGACTGCGCCAAATTAGCCAGGTCAGGGACAGGCAAACGGGTTGGGATGAGTTGTACCGAAATCAGGGAACTTGATGGCATCCTGGATGAAGAAAACCGGGATGTTATTTCTAACCAGGTCCCAATTACCCTCGTCGGTGTAGAATTTGGTCGCGAACCCACGAACATCACGCACCGTGTCGGCGCTTCCCTTGCTACCCTGCACGGTGGAAAAGCGGACGAAGACTGGTGTATTCCGCGATGTATTAGTTAGGACCTTGGCATAGGTGACGTCCTCGCAGTTCTCAAGTAGCTTAAAGTTTCCGAAAGCGCCGGTTCCACGGGCATGAACAACACATTCGGGAATCCGCTCGTGGTCAAATCAGTGAATCTAGGATACGATCAGCCACTGAACACCTCTCCATATTATCAACACAGGCATGTTGAAAAAATACCTTTTCGCGCGCAATCTGATCCTCCAGTAGCGATGGACCTGTGCAGCGGTCGTCGACTGACCGCAGCCAGTTGTCGGTATTGCTAATGGGCACGCCGTGGTCGGTGGTCTGACGCTGGTTAGTAGTGACATCAACCAGGTCGCGCTCTAAGTCGACCGTCTTCTTATTCTTAGAAGCAGCCGTCATGACGGCTTCATGAGCCTTTTCAAGCCCTTCGGCAATGACCGTGGTCATGGTGAAACTGTGGGGTTGCTGGGAACAAAGCTAGTGGTAAGGGGACTCGAGAAGAGCTAGTAGATGGCAACAGAACAATTCCAGCGATCAGGGGTCGAGCCTAGGTTATGTATAACAATAGAGGATCGTCGAAGCCCTGCCCAGTTCTGCGAGCCAGCTAGACATCCTCTGTAATGAGGGCTGCCGGATTGGCTGTCTGGCACGTAACCATGACGGTGCGACCGAGACGTCACCGTGACCACTTTTTTCCCCAGATCCTCAAACTGCTTAGAAATGCTGCAGGCTGATCCACAGGTTTCGAGAGTCTAGGCATGGAGCCAAATCAGGCTGTCTTCTCACGGACGAGTGGTGCTCGGGGGCGCTTATTGGAGTGTCCAGTGGCGGTGGTAGGAGGTGATGTTATGTTATTATTCAAGTCGGTCCTCATCGGCAAATGCGGTCCGTTAAGCTAAGGACCGTGATACATTCGCCATCCATCATCCACCGCATCATTTGCAATTTCCAAGGATTGCTGAACCCTGAAGCTTGAATCTCGGCAGATCGCGCTGACGCGCTGCGAAAGGCAAATGTTCCGCAGCCTTCGCTGCTGACTCACGACCCTCGACGGTGTCCCCGACTGGGGTTTGCGGAAGGGCAACTACGGGCCCTCCATGGTCGTCATCGTGTGCAGGCGGGAGCCACGGTGCTTCCTCCTACTGATCGCTGGTGGACGGTTGACCTCTATGAGGACGGTGTGTGTTGTACGATCCATGGCTCCATTGTCCAGAGGGCTGACTATCATCGTAGATATTGGTGAAGAACTGAAGACCTCTCTCGTAGAGGAATATGCAAACCAGAAGAAACCGACCGACGGGGAAATTTATCGTAAGATTCGGCAGTACGAGGGTGAGGGTAATGAAGCTTTCCGGAAGTGCTGGTTTGTCCGGCTGTCATCCAGCAATAAAGACCGCTTGGATCAATAGATAAGAGAAAAAACCGTCGTCTTCGGCGAGTCTTCGATCGCTTACTGCCAAATCCGGGGCTCTGGCCACATGGGATGAGGATCAGTATGCTCCACCGATTGATCGCCACATGTTGCGTTGAAGTGGGTTTTTGATCCCGTTTTCCCACCTTGATAATCAATTTCTCACTATTCTGTAGGAGATATTAGATTGCCTCATTCATGTCACAGAGTTCTGGTTCTTTATAGTTGACTCCGATCCTGTTTCAATGAAGAAAATTGATTCGGATTTTGTTGACGCCTTGCAGTTGCTGGCACCAGGAAAATCCCGGACCCATGCGAAAAAGGCCTGTGGATTGGGCCTTAGTGGCCAGACGTTCGCGGAATTCAGCGAGGAAGAGTGAAGGATGATTTGGAGTCGAATGAAAGACTTCGATGGGCTCATTCCGTCCTTGTACATTTTTTTGAGGATTTCAAGTTTTCAGAAAGTCCGACACCATCACTAGCCTTTTTGTCCGCCGCTGTGTCTATATCGCGTTCTTTGGAGAACCTGCACGACCTGCACGACCTGGACACGCTGAAAACGATCGAACCGGAGGGTCTCCCGGAGACTATCCCGGGTCACCACTTTTCGTCGAAGGGGACGCTCCCTCGGGTGATTACTTGCCCATGGACGCGGAGAGGCAGAATGCGGAGCCCTCGAATCAGGATATGTCAAATCAAGAACATTCATCCCAAGTGCTTTGTGAAGGATTACCAGGAGAGGGCCAAAGTAGCATTGATTTGCGGATGGCGCTTACACCGCACGTCATGCATGGCCCTGGTTCCCCAAAAGAAGCAGACATTCATAGTCGCTACACGAGGAATTCCGCTGAAACTCCTCCATCTGAGCCGGACTTGAAAGACATAACAACACCCGAGGTGCAGCACTCAAACTATGAACTTGCAAGTCAGCAGTGGATTGATCTCCATCACAGGCACAGTCCAGGGAACCGGAAGGCAGCCAATGTTCCGATGTTCACCTCGCTAGCAGGCAACAGGTGTTGGTTGAGTACCTTGATCAACTGTTGAGGGCCCAGGGAGAAGTGGAACGACTGGACGAAGAAAGAGAGCACGAGCGGCTCGAGGAGGAACTTGGTCTTTCTAACCAAGAACGTCCAGTGTCGAAAGAGTCACCTAGATCTCACGAGGGACAAGTTTCGTCGCCGAGGACCCCGCGGACGAGCCACCGGAGGTGACGCCTACTGAGGAGCCAGGCTTGACACAGGGCCCCATCTCTGAACCTACTCAAAGTCCTCCACAAACTGGCCAGCCCGCTGGGCAGGCACCAGTATCATCAGATTACGTCAATATCTCCTTTTGGTCTTTTGGACGAGATGAGTGGAGGCAGTCCGACTGTCTTCGAGTGAATCCTTCCGACCCATCACCGGTGTCACGGATCGCACGGAAGTATTCGTGGAAGAACTATTCGCTGTATGATAAAACCCTTCAGAGCCTCAGCCCCGCGCAGTGTTATCGCGCAGCGACTGTTGACGGCAATAATGCCATCTTCCTGATCTCTGAGCATGAGGAGCAAAGGCTCGCAGCTGAGGGCCGACTCAACAAGGACAGGCACCTTCTATTCTTGGTCTCCCAGGTCCGGGATCGAGCGGAAACCCAGCCGAAATCACCCAATAAACGTCACTGTTCTACGTCGCTCGGGAGAGTGTGAGAGGATTCTCAGGATTGGTTATAGATATGTGGCTCTATATAAGGCTTTTGTATACATATGAGCTGTATTGGTTCGAGAATGACGTCTCCGAGCGGCTAGCAGTACAAGAAAAGCCTTTTGTACTGCCCTACGACACGTATGGATATTTTACGTAGCGATACTCAAGCAGCAACTTATGGGAATAAGTTGATATGTGAATGATCAAAAGTGATTTTGGGACATGGAAGTATCAGACCAGGAGGAGTCTTCCAGGACGGAATGGCTCTCATGAAGATCCTCTTGTGAGGAAAATAGCCGCGTGAGAAATTTTCTGATATCTAAATACAAATAAGAGGCATACAGTCATGTGAAACACCTCTTCGAAACCCAAGCCTTCTAGAAACCTCGACTTATAGCCATAACGATCATAAAACGTCGTGTATAGAAGCATACAGCATGAGCTGTGGCTGCTGCATTCGTCTTTGAGACTCAGCGGAGGACAATTCTTCAGCAAGACTCTGTTATTTTCTCCTAGCTAATTCTGTAGCTCAATTTATCACCACAGCGCCGACATCTTGGTACAGTAGTGGGCCTTCTCTTGAGGGCCTAATGGGGCGGATTCTCATTGGTTACGAAGCAACCCCCCGCAGTCGGCTTTGCCATACCAAAAGTATTCGCTGATTGGCCTCCTCACCTGACAAAATGGGTCACTGCGTACATCCCGCAGTGCCCTCACAGTTCCTCGATCTCTACCGCTGCGGTCCGACGAACCTATTCTTTGATTCTGCCGTGGCCCATGCCTGCGTAGTCTCCTGTCGTGTTGTCAGCCTACCAAAGATGCTAAAGTGGCGTTCCGGAAGCTGTCTCAAAGGGGACGATCGTGCCCTGTAGTGTCTTAGTTTCTTGCGTCGATATGGAGTACTCTTTCAAAACAACCAAAAAGAAGAAAAATCTATGGAAACTTGGTCGCTTACCTGTAGCAGCGCCACCTAAACCGTAGCGAATTTTTTCTCGTGGCAACAAGTCAAAACGAGCTCTTGTTGTCATTTGGTGTGTATACAGGCTTGCTGCAACTCCCACTTAAGCAGACTAGTATCTGCAAGGAAGGCTCAAGGGTATTATAGAAACATCTTCCAGCCCAACAATGCATTATCCTCACTTGGCCTAGAGGTATTGACTCGGCCTCAAGGCGGGAGGTTTTCTCACTTCAGTAAAAGGTCTGGCGAAGCTTAGGACGCGGAAAGTCACTTCAAATGGCATTTCTTTATAACGCTTCGAGAAAGAGGATGGTCACTCGACAGGACACTGGCACACGAAAGCTGGCTGCCTTTGATGGGTCCGTGAAGATGACTTTATATAGACCGCGCACTTCAATGCCAAGCATGATGCTCTATACCTGATTAAGAACACTATACCAGCCGGGCAATTTTACAAATATCAATGTCCCGCAACTTCTTATGGCACATACCCGTTCCAAAGAAGACGGTTCAATCGAATACCTGACCATGCCCACCCGGTGAAATTTTTCACCACTTTTCCACCGGCTCCAGCTGCCCTTTCCCTTGGTCTGTAGGACATATAGATCCCCAGGCCCGGGTTATGATAGACCGCGATCCGGCCTCTCAAAGGACCCACCACATTTTGCATGAAAAACAGACGGTCACCTACAAGTTCGTCAATTCCTACTAAGCGTGAGGCCGTGTTCTGATGCTGGTCAAATGAAGAAATAGAATCGGGGTGTTCAAGTTTCGGCACCCAGTGAAGATTCGTCGAAAAGAAAGGGCAATTTTGTCTCTCCACTCAACCATTCACGTACCATCCGGGAAGCCGTGGTTTCAGTCGAACACAGCCCTGGCTGGTCATCTTTAGGAAGTTGCACCTTGTTCGAACCATACACCTACCTTTTTCTGACCCAACCGGGCTCTGCTTTGCACATAGCCTGGTTAGAGTACCTTGTTGGTGCGAGGTCTTTCACCCAGCTACCAGACGGGCACTCTTCACACGGACACTCTTCGAGGGCCTATTGTGCACTGCCATCACCCAATTGAATGGACATATCCTCCGACTGAACATTATACTTTGCCGTGTCACTTGAGATGAGGAGAGATTGGAGGTTGATTATTGCCTCCATGAATAACCCGCGCATCAATCTCGTTGATATGACCCAGGTCAACGTTGGACGGTGTTTCCGAGCACAGAGGCGTCCAACGAGAGCTTTCCTCAAACGCCCGGCCATCTAGCTGAAAGTTGGGTGTGAGTAACTAGCTAGTCCATAACTTGCTTTATATCCAGGTCTCTTATGGGGCCTTGGCCGCAGGCAAGGAATCTGTCTAGGCGTGTATGAAGAAATCCAGCTTGCTATTAACCTAGAAGGCAAATAAACATTTTATGGAAGAGGCCTTCCAAGCTAATCTTTATCTGCTTGATCTTCGAAATCAGACGCTAATAGCTATATAGTATACTAACATAGTCTCCCTAACGATGAAGATCGAGCAAGGCTAATATAGTTATTAATTGCTCTTCTACTGTGGAAATACCGTATTCACGCCAAGCTCTCGCCAGAACTGGGCTGCACTCATGCTTTCATGCTAATTAATTATGGAATAATTCTTCTTATCTAGGGAGAGTAGTATGCTTGAATATAATAATTTATTCTGCTTCTGCCACTTAGCAACTTTGATTGGGTTATATAAAGGAGGTGTCTCCTTGCTATTAACTAATATAGACTTTGCCTTAATCTAGTGCGCCTCCAGAAAAAGATTATCTTGCTATATAGTATAATTCTCTGAACCTTTAAGTATTATTAGGTTATAGTTGGCAAATTACTCTTTTATAAGCTTCCTTATCTATTCTTGCTCTTACTTAGCACGTCCGTTTAAGAGGTTAATATAGGCGGATCTTAAGGTGCAGTTAAACGTCCTTGGATTTAGTTAATCTGGTCTTGCAATTGTTATATTAAGTTATTATTGTCTGGGGACCTAGAATCGATTCTTCATTGCTGTCTAGTGGATTAGGGGTATCCTCCAGCTTAAATGGCTTAGGTTGCTTAGTCAGATCCAAATGGTTGTTGGCTGATTATGGTGTCTGGGGATCCTGATATAATCAGTTTCTAGTTAACATCTTGAATGGTACTGCGGATCCTCCGCCTCTTTTTGGTTTGTTGTTTGGCATAACTATTAGTGCCTGTTTGTTCGGGCCTTATTCAGGGGCTTGGTTGTTGTGCTTCTCTCCCCCTTAAATCTAGGACAGGGGATTTCCATACACTTTAGCAAAGAACTAATCGGTCATCCTCTATATAGCCATACGTAATTAAGGACTTCCTTTCCCTCGTTAGGCGTTATAACCTGTGAAGCGATGGATGCTTGTCCATTGGATGGGACCAGGTTGGCTCTGGTTTCTTACTAAAGAATGATTAATCAAGGGAGCTAAACTTAAAGGGGCGTGGTCACATTCTAACAGACTAATAGAGGCATGTGACTATTTGTCAAGACCCTAATGCTTACATCACAATAGTTGGGGTGAGCATGTTCACCCCGCTCATGCCCACTAATGTGACAAGATCGCCTATAGACTCTAGCATACATGGAACATAATGCTGTATTCAGCCATCGCTGCTCTTCAATTATAATTCAGGATTGTTAGCCTACAAACTCCGCGCAGCACACTCTATTCATCACATTTTAAGGTAATATTATTGGTAGGCGAGGTCACGTGGCTAGAACCCGCTGTCGGAACATACGGACGTCCCCTTCCGCCTGCCCTGGGGTTCGACCTCGCTTAGTCATCACTTAGTAAGCAGTTACACCTAAATAGCTGGCCTAAGGGCCACCCAATAGGAGAACAATCGGTCGCTTCCCACAAGTGTTGAATATCACGTGATGTCACATTAGCAGGGATTGGGAACAGAGATATATATTTGAGGCATCCCGCCCCTGTAAGGATAGAAGTGAAAAAAAAAAAAAAAAAAAAAAAAAAAAAAAAAAAAAAAAACCTAACAATCAATCAATTTATTCTCACTTCAACACGCCTAGGACGACAGAGCTCTGGGTACCTAGAGCAAGGCCCACTATGAGACTTATTTGCATCTTCTGGAGGTTTCCGGTTATTGCAAGTTGCGTCCACAGGAGAGCTAGAATTTGCCCACAGAGCCGTCAGTTTGTTCCTGAAGTCTCCCCTCCCGCACCTGCCTGTGAAGAGCTTATGGAACAGATCAAGACGGTCCTGCTCCTCTTCATCACACGGTAACATATAGACTCCTCTCCGATATCCCAGATATGTGCGGCCGTTTTATTCGAGGAAGAGACTTCTATCCAAAGACCTAAGACAGATAAATAATGGTAGACAAGGGTCAGTCACTCACTGAGTGAATATAAATGACGTATAATCAGCACTTCAGGTGTGATAAATTTCCGGGGGAGGAGTGGGGTTGGTTGAAGGAGGAGCTGGAAGGAAATGAAGATAAAGTGAGGGCAAGGAAGAGACCAGGGAGAGATACTTGCTATAAGAATGGCTCATGCTTGGAGACCCATTGCATACCAAGTACTCGCTGCTGGTTGGGGCTTTTCTGGAGGGTTCTTGGTCGGTAATGAAGCGAATATCCATAGCGTCCGGCTTTTGTCCGAAACCGCGCATTCTCATAAGATGCTGCGACTTAGAAAGGTGAAGTGGTCGCGAGACGGCGAAGCCAAGATGACTGGCTGATGCAAACCCCGACCGTTCCCAGATATGAAATTCGGGATATCAAAGAGTTAGTCCACAGGGAATCTGTCTTGTCCTGCTAAGAATATGACTGAACTGAATACATTCGTAAAGTGACCAGTATCATTGCCGGCGAAAGAATACTGACTTTAGCCAACAGAAACTAAGAGTCAGGTAGCGCAGAGTAAGGTGAAGTTCGGTTCCGCAGATAGATCCAAGAAAGTAAGGTCGATCATCACGTGGTTAGAGCTCGATAACCATCAGGTTGGCTCTACGCTTCGGCGACCGTAGCCAAAATAAGGCCTATGATCACTCTTTTTACTCTACTTCCTTGAGCGAGTGCATGCATTCCGCTGGTCATTGCAGTGTGTCTAATCATAACAAATAGTTATGGGTCTTCTCATTGTTCTCCCCCTTTGACGTCTTCGGCTGTAGCTGAGTCATCATCAGTTGTGTAGGATTGGAGTCAAAATCCTTCTCCGTTTTCTGAGTCGGCCCATTTATCCTAGGATATCGAAAATCTGAGTAACCATATGATCTCGTCCTCATGGCTTGGCTCTTTGGCTCCGTGGCTTAGTCATCATGGAGATTTTCCTAAGTATCTAACCAACCACATAGATCAGGAATCCATTGTTTGCCAGAGCTCACAAGGCTGAGTCATCATCATGATTTATCTCAGCATGCATAAAGAGTTAGGAGATGGACCGAGTGGAGCGCAATAATTTAGCGGTTACTCTGGGATTCGAGCAGTACCCAGTTTAAGATTGTTGGCCAGCAATCCATGCGCGACATAAAGACCGGGACAATAAGCCCACTAGGTAAGTGATCCAATATAGACCACGATTGAGAGACCGAAATCGGGAAAAGGCAACAAGCCGACGGTTACAAGCCGTATCGGGCCATGGGACACTACCGCAGAAAAGCCAGCGCCCACAAGCAGGAGCATTCAAGCCGAAGCTTCCTGCCCAGGGACGGAAAGCTAGTGACTTTGGTCCCAGTCCTTAGAAGAGTCGTCCGCAATCCTGGTCGGACCTTGGGCCGCGGACCGTGAGCCAACTTGGCCTGCGCACAGCCAACTGGCGTCCCGAACGGTTCGCTGTCCACGTGGGCTACTGATCTGAAGCTCATGGTTCACGCTGTTCCCTCAGAGTACTGCTGCTCGCCTAAAGTGACTACTGTCATAGAAGTTCAATCGTAACGCCAGGGTCGATTTCAGCCAGCCTAATATTTGCCACTAACCCCATGCTAAGGCTTTGACTCACCTGGCTTGCAGCATCATCGACACTCCTTCGAGTAGGCTTGTGAAGGGACAGGCTGGTAGGTAGGAATAAATGAACATCATGAGAAGCTCGCTCTGGTATGGCATGAATTATGGGAATTTCTGCTGAGGAATGCACCAGGCAATGTCTTTCGCAATCTCCGACCGTAGTGCTTATCCGACCATAAGAGCCTTCGCCGAATCACTAGTCAAAGAATGTTCTTGATGCTCTATGCAGACGTGCCAGTGCGCAGCGGATGCTTAGGCATTTTGAAGGCTCGGCTACAATCACTACTCAGGGCATTTGAATCAATATGCCCGGCCGAGGCGCATACGATACCACAGGGGTGAAAAAGCCAGGAGCACCACCTCCGCCGCCATCAACTCGGTAGACAAATCACGTGACTGTGATGCTAGGTGATCAGACAATAATGGATAAGGGGAGCTTTCTTGGTGCCGAACATTCTCCGGATCTAGGTCCACGCGCCCAGATCCGAGATGTCTCCACGGCCATTGCCTCAGGCCATTATGGCCAGGCTACGCCGCCCGAGCCCTACCGCTTGACTCCACGAGCCCCGGTTGCTGTTCTGCCGTTCTTTGTTCCTGTTGAAAATAAGTAGTCTTTGGATAACCAAATAGAGCCTTTTCCTAAATTTTTATAACCAGTGTAGCAGCCATCGCTTGTGGCCCTACTACCCTTGGATGGGAGGGGCTACTACCATGGAGGCGGCCTAATGGGTATGCACCTGTGCTGCGTGCTTATCCTTGGTGAAAAGAATAGGTGATTGTGAACTGGCATCCCGTGCGCCGGCGTTTGAGACTGACACTAGTATGGTACTTCATCCCTGACCTCTATTCATTTATACCGTGTTAGCTGAAGCAGAGAGCACCCTTATATTCTATTATTATAAGAGATGGGCTATGATGTTTATTTAGATTGTCTGTCTACCATCCTGTTTCTTCTTTCGCATACAAATTGGATCGCTGTTATTTAATGTTGTCACCCCAGCTCACCCTCTCCGCGCGTCCTCTCAGCCGACCGGCTGTTATAAGAGGAATGGAAACTGCACACATCTGTTTCGCACCTTTACAAGCTTGGATCCCCCATTGCCTGGCAGTGTAAGACAAGACTGATATCCGCCATGGCAGCATGACCACGAAGAATACAGAAACGTCTTTCAGATAGCCCGAAATCAAAGCGCCAATAATAAAGTCGCCGAAAATATAACTTGTTCTTTAAATCCTTCGAGTACTGTCACGAGTGTGATGCGGATATATTCATCATGGTCCGAAACAAGAAAACTGGCTAAATCTTATTCTTTAACTCCGACAGCAACTGGCCCCCATCACTGGAGGAGCTGGTACAATATTCTCTATAGCAATATTGTGAGTACTATTCTAATAAGATGATTTATAGGCCTCGTATTATCCAAGCCGAAACAGATCACGTGGAAAGAACTAGCTGCCAGATACGCGATCAAAGAGTCGCAGAACGTGCTGAGTGACCAGCCACAAGCCCGGGGAACTGAAAAAGTTCGTAGTGCTGTAGCGGGGTCGAGAAATGAGAGTGAGATTGTGGCATATAGAATAGAATGCGAAGGCCCCGGAACCGCGAACGATACTAGAGTTTGCAGTTGAGCCTCAACTGGTAAAGCAGATAGTATATACCCTGATTATAATGTTACCTGGGTCTTTGTCGCGAGGGTTTGGATTGCTTCGTTTCTACTAAACGGAATAGCACTGATGACTATTGAGCTCCGAGCCTACTCCAGCATTTCTGCTGTATTGTTGTATTGTTCACTATAGACCTTATTGACTAGATAGTCAAGGCCATGCTGCCTAGTTTTTAGCTGGAGATCTCAATAGAGTATGTTAATTATTCCAGTCCAGCTGTGCTCCGTTTCCTATCTCATACTCTACTCTAAGCTTGTCCAGGTCTTCGGGCTACATTTGCTATACTAGTAAATTATCTAACCAGACTACTTTGTCAGGTCTGAAGATTAATCTGGAATGTGTCTTTATCTGAAAAGATAGTAGTAGTAAAGCTAGAGCCTGAGGTATAAAGCAGATATGGATTGAAATAGGACGCCTCATGGTGAGCTGATTATATATGTGATGTTCCGAGGTCCTGGGCTTGAAGCGCCGGTTCTATTTGGAAAGCTCCAATGCCTCAGGCAAGGCAGGTCATCTGACCCACCTTGCTGGCCAAGCACTAGTCACATCTATATATTTGGCGCCGCTCCCTCACATTTTCTCATCTGATCAAGTCGCGTTCCATGTTGCCGCCCATGGCAAATATACAACTTCAAGTCCTATCGGATCTCCACCTGGAATCTCTAGATGCCTATGATATTTTTAGTATCGAACCCAAGGCCCCGTTTTTGGCATTGCTAGGCGACATTGGATATGTTAAGGATGAGGGGTTTGTTCCGTTTCTCCGCAGACAGCTGTCCATCTTCCAGGTTGTCTTTATGGTTCTAGGAAATCATGAAGCCTACCATAGCAGTCGGACAGAGACAAAGTCTAATTTGGAACGTTTCAAAGAGGAACTAGATGAGGCGTCTCGGAGAGGTGAGGCGCTTGGGAAATTTGTTCTGCTCGACCAAACGCGGTACGATATCTCACCAACACTTACCATTCTCGGCTGCACATTTTTCTCTTATATCACCGAAGAACAAATGGAAAGTGTCAGCTTTGGTCTGAACGATTTCTACCACATTCGCGATTGGTCGGTCGAAGCCCACCGAGAAGCGCATGCTGCGGATATTTCCTGTTGAATGCTGAAATTGACTCGATTTCGCGCTTGGAGCCTGGCCGAAAAGCCATCATCTTGACACATTATTGTCCATCAACGCATGAAGAAGTCGTCGACCCTAGACATAACAACAGCAAACTTTCTTCTGGGTTCATGACGGACCTTTTAAATGAGCAGTGCTGGCAAAGTGAAATTGTTACACTCTGGGCCTTCGGACACACCCATTTCAACTGTGATTTCCGAGACGTAACGACAGGGAAAAGAGTGATGACAAACCAGAGAGGCTATTACTTCTCACAGTCTACGGGATTCAATGCGGAAAAGGTGGTGGAACTGAAAGATACCTAAAGGCGACTCTTCAGTCCTTAGGCAAGGTCAACCTGACGGTAGTTTGGAGGAAAATCGAACCACTGAATTAGTCAACATCAGTCGTATCGGTCAACCTTGTTTGACTTGGAGGAGCCGTCCCTTTGACATCACGGCGGAGGTCTTCCAGAATTGAATACATCGTTGGATCACTCAGCTTTAAGGCAGGGTAAAACTGTTTATAACCGTCTCGCAGATTTTCTTCGTCGAGAATATCTGTCCCATCAACGTACTCTAGCATATACGTCAAGATCGCCATCCATTAAGTCTCGCAGGCAGCTCCGTAATCCCGACAGAGCAACAGAATAAGAGCCTCACAATACCTCGAGGCGCTCGGGATTCGGACGAAACTAAAGTGTGGAGATCGCCCTCGACCGCGACCTAGGGTAGCTGGAGGAAGCCTTGCGTCAGACGCGCACATAATATTCAAATTGGATTGGTCCAGAGCAGCCTCGAATTCTGGAAACTCCCAGAGCACATCAGATTTCCGGTACAACGATATCGCAAGCTCGTCATCGATATGAAGGTGTTTATAGGGCGGCTGGCGCGAATTCGAATGTGGGCAGGCGAAAGGTCGAGAGCAGGGCTGAAAGCCAGCTTCAGCGAGGGTGGAGAGGGATATTTCGATGAGCGCATCTGGCACGACGAAGGACACACCCTGTCAGTGTGAGTGGTATTCGAAGACCATGTCATACCAGGATACCATACTCACATCAACAACTGTTGGATCTCCGTATACGGTTAATAAATAATTGCCCCAAAGCAGATTCGAGACATTGACATCGTCAAGAAGGGAAGAAATTGATGTCACTAGGTCACTATCTAGCTGTTGGCCACTGAAGTGAAACGTAGTCATTTTGGTTGGAACTTGGAGCGATGGCAGATGGACACTGAAGCGGAGTCCAGAGACGGTCAGCTTTATAAAGTGTCCAAGGTTTGCAGAACATTCAACAGTGGGAAGGTGTTGTTCGAACGTGATCATGCTCTTTGTGGCTTAGCTCCTCAATTAGTCATCTCTAGGTCGAGGGGGATCCGCCCGGCCCTGCTGGAGAGGTCGGTCCACTGTGTGCTGAATGTGTTCGCTAAGAACTGACCTGCAGGACTAGTCGATGGCAAAAAAGCCGACTCGGAAAAAAGTGGCGGTTTTTTTCCCTCCCTCTTTCAGAAATCTGGTCCAGATGGTGGATATTATTCATAGTTGAGTGAACCATGACGGCCGATGAGATGAGAAATCTATCGTTTAATATTGCTCATACTCTGTTGCCATGTTGACACCGCGCTGGCCCCCACTGTCTCGAAGCCGACCATGGAAACTACAGGGCATTCCAACTCCACAGATCTCGTCCACGGACACGGTCACCACCATCTACCAGACTTAGACGGGACAAAGACCTTTGACGAAATAATCATTCTTATTCTCGGTGCGACTGGCTTTCTCACCTTCAAGGTAGATGGAAGTTTTGGTATACAAGTTGGGAAGTTAAGAGCATCTATCCCACTCCATTGAGTTGATTCGCCGGACGAGACGTACCGAAGAACTTCACATCTCAGAGGCCCGTCCAGCCAATCATAGCGTCTAACACATTTGAACGACCATTGGACGAAAACTACTCCTTTCTCCACATGGGAGAAAGAGGCTCCCTATGAATTCAGACATTCAGCCATTCAATCACCGTTCCAGACCGTGTGGATAGTTATTGGACACTATCATCATATTCTCAGACTCGGGCCCATGTTTCATCCCTCCGAATCGCATAGTCTATGTAGATTGGATAACATGCGTCCCAATCAGCATTACTCAAATTCTCGTGATAAGGTAGCCCCCCCAGTTTCCTGGGGCCTGAAGACATGTAACCGAGCCCCCATTCACACGAAGGATCTTTTGCCCGGTACATTGACGATTCAGATACGCTGTCAGACGCCACTCGCCACCACCACTAAAGGAGTATTGGGTACAGCCATTACCACTAATGGGTGAACATTCCAATGCAGAATCCCCCCTTTGACTGGTATCGCCCGCGCCGCGGCAGGCCTGGCCAGCTCTATAACAATTGAACGTGTAACTTGCGCGTTTTTCAAGCGAAGATAGAGTGGCATCAGCGGGGTTGGCAGACACGGGCTCAGACTGAGACATCGACTTCGGAATTGACAGAAATGGGAGAGGCAGTCGTGACGGGCAGCAGGAACATTGCGGCACAGAGGATGCGCCTTAGACTCGGCCTCGAATTAAGCGATAATTGAGAATTGGGATAGCTTGCCTGTCCAGCCATTGCTGAAATAGATCGTAAAATGAATCTCGGATGCTTGAGTCTTCGGTATCGCAGCGAAAGGAAAGATTCCCTTTGTCCTCGTCAGTCGAGACAAGGGTAGTTTCTGAATAGATTTTGCAAAGACGTTCTGTAATATTAGAAACGATCGAGTCTTCGATGGGAACAGGCATAGTGAGCGTGATATGGATACCGTTTTGTTCTTGTACTGTGTCCATGCTTTCTCGCTGACAGGTAGCGCGCAAGCTATGCTTTTATATTTACCTCCTCTCGTGGTCACAGATGTTTGAAGTAGTTCAGAGACTCGGAGTAATGAGCTAGAAAACAGTGGCAGGCATTACATCATGCCTAGCAGGAATTGCACAGACACAATGCAACCCCCGGCACCCCCGTATCCCCCAAATTAAAGTTGCATAGATTATACCAACCCAATGAATGAAAGCGCATCACCGTCGTAGCAGCTAGCACTGATGACCATGTTCTTCGGATAAAGCTCAACTCTCTCACTTAGACCTGTGCTCAGTTAGCAAAGGCTCCAAAGGAACCGTGCGGGGCCGGTTAGGAGGCGTCTTCGGGTAGAAGCCGGCAAGTAGACCTCGGAGCCTGTGTCCAGTTGTCAGATAATGGTTCTTTTTTGCATATGCGTTCTGTGTGCATACACATATATCCGCACGCGACTTGGGGGTCTGACGTAAACACCTTAAATTCACTTTTGGTGGCATAAGGCATAGCCATAGATTCACTCATGGCTTGGAGAGTGCTTGCCAGTTGATGTGGATCAAAGCAGGCCAGAAAGCTGTCCTGTGAAAGCGGGCCTTTGATACCCATCTGATTACACGGTTCTTCGGCCGCGCTGCCCAAGGGGCTGTCGCATGTTGCACGGTTATGATCCATTTTAGAACGTGATAGGCTAGATGGCCACGAGATGTTGTCGGTTGGCCGTAGATTATTTCAACTAATAATGCGACGATGTCGTATAAGAACAAGGACGGCCATGCGTAGAGAACAGGCAGGATAGCGAGTGAAAAGCAGAGCTCAGACAGCTCTTTAATCCTCTCCTGTGCAAGCCATTACACTGAATAAGTCCGTCCGCGGGTTATAATTTATCACTGCCATTTTAGAGTTTCATCAGACAATACATTGAAATGCCCTAGACAGATAGTGTTTGACACCAGCCGAGCGCTGTTTACAAATGATATACTGCCATCTTCCATAAGACTCAGTATCTTGACAGATCCAGATTGTCTAGACCTATGCCATATATTAACAGTCAGTCGCATTCCCCTCAGAACAGCGGCGCTGGGGGTTCAGCCGATTCAGAAACCACGGGCAGACTACCAAGAGAAATCAGGACTTTTACCAACTGGGATTTCCACACAGTGAAACAAACAAGTTGCCCATCTTATCCGAAACATTAACTACCCACCATCTACACTCGTCGGCCCAAGATTGCCTCGACTCGACGTTGCGCCGCTCGGTGATAATTCAAACTTTCTGGTCCGAACAGCACCCAGCCCAAGAGAGCTGCCCAGAGAGTTAGTAATCAACTCTGCTTTGATATATAGACCCACATTTCATCTATCGCATGCTTGTCATGTCTCCGTGTTATCTTCAGTTATTCCGTACCCTGGGATCAAACTATCTTTATTCAACTTGCGTCTCTCCGGGCCAATCATTAGTCCGACATGAATGCAACTGGCCCGCCCCAGTATAAGCGGCTACAGGCTCTACAGACAGTGTTAGGACTTGAGACCTCGCATGCTGAGACATCTCACATACAGTGTACGCAAAACCCTGTCCGGATCGGTGCCGGTAGCTACGCCGTGGAGACAGAGAAACATAATAATGCACAGCATGATGATGGTGATCCAGCAGCCATAGCTCATTCCGGTACAAGCCCCAGCCGAACGGCAGACGGTAGCGAGGGGCCCTATGGCCAGGGACAGGTTTTACCTCTTTTAAATGAGTACAGTTTCACGAATTCTACTCTGAAAAGCAGTACATGACGAGCTGACCCCATATCTAGACTATCTGAACGGGTGGAGTAAGTGCAACGTCGCAGTTCTTTTGACTAAACTGACAAAAATCAGCGCTTTAAAGGCCAGCTTGAGGGAACAGAAGTAGTGGAACCAGGATTTCAAGAAGACTGTGTACTAAATTCACTAGTCCTTATTTAGCAGCGGCATTAAAAAGGGTACAACACGCGGCAAGACCACCAGCTCTTGATAACAAGAATCTCCGCCGGTACTAGAGAGATAATTGACTAATAATAAGTCTCTTCTTTCTATTTAATTGTGAGTTAACCGGGGAAACCCACCCCTGAACTCTAGTATAGCTTTGGACAAGACTGGTAAAGATAGAGAAAATAAAATATTTTTTATAAGGACCTTCTCAAAGATAAGTCCCGGAAATAGAAATAGAAGAGTTCAAAGTTATGCGGGATATCTATCACAGCAAACAAGTGCTGTATGTTAGAGACAGATACCATAACAGTCCGTGTAGTTTCCCGAGCAGGCTGGATTAACATTAACCCACGTGTGATCGGGATCTGCGCTTTGATCCCATAAGAGGAGAACCCGGGTACCAGCATAGACCTGGGCCGCTGTAATACGTCCGGTCTCATTTTATATCTCTGGCACATTTTCTGTACATTCTTCCCTTCCCTCGCAGTCCATTATTGACCACACCAGGCATATAATAATAGTGGAACTACTCTCCAATTGCTAGCACATCCCTCAGCCTACGCAGTTACTATATGATTGTCTTTATAAGACACCAGTATGCCCACAGCCCGCGCAGGCAAATGGCATGGAATAATTGCATCAAACCTCCCACCCACTGAAATATAGTAGATATAGGAGGCTAACCCCCCAGCAGGGCTAGTTTACTGTTTAACTGACTATAGCTAGACTATTTTATAACCTTGAATTAGCGGTTGACCTCCATTAAACTATAAAAACTAAGGCGTCACTGAAGCTAAGTATCTCGTGTCACAGCATGGGACATGGGAGCAGTATAACGCGGTCCAGAAAAGAGCTTAAAATAGTTAAATTACATCCATGTCACACGGAGAAGAGTGATCGTTGGCTGTGTTATATTATACTTGAGCGGTGGTGATACCAGGGATTAGGGCCGTCCAAGGGCTGCTCTATCAAGACTGACAGACCAATTTCTCTTTCCATTCCAGAGAAAGTCAACGCGAAGCAGCCGCGAGAGTGGACCAGTCATTCTGGCCCAAATACCAAATTTCGGGTAGCTTTCAATTCGAGGCAATGGGCGTTCAGGTGCCAACGCTACTGGACTCGACCAACTCTGTCGGCAAATTCGGCCCAAGATCCGCCTCTTGGAGGTACCGGACGGCGAAGCACTCCAGTCCCGAGCCGATCGTTGGCCAGAGATTATGCGCCTTCGGTCACATCCGGATAATCCTCCCCAGAGCAAAGAGTGTGTCGTAGATCATGATAGCAAATTAGCCCCTGTGCTACCTTGATTAAAGGCGTTCTCCACCCACACTAGAACAAAAAATGGTCCACGGCGTCCATTTCTTAAAGTTTGCTCTAACACGACTGGCATAGGTCTAGGACGCAGGATGGCTTTCGCTCGATCGCAATCGCATGGCGGCGGGTTGGCGTTCGGTGCTGTCGTTCAGTGCTGTCCTAGTGCCCTGGCAGGCAATTCCAAATCATCGCGCCGGAGTCCCGTAATCCCAACACGCGCGTTATTTTGGGGCGGCAAGACTACAGCTTAAGTCAAAAGATCGCTCCGCTATCGCCTCCCGTCCCCATATCATAGGTCGTGACAGTTTCTTGCGCTTCAGTCTTTGTGATCAACTCTTGCGTCAAGCTTTCCTATGTTAGTTGGTTTGTTGTCATGCCTGCATCTACTCCTATTTTGTGCAGCCCTGACAGGGGAACGCGTGTGGATCTCTAGGGCTGGGAACTGCTGCTGATCGATAATTGGTTCCCGGTCTCCCACAGCGATCGATCAACCTGGACCATCTGGGCCAATCCACACTGGACAAAGAGTTGTGAACGTAAAATTCTGTCTCTAGAGCCGTTCCATGACTATCGATTGAACTCGCATTCCGGGTCTCAAGTCTGGGGGGTTGTATTATCCGATTACCCTAGCGTCACGACAGGATTGCTGATGGCGTCTGGAGCTCCGAACCACTTGATCCAAGCTGGCACCCATTCCACCATACTTTTACGGGATAGCGGTTCAGCCAGAAAAAGGTATCTTGCACTGCGAATGGCTTTGACTGGTGGGGCCTGAAGATCAACAAGTCATGTAGCTGCTATTCGACCTGCCTCCATTGGGCGACTGGAGAACCCCCACATGACCTTGTTGCCCAATCCGCCCGCCACGGTCCTTCATCTCGGCGGCGGATCCGTTCATAGGTCGCTCTCACTATTGCCGGGGTACACTGATACCAACTCAGTCTATCCCAATCCGGATACTGTACCCTTCTCGTCTTCATCCATAACTCGTACGTCGTTAGGTCGGTAGGGGCTCTTGGGTGTCAGTAAATTAGGTCCCACCAGCTGCGATCTGGAAGAATCTAACTATTATTTCAGGGTAAGCAAACTATAGCTGTAGTATTCATGGCCAACTTAGTATGGAAGGTCCCCGATTCATACCTCTCTATAAGACCTCGAGACTGCGGTTGTGGTCCATCCTGATATTAACGTGCGCCCGCTCACCACGTCACTGTTTAGTCACTGACATTTTAATCATCACCCTACCACTCGAGGAGGATGCTGCCGGTCCAGTTCATTGAGAGCATGTCCGAACCATCTGCAGCCATAACTGGCTCCACGCCCAAGGAAACTGGGACAGAAATATCATCTTTTATACCAACCGCATCAAGAGGCCTGATGTTTGTCCCATCACATCCAATTTTCCAGCCGAGAATCGTGCTTGATACCGCTCATAAGGATCTCAGGCAGCACCTCCCAAGCACGTCGGATATTCTTCCCCAAGTTTCGGGGGAATATACTGCAGTAGACGTGCACAGTAAATCTTAAACCAGGAACTGCTAAGTCTCATACACTGATGGTCCTAGAGCTTCGATCAGCCTGTCTCTGTGCCAGAGCTTGCGGCCGATAATCCATACTCTGTGGTGCCACAGCCGGTGAAATCTTTTCCCACTCCGCCTCAGCTGGAAGACGCGGTGTACCAACTGAGTGAATACTAATATCTGTAGATGTCTGATGGAACCCAGGCCCACGCAAACTCGCCGATCCCAGAAAAGAGCGCCGACGCGGACCGGACGAAATCAGAGCCTCTGCGCCAGCAAGCAGACTCCGGCGGTCGAATCGCGCTGTAGCCACAACAAGAAATGACTGAGACAACCACACAGTGATCAGCAGGCAAGATCTGGATCTGCCATGTCCGCTGAGTGCACTGACCAACGGCATGCAGCACATCCCGGTTAGAGACATGTACGCCTGGGTACACCGTCCCGTCGAGACGCGCCGCCAGGAGGCACGGCAACAGCAGGACAGGATCCCACGTCCGCCGAACCTATTCATACTGTACCGGTTAGCTTACAGCAATCGAGCAAAGCACTGGCTTGCACAGAATAATCATCAGGCCATCTCCATCTCCACTGGACAAAGCTGGAAGCTGGAAGTCCCCCACATCCGGGAGAAGTACAAGACGCTTGCGGTAATAGAGAAACGGAACCATGCTAAAGCGCACCCGGGATAGTGGTACTCGCCGTCAAACAAGAAGAAACGATCGCGAACCGCAAGAGCCCGTTCTCAGGGATTGGCAGTGCTTTCAATGCCGTCCTCCACGCCCGGTCAGAGTTCGCAGTCTAACGTTTGGCCTACCTCGTTGGATAATGACCGCACCTGTGAACATTCAACCGGATCTCTTCATGTAGAAGTTAGAAGAGGAGACCCTCATCAAGCGCAATGTATTGCATTCAAATGGCTCTAGCCCGCTGCAAAGTGCCGCCACGGTTTGATGGCAGTGGTCGTCCTATCCCCAGACAGCCGCTTCCGAGCATGATCCTAAATGCACCCAGCCTCAATTCTCTGTCGAAAAGTTAGGGATATACGACTCTGCTTGGGTTCTTCCTCAGCCTGCAGTTCTTGGACCCGAGACTGTCCACAGCCAGTCTTCTGCAGTGCCACTGTCCGTTCCGTACGAGATATGTAACGGTTACGGGAAATGGTCTATGGACGAGGAGCTCCTGGCTGCGACTGCAGGCCAGTAAATAGCACATATGAATTTTGCGGCATATTCATCACATATATTTTGGGTATTCATGTTGATTGTATCAGGTCGGAAGGACCCATGTATAGTTATTTTCGGTTATCTCGTATAGTGCGTGTAGATGTGAGAGGCCAGTGTTTGTAATGAGCAATGACTCCCTCGGCAAGGGGGTAGGAGACCATGTGAGTGTTTAAGGCAATAGCACCTCATTCCCCTGCGTCCGACTGGTTCACAGCGACCACGTGGGAAGGCGTAGCCCAGGGGTCGTAAGAGCAACAGATCCCCCCGGAAGACGGTCCCAGCTCCAAGGAACTGTTTGTGTACCCCTGGGAGCCAGTATCTTCCTCTCGTGAGCAACACCACTCTGCTGATTCCTGCCGCTTGTTACAGGAATGGAAAACCGTTTCCTGCCTTGTTGAAGATTCGGAAATCACCTTGGCTGCTACCGAGCAGACTGTACAGCACACTGACTGGGCAGGAACAAGATCTGCACTTAATTCAAGATGAGGGTGTATTGGCATGCCTAGCATTCTCCATGCGTGATGCTATCATACTATATCGCTGCTGCGTTATTTGAGTCTGTCCTCAGACCAGGGCTATATAAAGTGGATGATAGGCCGCTCATTACAAACACAGAACAACCCAGACCAGGGCCTTTTGGGCGTGTGCTAGTCTTCTCACGAGTCTTAACTTTCTTTTTACATCTGTGCACGGACCAACCAAGCCACTTTTCACTCATGGACGAGCAGCGGCCACTGCCTCCGCTGGAGGAGTTACATACTCAGGTGTCAAAAGACGCATTGGGAACCAATGAATGGCTTGGTGCAGTTGCGACTGCAGCTGCCACCGCAGCGGAAGCCTTTATATTAGTTGTAGCCCCGGTCCGTCAGCGGCGAGAGAATACTAATGCCACCGAGCCTATTATGGAGCACCGAACGTCTTTAAATATACTTACTGAGGTATTTTCATAATTTACTTTCTTCTACTATATTATAACAGCCATTATCTGCTGATTGAGTATTAGCTGATAGAAGGATAGCAGCGCTTCTTAGACTATTATTATAAAAGATATCATTGTTTGAAGACAAACGTGTGCAAAATCTAAGAATTAATACTATGGTGGAATATCAGTGGACAGTGTCATTAACTAATACTGTATATTAATGTTCTCGCATCTGGCCCTGTGAAAGGTGCTATGAAAGCGGATATAATTGTATTTCTTATGTTTGACTGTTTCTATATTACTCAAATATATTTTATATTAAGGTATATTTATGTTACACCCTTCTTAATATGGAGTGTAACTGCCATAGTTTACTGAGTGAACATTAGCTGATGGAAGAATAATAATACAGAGTGGATCAAGCTTATAAGAGGTGTTATTATTAAAAAATTAAAGTATACAGAATCACCAGGAACTGGTAGAGTATAATAAGAAATTAGTAAAAAGCATATATAACTAATATAACAGGCTATTAGTATTCTCGCATCTGGCCTTGTGAAGTGTATTAAAGAAGCGGAAGTACTTGTATTCCTCAGTTAGATTAACAGAGTGTGAATCATTATATTAGAATATCTATTAAACCACGTATAGTGAGGTCACTAGTCAGTAGGATTTATATAGATCAGCTTTCTAGTGATATCTCAAGAATATATAAGGCTCACGCCAGTGTATTTATAGAGGAACACTGATGGAGCGTGTCTGATATAAGCTATGCTTTAGATATTACTATTCTAAGAGACAGTGGTACTGAACATGGCTTATCTATTATATACCCTGCAGACATTACTGCTCGTGGGGAAAGGTATGAGGTTATTAATAATAGAAACAGCACTCTTCTATCTGAAACTAGTATAAATGCAGGCTGGGAACTCCTGCTTAGTGTAATTATATTCCTGAACTTATATATGCCCGCAGATAACTCGACAGGGGACCCTATGGCAGATACATGGTATTTAATACTGTGGGCTACGGAGCCATATTTATAGAAGATATTACTATTATCTTTCTGGCATTATACCTGGTCTTAAGATAATAATCTGACCAGGTCTGAGACTGGTGGTTCTTTACATCTATTTATTCCTGCACTGCAGGCGGCAGGGTGGCCCTTTAAAGATAAGACTGAACAGCCTCAGTATCTGACTAAAAGCAGGATCATACTCTTCTAGGGAGATAACTCTCAAGAGCTGTACTATCTTAGTCCCTCCTTTAATCTACCAGAGTCTATTGCCTCGTCCGTCGCAGCCGGATTGTCTTCTATACCAGAGACTGGGCCACCGAGTTTCCCAGATTTTTCTTGTATAGATCAGGCCGAAGATGTCAGCTGGTCACTCCCAACTAATATCCCAGTGCAATTGCCTTCTTGGGATTCATTGGCGCCTGTTTCCACAGCATTGTCCATGACAGACTTCCACCGCTACAGCATGCATCAGGAATCACCTGCACCTGTCCCTGTGCGGAACATCGAGTCGCTAGTACCCCCATGGCTACAGATTATGATGAATTACCATGGAACTGCAGCCAGCCCGCTCGATAATGTCAGTGCAAATAGCCAGGAGTCATCGTGTAATGTCACCGTGCCGGAAGACCAGGTCGAGCATCGTCACTCGACCTAGGCGTATGACTTCAACAACGCTCGCAAGAAACAGGAACCGTTAATGTATTAGACAGGCAGGACTTTGCATGTCTGACAGTGTTTGGAATTATGTTATAATATTGTGATAGTGGTGGTGCTCTTCTGTACTACCATCTACATACCGTGCCCAGGATCATACTGTACTGTCTGCTACTGTTTCAAGTCAACGAATAGAAAAGCAGTGAATGACTCGCAGAAGTTTGCTTGATACTTACCTGCTGTAAATGAAAATCACCCCTTGGAATATCCAGGACGTGCAACCGTTGCAGAAGGACATACAAAGACGTTTGAATCTCTACACTATACCTCCGCAGTTATATGCTGCAGGTGCCAGATCCGAGGCAATCCTAAATAAGCCTGTACGACGCACTGATAGCATTAAGAATTCAAAGAAATATTGGCTCTCAGGCGGAAGATATGGCAGATACCTGGAGAATCATCCTTGCTAAATCCATGATATAGCTTGATCCACGAGAGGAGAAGAAGTTCAAGTTTCATGTAAAAGCCCACAATATATAATAGTTTATATTAACAAGCTTTATAAATGATGTAGGCTCATTCCCCGCTATTTCAAGAGAATTCCCGAGATACTCTTGTTAATCAGTCTCACTGCACCGCAATTTATTACATGTTTCAGAAATCATACAGATATACCTGTTTGTCACTTACATTCACTTTGTTTCACGTCTTACACTAAAGCAGCTAGTACACAAGGTATAAATCCTCTGTGTCTAGGCTATGATTTCTATCAGCTATCCATTAACCAAACTTCTCTGGTTGTAGCCAACATGGCCAACACATGTTCAGAAAAGAACACTTCAAAACCCACTAGTATTAATAAAAATACTAATGCTTGAAAGATCCATGAAAAGGATGAAATGGCCGCCCAAAAAAGAAAAATTAAAGATAAACAGAAACAGCATTAGCAGGAGCTTGAGTCACTCCGGAAGGACTTGCTAGCAGCAGAGAACTAATTAAAAGGCTCACAGCTTATTAAAAATAAGAGAGATAAGCTGTAAAAAAAATATAATAACTTTTAATAAGTTATCTAATCTACGGAAGTAGATATCAAGAAAGATAACGAAGATTTAATAGATATTAATATAAAGAAATATGCTATTACAGGTTCTAATAATCAGACCCCTGAGAATAATATATTATTAATATAACCATAATCTGTGCCGCAGAACACATTATCCTCGAGTAGTGATGAGACATTAGTAAAGCAGGGACTAGTAAATGTATCTAATAGCCAGGGGCAGGAATATCATAGTAAAACAGCATCTTCTAATCCTGATACCATAATTGCATCCGTTGAGAGACCAGTTTTGGTCGAAAACTCGAATCCGGACGAAGATCACAATGGTGATTTGCTAGTCTGGCTGGATAAGTTATCAGTGGGTGGCCATTCGAACGGTGTAACAGATACATGGTTCATGATGCTCGCAGCCGAGAAGCTGATTGTTCAATACGGGCCAAAACAAGCACACAAGTATGTCATCTAATCCGGCAAAGAACACAATTTCAATAGTCTTTAGTAAGTATCTGATTCAGAGTCACGGCTTTGCTCTATCATGGAAAGGGATAAATAAGGAAAAAGGCGCCGTTGCTATAACCCCAAGAATATCAAAGATATTATTAGTATAGCCATTCTAGAGAGGCCTTCTAATACAAAAAGCTCTAAGACACTAACAACCTATGTAAAGCTCAAGTAGACTAATATCAAAGAAAAAGATAAATACTTATACTAAGATAATACTAACTGGATCACATGAACAGATCTTATTAAAATAACCAATGAGAAACTGGCTGTGTCAAAAATTACAGAGACCTGGGAGAAACAGGAGGCATGTTATAATAACTGGAAGAAAAAAATATCTATTAAAATTCTAAGTCACTTACCCACGCCGTGTCCACTGGACATCTGGCAAAGAGTAAAGCGGGAAAGGAGCTGTCCCGTAAGAGGATAATCTAGAAATATAATAAAGCAAGAAGTAACAGCCAGCCCTGCTCCAGATATTATAAATACAGGATCTAGTGATAGTTTAAAATCATAATCCGGGAATACTGTTTGCCCTATTTCTGAAGGGACAACTGGTGCCGCAATTAACTTAACTACACCATCTGATAAGCCTGCGTCACAAATAACCTTTAGCCAGAAGAACTATGTAGAAAGGATGACTAACAGTATGGTCTTGGATAAGACAGATATACAAGCATACATGAAAACACTAGCCTTGATTAAAGCCAAATATATGGTTTATAAGAATCATTTGCTGATAAACAGAAGTATGGAGGTGTACTAAGTAGATGGCATTGACCAGATTAATATTACTAGTAATATACCCTCTGAGATTAGCCGGATGGTCTGTTTAGTATTAGACTTTCTGTTTGGAAGATTAACGGCTGAAGAGAAATGAGAGGAAGATTGATATATTTATTCTTCTACTTTAAATAATAACTTATTAAATCGTGAGCAATATGAAAACAAGACATTTATAATACTGTAGTAGAAAGATAGCCTACTCATATTAAATACTGTAGCATAAGCTTTTTTTGGAGCGTGCTTAGTAATTATACTGGTAATTAATCACTTTAAGAATTATTCTGCTCATCATCTTGCTTGATAGAAATGAAATCCTATGTATAAGCATCGGTCCTTGTTCAAAGGCTTATGGCTGCTAGGAAGATAAGAAATTGAGAAAGTATAAAACTCATGGCTAGCAGATCTCTTAATCCTATATTATTAATCTGGATCTCACAGAAGAATTCACTCGACACGAGTATCCTGCACGCTCAGCCAGTTAAATTCATGCCTTTGTACCCTTCTTTAAATGTCTACACCTGGACACATAACCGAACGGACTTGAAGGAGCCTTCAGCCAATGTTACTTTAGCTGATTCAACAATTCATACTTGTTTACTACGCAGTAGAGTATCTGAAGAATTATATACAGTAGAAAGATCTATCCCTTGCCTACACACAGCTGATTCAAGTTCGAGCGGTGCTTCTACACCATATAACAGCATACATAGCAGTCAGACACAATTCCAGTTTCAGAAAATTCAACCTTTATCAGCATATAGAACTAGGGCAAGATGAAAAGATGATCTCCCATAAACCACCATGGTAAAAAGACCATTAAAATCTAAACCTGTCGGACAGAAGCAGAAGCTCACTAAATACCTATTTAATTTTCCTACAGATTATCTTCAGCACACCCCAAATTTCTGATGCCTGGGCATCGGATTAGAAGCGCGGATAGAACCCAGCGTTTTTCAGATTTAACTGCATAGTTTCACGGGCAAATAAGCAGGTATCTGTCATTTACTTGACTATTTCACCATCTTCAACTATAATAGAAGGGGCGCGGAGGCTAACCATTAATAATAAAAGTATATAACATCTAACTGCACCGGTAGCCCAAAGTTGATGCCGTGAATTACTTATAAGTTAATATCTTTTATCTACCAGATCCAGCTTTTACTCTTCTAGAAGCAATATCTCCAACCCTCTCAGACCTGTATAAACAGGCCACCTAAATCCAATATATTAATTAGTACAGAATATGGATTACTGCCCTGCTGGGCGCCTGGCTTCTTACGCGGTTAGTATACCAGCTTGGTCAGTGGACTATCCAACACCACATTGCGGCCTCCCTTGGACAGTGTCTCAGCCGCGAGTTACCGTGGCTTCTCCAGGCTATTAACATTGCCACCGCATTCAAGGTTATTTTAGTTGGGGTGCTCCTGGGCGCCAACATTATCCTCCTACTCATGTCCGCCCATGGCTGGGCTGATGTCCAGCAACGCGCGGCGAAGCTCGCCATCCTGAATCTATTACCACTCAGTACAGGCCTAACCTTTGACCTCCCGGCCCATCTGCTCGGAATCAGCTGCTCTGCCGTTGCGTGGTTGCATCGCTGGTTTAGGCAGGTGATGGCCGCCTATTCCCTTCTTCATGGAGCCATTACTATTACCAGAGCGGATAAGCCGATCCCTTCGATGAGGCATGACTGGGTTCCCTTGCTGGTCAGTCACCACGCCGCCCCTCCATGATAATGACTGTAACCCGAGAGCAATACCACTAACCAGGGTTAGGCAGCTGCTGCCATTTTAATGATAATCCCTGTGACCTTGCATGTGGTCGTCCGACGTCACTATCAGATCACCATAAGAATCCACTACCTTCTGGCGGTCACAGCAATGGTGGCCCTGGCGTATCATATATGGGACCGAGGGTCAGATTCCCGCTGGCAAGTAGTTAGAACTGGAGCCCTATAGATCATGCTGAGTATAATAGCCGTCTCTCATACAGTTTTCATCCAACAACGCTGGAGTGCGGGACAGCCCGCCATAAATATACATTTCTTTCATAAACTGCTTCGCATGGACATTACAGTGTCCCCCCATTAGCACATCCGGCTGGGACAGTACATATACCTCTGGTTACCTCACACAGGATTTCGCTCGTGCTTCCAACTCCAGCCCTTCTATATCACTTACTGGGATGATGCGCCCGGACCGCGCATCCTGTACATTCTAACCCAACCACGAGCCTCCAGTCTCAGTACACAACTCTACCTCCACAAATGGCTACACCAGCATCGGCAGCCTGCACTGTTGCTGGGGCCATACAGCCGATCGATCAACTTTTCTCTGTTTGGGACGATCGTATTCATCATAAAGGACATTGGTATGTTACAAGTGCTTCCCTATATCCGCATGCTCATCCAGGCGAGCGAGCAGCGGCAGGCCATGGTACACAAGTTAAAAATCGTGTGGCAGATACAAGACTTTGGTATGGCTGTTTCTTGATGCACTGCCTGATACCGCAGTTACTGACAAATGCTAGACCACCAATGCTGGCTAGGCAATTGGATGCAGGACCTGTTGGACCTCGACCGCAGTGAATTTAAGATATATGACAACCCTCTATGGCCAGTCTTAGTACTGTCCTGACTGAGATAGATTCTTGAATTTCGTCTGTATTACCTTACAAAGATGACATCCGTTGACCCCGGTGACGCGTTCGGAGAGCGAATCAAACTATATCAAGGGCCACTGATGGCCGGAGAAATCGTCCAAGGTCACCTGAGCAAGCGCCGTGGGAAGCTAGCTGTCGGTGGTAGGTTTACTTCCCACCCAATCAGTTCACCCATCAACCTACAACGGCTGTGTGATGAGGGAGCTTCTGACAGATCGTGTTGGGACGTGCGCCCGATGACTAATCTTGATTCACCGTAGTGTGCGCCCGCCAGTCGATTCGCCAACAGGTCCAGGAAGTCGTCCAGCCTCGGACGGGGCCGGATATCAAATTCTTTGACCTCGACCTCGGGCCAGGTCATGTCAGGGAGGCTTCTTGTCGCAACAAGGACACCGCCACCGCTCCGGCCTCGAGTGATTCTTAAAAGTGGCTTGCCTCTCGCATTCTGGAAGGTCATCGACATTGAAGTGAGTTCCAGTATGCCTATGACATGACGACTCTCTTTGCGCGCAGCCAATGCCATGTGGCAATGGCATCCATCGCTGCTTTTCGTCTTCTCCCTACAGTCCGATCCCTACGCGCTCAACACAGACCGTCACCGATTCTAAATTACCTCGTCCATTGGTTGGTGAACGGTCCAATCGATTGCGGGCTCCACTCCCTTCCTCGGTAAGCCTTTGATGCTGGCACATATGTTGTGCCGCCGCGAACAGGTTCCCCAAGGATACCCTGTGAAGTCCTGCCAATGCTTACCATGACAGGTCGAAGAGCTACAGCCACTACAGTGCTCACATCGCGATCGCTTAACACTGCTCTGTTGCGGTAAGCTGATGCATGTGGCATTGCACGGGCAGTCCTCAGCGGTCATTAAGCAGCCCTGGATCATGCGATGGCGAATGCACAAGGGCACCCAACCGGAGCCGTGTCCGATCGCTGTCGGGATAGGCTACGCTGGAGCCTAGCGAGCATATACAAATTGTTTCTCTGTGTTGGATTGCCCCGAAGACTCCATGCATCCACTATTATTGTCACAACGGCCAGAACACCCGTTAGTTGAAGGTGCGGTCCGGTGCCGACGACACTGCCTTCGGAGCAGCCCCTCTCAATTTCGAAATCCGTCGCTTGGTGATTGTGCCTTTGATCGTCGAGCAGGATCAGAAGTTCGAGGTTTATTGAACGTATGCGGTGATGTCGACTAGTATCAGCGTTATCCTATCGGCAAGTGGCTGACCTGGAACTTCACTGTAAGGGGCAGTCGGAGATGTTCATCGCTACTCTGCGCACGCCAATTTCCCAGCTGGTCTTCCATGGCTTACATTTTGCCCGGCTGTTTTCCCAGGGAATCGCATGATTTGACCGACATTCCACCATTCTTGTCCTGCAGTCTGACCCACGGTTACGATAGACGAGGAAGAAACCTGAAGTCCCCTTTGAGGCGGCATATTCCAGTGTGACGGTTCAAAACGATATAAGGCGTACGCGCGCTACAGGCAATACCCCAGTACCTCGTCCACGGCCTTGTCACGCAAAAACCTTCCACACAAGTACCATATCTTTTACAACAGCGTATGTTTTGACACTGTGAGTTCGCCAAGGCTGCAGCTGCTCATTGAGAGGCTATCACAGGAATAAGATCCAGGAGAGACACCGTCCGTGAAATAGTCATGTTGTCCACAGACCACACCTCCAAGCAAAGGCGAAGATACGCCTGATATGGGGATAACCAACTTGCAGTGCAGCGATGAGACATTTCTCTGCGAACACGGGGTTCTGGCGGTTGACTGTTACTTGTCCTCTTCTTATGAGCTCCCGGTTTCTGGACCTAGAATGGATACAGCATCCTATCTCCGCTTACGCATCCTTAAGGATGTCTTTCGGCACGCCTCTGTCATGCTGTCGGCCCCCATTGATTGGTTGGTAATGCACCTTACGGTCGTCCAAAAACACACGTTGGAATCAGTCACCGTCTCTCCATTCTTCCTTCCGCGCGTGAAGAGCGCCCTCGACAACCTCGGACATTGTCGCAAGCAGATCTGGGAAGCCTTACGTCCATACGCGGGGACCATTGATAACGCGGACTATTGTCTTCGAGTGTTTATGTGGCCAAGAGACGGGCCGGATCTCAATACTCTCGGCAGATTGTGAGTGTTTCCCGGGACAAACCGAATGCATGGTAGAAAAATTCTGGACTCAGAGCGTTTTGTTGAAAACACCCCACGCGGGGTTTAGTATGGAGAGCATACTGGCGTCTCCTTTAGCATGCGATAAGAGGTTGGAGGGCCGAATTGAGATAGCCTGTATTGTTTTTTGGGTTCTTTGTTTTCTGGCTCTAAGGTATGTCTTTCGCTTCCATACACAAACCCATCCGTCTACCGATGGACTGAGAACACAACTCAGGAAATCCAGCCCTAATTGTTCTGGGTTGCGGTCAGGAAAATTAAGACCTGACTGCACCTAGTTTGACCAGTCCCTAGTCGGTCACCGTTGAGTGCCACAAGGATCGGCGAAGTTACACTCGGGCCCTGGTCTGCCCATGCCTAGAACCGTGGCCTTAATTCAACTTCGGGCTTGCGTTGGGTGGACCGTTTTGCGCAGGGCTGGCGCGTGGTGTCACCTTGCTTCTGAATTCAATGAGACAGCCAATCTTCATAAAGCATCATTTGCATTCTAGGTTGGGGCCTCTCATTTTTGGCGTACACGCACACTTTCACCGAAGTCTCATTCCTCCTAGCGTCACTCAAATCCTCAGCTAACAATGAAAACCCACCTGCCACGACTGAACGAGCTCCAGAAACTACTAGCATCGGCAGAAAAGAAGCCACAATCAGGTATCAAACAATATGTCTCCCACACCACGGAATCGTCTCCGCCCGACGACAGGAGACCGACCTTTCAGGCTGTCTTGGACGAGAGTATGTTAACCGCTCAAAACGGTGGTGAGACACACGGGGCATGGGAGGTCGACAGCGCGGTCACAATCGAGCTTCATGAGACCTTTATCCCTCCCTCATAGGCGGGGGTGTTAGAGTAGCCGTTGTTGTATAACAGCATCAAAAACTCCTTTCAGGTCTAGTAGTAGTAGGGAGGCTACCTTCTTTTGTCCGAAGGCCTTCTCTATTTTATGGACAATACTTTGGACCAGATCAATTGCAGAGCGGCCAGGGAGCGCGCCAAAATGACAGGGTGCTAGCAGCCAGCTTGGATTGCCCGTAGGGCCGAACTTCTGACTAGGAAGCGTTCAAGGCCTTTGCTTAGGGTAGAAAGCAGGCTCATCGGCTTCCACGTCTCGGATACTGTACCATCCGATAGATAAGCATCCATCGCTTCACAATGACGCCAAGTAACGTGACCACGCGTTTGCGCACACCATGTTTTCTCCTGTTCCTCCCAACTAGTTGTACATGGTCACCATTATATACATTGTTCCAGAAGGGTAACCTCCCAACTGCCTACTGAAGGGTCTAACATGTTCAACCGAAAAGGGTAAAAAACAAAACCCCGTCCTCACGCGCAGCGGCTATGCACTCAGGAGATCCAGCATGCATATTCAGCTTGTGCCGTGCCCGTTGGCGCCGACACACGATACTCCAGGCTTTACACCATGTCAGGTGGACGACATACTGGATCAGGGCGTTTGACAGACGCTTCAGGTACACTGTCCACAAGCTTATTTGTTCTCCGACCGCGAGCATGCGTGTCGGGCTCCTGCAGTGGCAGGACATCCGGGTGATGGTGGTAGCGCAGTCGATCCAGGGTGCTCCTAAAGTCATCCAAGATGATGGTGTCGCTCAAGCACTTGAATACAAACGCCAGCTGCCGCAGGGTTAGCATGCTCATCTTCGTCCCGTCAGTGGCGGCTATTTACCTTCGAAAACGGCTCCATGCCCGGGGGGTAACCTAGGCGATTCTCGACCCGGATCGCACACATGTCCGCAATCGCAAAGTACACTGGAGATCACCATGAACAAGAGCATGACGCCGAAACGTGGGCTGATGCGGATCAACTGCATCAGCGAACACCCATACCCACGCTGGATGATGTACAGGAGAAAGCAGGTGGTGAAGATCCACCACGGGTCCCTAGATCTGGATCAGCAACGTGGGGTGTGGGGGAGAATCGCGTTCGGACACCGCACCGAAACAGCGGCTCGAGTGGCCGAGTGGTGGTATATAAGGCCTGGCCCCGATTTGAAAAGGTAAAGTTGGCGTAGATTTCAATAACCCAGTACGGCTGGGCCGCCAGCAAGCTGATCAGATACAGTCGCGTGCCCCAGGAGGTGAAAAATCCGCGAATCTTCATCCATGCGATTACGTTGTGGAGGGTGTGCGAAATCGTGAGGCCGACGGCCGTGGCCGAAAGATACCAGCCCTGGGCAGGCGCATGGAGAAAGATGAACGTTCCGTGTCCAAGGGCCAGGGCGAGCTAGACGTCCATATCAGCAGGGACTAGTGCGCCATTCGTCCCAACCAGACAGTGCGACCTACCTCTGCTACGATAAGTTTGTGCAGCAGTACCTCTTTCTTCATGTTGGCCGCGGTGATGGCGGTCATGAGAATGAGGGAGCCCACCAGCAATCCTTGTCCCCATGCCTCCACGACAAGAATGTCCGTGTCTCTAGGATGCTCGCCAGCAGTCGGCGTCATGATTTCACTCTCAGCTCACTGTATTGACGGCAAGTTGAGAGAGAGGGCTGCTGTATGGAAGACGTGGTGGTCTTTAGTTCATCGGGTGTGATTGAGCAAAGCGTTCGCCGCCCGGCATGGTCAACTGCCGTGGGAGACGGAGAGTAGGAGGGAAACCGAGCGACTGTGACTGTAACCAGCAAAGGATCGACAAGGGGCTAACCAGGGCCTTTCACCCGTCCGACGCTATCTCCAAGGGTAGGTCATCCACCGGAATATCAGCCGCGCCCTGCGTGCGGCTTCTTTCGGCACTCCGGACGGGGAATTGATGCTGTAACCCGTATAGTATCATTCGGCATTACCGTTGATGGAATAGGCCGAGACCACTCGATCCTCCAATGTCCCCTCCTTACCTGCTAAATGTCGGCCTGAAAGGACCGCAGCGGAAAGGAGGAATACACTTCACGTCTATCAACTTTTAGCGGGATAGGAGATAAGAAACGGGAGGAAAGGGCACAACGACCACTGTCCTTGTTCCCTTTCAGGGAAGCTCATTTGTACTCAACGGTATTTTTGGCTTACGGAAAAAAGAATTCTTTCTATTCAAGTGACATCCTCCGCTCAACGACTGCATGACGAACTGGGCTAGCCGAACAAGTAATTACTGACATCCGCAGGATTGACATCAACGGTCCGTAATCCGCAAGATTGCCAGGACTGTTACAAGTTCAAATACCTAGATCATGGTGATGTTAGCCTTTCACAGGGTTTCGCAGCCAACCGGTCCTGCCGGTGTTTTCCTGGTGCCAGGTGCTGCTGCTCATCTCCCACTTGTTGGTTCCGTCAACCACTAGTTCTCCGTGGAGAGTTGTTCAGCAATGAGAGGCCATGTCCACTTTTATTGGGCACCCCTATCCCTCTGCTAGGTAGGTAGGATTGCTGCCGGTGTGGGCCCGCCAGGGCACCGGCGGGTTTTTACGCGGTTGGTGAGGGAGATCACCCGGAAACGTTACGTACATGTCGGATGTACTCTGTAGTAAGATAGTTCACATGTGACTTTACGTGCCTTGCCTAGTGTATGCAGTTAACGCAGCAAGTATGCTCCGCACATAAATAGGCAATACCTCCCTCCTCCCTCCATCAAAATCGGGTCTTTCAATATGGATCAGTCATGAAGTTGATTTTCTCGTCGTGGTTCGAAGTTACTTCCGGAGGTGCTGTTGCACGCTGTTCATAGACAATCAATTCACAAGAAGCATCTATACATGGATAGTCAAAGACAATCCCATAGCGCCGTGTAAGTCATGATGGTTAACTGAGGCATTGTCTTGGAACACTCCTTTCAGGAGTCTCCATTTCGTCTGCTTTTCCTGTTGATAGACTTTGTTTTCCTGCTTAGCTAATAAGCAATCATTAGCGAAAGTATGCTCTGTCAGTGGGACGGTTGCGGTCAGGCCTTCAATACGCAGCTGGATCTCTGGATACATATAACGCAATGCCATTTTTCTCCTTCTCGCCATGAATGCTCTTCTTGCAACAAAGTTGTGAAAGGGTTCGAGGAGGCACACCTTCATGTTATCAGCCAGCATCAGGTTGCAGTGTCGAACGAGCATTGGACTTATCGCGACGGTGAAGATTGTTTCCTTGACTTTTGGGATGGACTGGGTTCCAGGGTTTTGTGCTCCTTCTTGATCCTTTCCGAGAAAGTTTAAGGGAATTGCAGTGGTGTACTTGTCTCTTTTCAATTTTGTGAGAATGTCTTGCCTTCGCCTATAGTCAAAAGTGTCGTGGTGCAAAAGGAAGCTTGATTCATCTTATTTCAAACGGATGGAAAGAAGATATATATACAGCACGAAGTCCGAGTTGATTTCCGATCAACTCGTGTAGATGGGCAGGAATTATTTCCGTTTTGCGGTATCGTTCCCGAGTAGCAACAGCTTCATATCACAACAGAACGGACAATGCCCCCCATGAAACTATGAGACAGATTCGGATCACCGAGTACCAGTATACCTTGAATTCATTACTCCGTATCAGTCTTTTTCATTGGGCCCACGCTTTACCCTTGAATTAGGCAAGAGAGGGACCCTCAATAACAGAGCAAATTCACCTGCGCCCAGAATGTTTTCCGGGCTCCACCTCATCGTGCCACGAGACCGAGCGTGACTTAGGTGGCACAAGGCTCCATGTGAGACATTGCCGTGGACGAATGAGACTGCATTGCGCCGGCTGGGGAATTTTTATTTGTCTGGTTAACCTGGGTCTAAAGTGTTCCTAGGCAACGGTGACCGACACACTCAAACAAGGTTTATTGGGGCTACTCTAGTCTCCCGCTCCACGGTAGGATTTCTTGCTCGTTATTCCAGATATATGACCCCTGGTTATCTATTATTCGGTTCTCGCATATCCTTCGCTTCGAAGTGTGGAGGCAGATCTTGTGCGACTGCATAATTTGCGGTCCTGGCAAATATGGCCCTTGGCATGGGGGGGAAAGATTCAAACATGACCTTCCGGATTACTCTACAGATGGATAAGGCCGGAACGAAAGGTGTCAAATCTCCATCTTGGGGTGGTGAACCGCAGAACGTTTCCTTGCAATCAGGCCGATCGGAACCGGTAGTCTAGAGCCGTTTGCTCAGAGCAAGTACATATCTCCCGTCGAGAGAGGTTTCCTCGCAACGTTCTGTAATATTTGTCCCCAAACAGAGTTTTCATTCCCAGCGACCGTGCTTGGGTTTTGGCGACATCAGCAATGTCATTTAAATATCTCCAAGTGTCCAGAAATTTCCGCGTATTACAACAAAAGCCTAAACTTCCCCAAATCATTTGTGTGTATGAAATTGCTACCGGAAGCCATCTTGACACCATTGCCCTCTTTTATATGCTGTGGGGTCAATCAAGTTGTTGAAGCCGACTGAATACCGATGGTTTCAAGCATGCCACCCTGTTCAAGATACTGCTTAGGTCTCTGGCTACGAATCTGTTCTCGGTCATTGTCTAACAACGATGCTGCTTTCAGAATCACCCTTTTGTACTGTTGGCTGATAAAGAGGGTTTTATTTCCTCAAAATTTCGATCAATCCAAGCATTTCGCTCTTTCATATATCTCGTCTCTATTTCAATTGTCCATTGAGCCATCTCCACTTGTGATGCTTCCCGAGACGGGATAAAGAACACACCATCTGTCCGGAATGTGGACTAAACCTTATCTGTGGATTATATTGATTATGGTTCACATTTGCCCCATGCAGGCCAAGGGAAATCTAGATACTGCAGTAAACGCCATGGTCTTGACACTAGTTATCCATGCTTAAATATGGTGTTGATATCGAAGGCCTCCTCTTTTCTCTTGGGAAAACGCATGAACGGCAAGAGTTGCGAGATTGAGCTAAGCACCGGTAACTTCATCTGTATTCTCCTTTCGGCAGCATGCCACGTTTGGCTATTATACTTTCTTCGATATCACATTGCAGAGTAGCTGATTCCATAAGTTATGGGATAAATCCAAATCCCTACGTTAAAGGCAGCAGAGTTCGTCTTCTGCCAGCTGCCAGTCCAGTTGGCCGCAAGAAACCCAGTGGTTCCGCCACAACAGCCACAGAAACTTTGCTTATAAAACGTGAGCATGCAATGTCCAATGCAACAGCATACCAGGTGTTTGAGGCGCAACCTCCCAAGCAGAAAGGACATATCTGATACCACTCTTCCTGTTCTAAAAAGGCTATTATTATGTACTTATACGGAGCAGTCATCATTGTTCTGATGCTCAAGAAGGGATGTGCCGTAACATAACAGGCCACTTACACTCATCGACATCTGCTGCTTTGGAATGGTTACACCCAGCTGAATAATACGCGTACCCCTCATATTTCAAATCATATGTGAATCATGCCTTACACTATCGCTGTCCTTTTCTTCTTGGACCACCTTAAGCCGCATGCGTTGCAAAGACTTTTTCTTCCATCGGGTCCAACCCTCCATAGCGGTGATATACGGGCCGAGCATTCCGCACATTCCCCTTTGAGCGGTGCTCTCTTTTGTCTCCGAAGCCCTCTTCTGTAAGTATACTTGCTTGGCACCGTCAGTACCCGTCTAGTTGCTTTGTTCGTATGGTCAAGGTCGCGTGGATGCAGTGTCTTCTCAGGATCCGTCGGTTGACTCCTATCGTTCCCTTCGTGACACCTGGAGACGTGGGGAGAGTGGGAATCCTCGGTGCAGTAGCTTGCTGCTGCACAGTTTTGGCCACTTCCCCATGTCTCCAATATGGCGAGTATAGGAAGATATTCGGAGCTTTGGAAATGTCCTCGCATATCTTGTATGATATTTCTAAGGATTTGGACGGGCACTTGTTGTAAAACATGTTTAATCATTTTCATACATGCTGCGGACCAATTAGATAAAGTCCTTATAGTTCCCAGCATGGATTGCTCCAACCTTGTCTGGATTCTTTGAGTCCGTCCTCCAGGGGTGTCTGGAGCTGTAGGGATTCAACTATATGACTCAGGAGTGTCCAGCATGTATTGGTAGATAAAGGAGCAAAAAGAAGATCCCGATAAAGGCGGATGTGGATACTGTTATCCAAGTGTGGAAGGCTGCTGTTCGAAGTCTTAGTCTGTCGAGACGCGCAGATGAACTGCTCGTCTTGGTCACGCGCTCGATTAATCTCTGCTGCATGGTATGAAGGGATCTTGCTCGACGTTAGCCTGTAATTTCCCACTCAGCTCCTTTCGCACTGACAAATGACCCTTGTAGTACTTCCTTGTTAATTCCTGATCTGCAGCAGCAGCATGTCTCAGAAGTGACCGTGTAGTAGGATATACTCTCCTTCGAGAGTACCAATGACCTAAACGTTCTGGAGCAATTGAAACAGAGGAAGAGCTGGTTAAGAGGCTGTTGTGTAGATTCTGCGCCGAGTCCATGATTGGCTAGATTGGCCCATGGTGGTGAGTATATCTCGAAGGTATCCGGGCTTCGTTCACTATCTTCTTGTCTTGTCATGTAGGTCCAAAGGGCTGTAAGAAACCATTGCTACCTTTCCACCGAAAGCTTGCTCGTCCACGGGCAATCTGGTAAAGGAGTGGCGAATGGTATCAAGAAAGGCCAGGGAGCAGAGGAAATAGACATGTCGTTTCACAACACCAGTTGGAGCCGGTCAATTGCGAGGGATCAAATCGTTTGGCGTTGTGGGTAGATGATGTCTCAGGGGTAGGGTCAACGTAAAACTTCGCGCACTAGCCCTGGGCACTTGGCGAAGGCCCCCACAAGACCGTCCTCTCAGAATCAGTTCTGGGAAAAAAGAATTGCTGCGGGCACTAACGGAAGTCCATGCCACAACCCCGATGCCCACGACTCCTTTGGTGGGGATTTTATGGAAGGTGGTATGTCCATCCCTTTGGGTGCGTCCTACCTTTCTTATAAACATGGTAGTGCCTTCCAAAGTACCTTCGGGGGTTGGACGGTGAAAATGGCGTCTGGTTTCCGGAGGCACTATTCTCGTTAAAGCAGAGCAATGCTCCCTCAATAAGCCGGCCGAAGTCTGCCGGAAGCCTCGGTTTGTCTGAGGAAACGGAACTATCCCAGCTTACAACATCGATTCAAGGGTGTTCGCATTCTCAACTTCCTCTTCAATGAACAGGGTCTGAGTGGATTATGGTGGGTCGTTTTACAGTCTCCGAGAATATGAAATGACGAAAGCCAACATTCCATGAGCCTGTCTGCTATCGATCGTGTGAAAAGACATTTAAGAGGCGATTGGTTGATATGGTTTCCATGAGTAGGAGATAGACGCCCGGGAGATTCGACTAGATGACTAGTAATTGAATGATGTCAGTGGCCAGACCAGCAAATTCATTCCCAACCCAGCTTGAGCGTATTATGTTGGATTTTTGTTGTTTTCCTTGTTTCTTTCCTTTTCCTTTTGATGGGCGTAGTTTTTCTATCTCTCTCCTTTCCCCTTTTTCCTAATATATATATACATATATATATCTACTGAGAACACATGGAACATGAAGGTAGTCAGCGTTCTGACCTGAGGAATAGGGTGCCTATTCCATCGTGTCCCCGATCAGGACGATAAATCACCTGGAGTAACAGGGTTAATTGTCAGGTCTGAGGGATACGAGTAATTCTTTATACGAACAACGAACATTTGCCTACGTGCAATATCTGGTACGTAAAGCAAGATTTAGATCCAAGCTTTCCTCGCGCATTCCTCTACCAGATCCACCGTAGGCGACATCTGGTAAAGGTTTGTGCTAATGCGAAGTGACGGTAAATACAGCTTCCGGGAAACCTGGTACTTCACATGGGCTAGTCCGTAAATCCTCTCAACACGGACTCTGCAAGAAGAGACAAAAAAATCAACCATGCATTTTTCGTACTAGTGAACCCAAACTCTAATCATGCTCAGTGGGCGTTAATACTCGGGACAGTAGGTTGAAACTCTTTTCCCCTATACAGCGTTGTGGTACTTCCACGCTTAGAAGTCCTCTACGGAGGGGACAAACGTATTGGTTCAGCGCCTAAGAAGTCAAAGGTTCGCTCTTGCGTGGTCATAACATATGCCCATATAAATTTAGCTGGAGCTCGAGCGCCTTTGTACGCTTCACTAACGTCTAGTTTTCTTTCTGAAGTCTCTTGAGCTGCTGCTGGAAAGCCTGGTTCTGCTCCCGAAGCCTGAACACCAGCTGCTGCAGCTGCATGCAGCGGGTCTGGAGCATCAGGCGCTCTGATAGTCAGCGTGGCATCTTATTCTCTTGGCGAAGCAAGTCCATGATAATCAAGACTATGTAGTTAATGAGAAAGGTGGCAGCTTGAATAATTTATTTCTTAGACTCTGGTAGTCCCTTGGAAGAATTCCAACCAGCTTGTTCCAGGAAGTAATCATGAATGTGGCTGTCCAGCTCACAGTACAGCTGGCTGAGGTTCTTTCATCAGTTTTCCTCTGCAATTCTGTGCCTTTTTCTCTGGTTATCTAAACCCGCTAGAGCCATGCTGGCCTTGCGCTTCTACCCGCACTGCTGCTGCAACAGCGGCTTGCGGTTGATGTATACGGGGGCAATGAGGCTTAGAAATTGAGGAGAGGAAAGATCTTGCAGCTATATGAATATCTTCTAAGACTTGTCAGGCTCCGGCAAGGAACTCTCCGCTGAGCTTATTAATAATTCAATAACTATAATACGCTCTTCTGCTCCCGACTATGGTGATCTCACGGGGCAAGTGTGCTGAGTTCTTGCAGCGCTGGTGGCATTAGCGATGGCATTGGATGGATCTAAGGGTCCGCGGGGCAAGGGCTCCACGCATGGGAGTGGGGGGAGGCGACGATCTTCTCTCGTATTTGTCATACTAGGCAGGTTGGACAGGAAGCGTACACTGTAAGAAGCGTGAAACGTCAGAAGCTGTATTTGTTGGTGAGGTTCACAAGCAACTTACGGGACGGCACAACGTCCAGAGATGCTGTCAGCTATTGAGCACACGTCTTCGTACATTACGGTGCTAATAATTCTTGCGTGTAAATTTGAAGATGGGGCGTATTGCAGCCTCAGCTATAAGTCAGATGCTTGGCTATATGCAGAAAGGAAAGTGTGTCTCCGATATGTACGTCTGCACCGGCGCGGACGTTTTGGCCTGATACAACCACGTACACCACCGGAGAGCAATGATATAATTCAGAAAGGTAGATGACTGTAGCGGTGAGACTATAATGGTCATAATGGCGCTGATACAATCAAAAGGAAGACACGGTAAACATGGAAGAGACTTGATAGGACTGAGTGGTCTTTCACCCTCAATTTATATTATTTTGTTTATCTATCTTTATTTTTATTCATATTTCTTATTCTTGTGACTTCCCCTTTTTCTATGCTTATGTCCTCGCTTTATCTACGTAGTACTAGCCGTCACTTCTATCTAAACTTTGACCTTCTGTGCTCTTACCTCTTGTTGCTGTCACCTTCACTGCTCCATCATTATACCTCCCGATTGAGGACACGCCGAACTGTATAGACGGCCTTCAGCATAGTTCAACCGGTTATTGAATAGTAGTCTGCCTCCAAAGCTTCATCACAGTGGGGCCAGTTTTCGAGATGGGGAACAGTCGCGAGGCCAGGACTGAATCGACGAATCAACGTGCCATGATCTCGCAAGAGAGTCAGATGCGGGATCGCGGCCATTTAATTCGTCACTGCCGCAGTGGTTTGCGATCTACACGGGTTAAAAAGCATCCACCCTCCTTGCATTGCGATTATCAATAGTCTCCTTGGGTTAACACCCATGGGCGAGCACTCAATCTCCACCTCGGATCCTGGCCAAGGCATCGCTGTATCCACGAAACCTACGGCATCGAGGCCTATCATGTCACCGTCCGATATGAAGGTCAATGCGGGATCTTGAAACGCCGATTATTGCCCCGGGCGAATCAGATCGAAACTAATAGCACGAAGCAAGGGTATCTTAGTAGGAAGCCGACAGTCCTTAACACTTTGGGAGGGATCTCTGGAGAAACAATGGGCAGAAGCATCTGTCACAAGCCACCACACTTTTGGCCTGTCTTTGCCGGTTATTGAAATGTCACCTGAGTACCTACAGCAGAATCATTGTGTTCATGAGAACCTCGTTTGACTATGCTTTGACGTTATACAATGCTCATGCCTCTAACAGCGCGTCTGTATCAGAAAAGGTCACCTGGGCACATTCAGCACCAACAAAGACCAGTCATTTTATCACCAATGCCGCGAATAGCGAGGTTATGTCTCTTATGCTTGACGTTGACGCAGACAAGAATATTGGCTGTGTTCCAAGACCAATTCCGTAGTGGACCAGGGGGTGGAAGAAGTGAAGACGTAATCGGACAGGGTAACTAAATCTGATACAGTTATCCGTTGAATCATGAATGGTATTGTACGGATTTAAAACAGCTAAAGAAACACATAGGTTGGGGGCATGGATTGCTTCCTAGACCAGATTTGCCTTTTCTTCGCGTTCTTAATCCCAAACAAGATCTCCATTTCCTTCAGTCATCAACGAAAGATTTCTGGAATAGTCCGCCACTTGAAATGAGAGTCTTCCCAATCTCCACCCTGTCTAGGAGGAAAACTCTAGCTAACAATGGCACTGGGCTAGTCAGCCTTTAGAGTTGCTTGGGATTCCAGGGTCGCATCTCTTACGGATAGGACGGCTCGCCAGCCTACAGCGGGACGGCCTTCCGACTCGCATGCGGCCCCGTGTCTCCATTAGTGCCTTGGAATCTCATGCTACAGTAACAGCAGCCCAGGGAACAGCATCAGCTTTGCGCTTTCGGGAATGGATTCTTGGCAACTCCCATTGTAGCGTATTCGCATTGGTAGGTTCCACCCGGTCTCGCAACCGACCAGTCCTGACAGTGAGATGCTGCTGGTCGTCCGCCATGTATTGGTTCCGTCAGCCACCAGTGCTCCGCCGTGAGCTGCCCGGTGTTACAAGGCTATGCCTATTCTGATTGAGCAAACCCCTATTCCTCTGCTAGGCATGTGGATTGCCACCGGTAGGGGCCCGCCAGGGCACCATCGGGTTTTCGTGCGGGCGGCGAGGAAAGTCATCAAGACGTTACATACAACCTAGGAGACAGAACATCCGGTCCATTTTCTTTTGCGCCACTCAGCGAAAAGGCGATGGCCCAGCGTAATGTGAAAGTTGTCTCATAAGTCCGCCGCACATCATAACGAGGAGATCCCCAAGGACGGTTTCGGCAAGTCCTCGATTGAGGATTCCGCGCAATGTCAAACCCACACATTGCAAGATTCTATGCTTATAGACGAGAATTACGAACCCCTGTATTGTTATTTGTTATCAGTACTCCACCTTCATTCCTTTCCATCAGTGATGTGAAAGACGTTCATTATGGGTGACCAATCCCAAATGATTGGCAAGGAAGAGAGGAACAAACTTCTAAGCTATAACAGTACGTTTCCTACTTACTATCATGTTATTCTATAGATCTTCCGTTATCCATCTCATATTTACCCCCTGCCGGTCACTTCTAGCCTCGTAAGCATCGCTCGCAAGAAAACGTCACTATCGATCAATGCAGCCGCGTGAACAGCAGCAGCCATTACATTCATGTACTTGGGGGCTGCTGGAAGCTATGGTGAGAGCAGACATGGCAGGTTCGAAACATATCGTCCGAAGCACCTAGTGCTACAGCAACACCACAACCTCGACATAAGTGATGGACACTCGGAGCAGGGGGCATGTCTGGTGCTTTTGTTCCACACCGGTCACATTCAGGCGTCACCAGGTTTCCACCAGTCCTCTCCGAGGTCTAACCTGCTCACTCGGGGCCAGCCGTCTAGCTCGGGCCAGGGCGTTGGATCGAAATCGACATAGTTGTCGTCGGTTGCAGAGTCCTTGAAGTGTCTGCGGCAGAACCCGCATCGATCCTGCATGATTCTGTGACCACACTCCTCCTTCGATCCTCTGAAATTCAAGCCACGCCTTGTAGAGGGATTGGTAGCATCGCGCGCTGGTCACACGCCAATAACGGTGATTTCTTGTTCTCCTGGACGGTGCCCTTGGGGCTGCAGCTGACTATATCCGAGAAGACAGTGGGGAAGGAATAATGGGAATGGTCGAGCTACAGATCAGCGGTCGCGGGAGTCTGTTCTACAACATATATTCACTTGAAGCTTGTGAAACGGTAGCACCACCATGATCTAGATATTTGAACTTGTAACGGTCCTGGCAATCTTGCGGGTTACGGACCATTGATGTGAACCGTGCGGATGTCGGGACATACCTCGCCGGCTAACCCCATTCATTATTCAATCGTTTGAGCCGAGCATGTCACTTACTAAATGTTTCAGGGCCAGAAGATAAGAAGACCCGTTTTGTACGATCGGTATTTCCTTATATGGGGCTAGCACAGTGGTCTCTGTGCTCTTCCTCCTGTTCTTCATCTCATATGACGCTCAAAGTGAATAGACGGAAAGTGTAGCCCTCCATCAGCCCGGTTCTTGCAGCCGGACGTGTAGCAGATCAGAAATGGATATCGGAGAATCAAGTAGTCTCGGCCTATTCCACGAATGACAAGGAAGGATAGTGCTCTACGGGTTACGGAACTCAACGGTTCATCCAGAGTGGCAAAGAAGCCCCCACTTGAGGTGCGGCTGGACTCCCTCCTGTGTCTCCCACATCATGACTTCCATCCCACGTTATTGAACCTCTATCCGGCCACAATCATCTAGTAACAATACTGTATCTCCTGTCCAAGAGAGCAGCATATCCGCGGACATCGCAAGTAGCACTTCATCTACAGAATCGTCTAAACATAGCGATACCGTCTTGCTCAACGGCACCCCCCGATACCGCCACCCTCCTTCAAGCGCTGGCCATTGGGCCTGCGACTCGATGGCACGTTATGGCACACGACCAGCTAACAACCTGGAAAGTCGAAGTTCTCAACAAGTTGAGAGAAATTCCCCAAACTCTGTGTAGAGACCCGCCGGCGTTTAATTATTGGCCCTCTCACTGGAAACGAGATCGGAAAATGCACAACACACGCGCTCGCGCTCGTTGTCAACCAGTCGTATCTACACCGAAACACTCGTCCACTGAAGGCAGCGGCAGTGAGCAATAATCGCAATCGCCATTTGCCGCAGCAGCGTCGCGCAGTCGACCGAGCCGCGACCTAGGCAACAACCGAGGGGAAGCGAAAGGACACGAGCCGGGCGGGATAATAAACAGACTTATTAAAAGACGGGCATTCTACACGATCACGCTGCACAACTGCCTGCATCCGAGGCTTGGTCGACCGAGAATCTCTGGATATAAAGTACCCCGGTTGGAGACCCCACAGTAGCCAGACACACTCCATCGGACCGCAGCAGTTCACACACTAACTTCATTGTCAAGCCTAAGATCAAGATTTTGGATTCAAACAGCTGCACACGTGCGGTCGGACAGGATACCGCTACCTCGTCAAAGTCACCCCCCTTTCCCGCGGATACACGGTGATAATTTAAAACTACGCCTGTGGAGAAGCAGCATCGTCTTCAAGCGGAAGTGGACAATTATCACCTCCCTAGGAACTTACCTGGTCAACACATCCCTGTCTGTCTTGGGGACTTCAAGCCTCGTGTGGCATATTGGTACCACGGCAGAAAAATGACGCAGATGATGATCTTGAGCTGGTCTGGAACGCGGCTTCAGCATGCCATCCATGATGGGAACACCAGCTTCTTTCGTCAATTAAGAGCGCGACAAAGCTCTGGCCGAGATCCGATCGTGTGGAGCTATCCACTGCGACAGTGAGTGGCGTAACATGCTGTAGGGTGGCTGTGTAACAGTCTATTCGAATACGTTGCAAAGCATTTCTTAAGCATTTCAGGCTTTGGGATAGGGACATATCCGGCCGGACTGGCGCTCCTGGGAGTGGAGCCCCCTACAGCGGCTCGACGAGCTCGCAAACCGGAGACTGGGGCGGACAGACTTTGGGAGCCTAGAGTGCACCCAACCATACATCACAGCATCATACTGGAAACCACCAGACGTGGTGATCGACGAGAGTGCGGAACTAGCCAACACGGCACACAACAGCATTACAGGTCAAGGCCAGTCGACGGTAGCGGTTTACACAGACGGGAGCGGGATCAACGGCAAGATAGGAGCGGCGGCGGTATGCCTGCAACACCAAGAGACACGGTCAGTCTACATGGGCGAACAGTCAGAGGCCACAGCATTTGCTGCGGAACTGCAAGTCATCTTCCTCGCCTTGATCATCATCATAAGGCATCGAATCTGTCAAGGAGTAGTATTCACGGACAATCAGGCAGCCCTGCGAGCCATGCAATTCCCAGGGAGGCAGTCCGGACGATACCTCCTGGAGGCGGTCATAGCGGCCCTGGAAAAGGCGAGGGAAGGAGGACTCACTGTACGCTTTCGGTGGATACCGTTCCATAGCGGCGTTGAAGGCAATGAATTGGCCGACAAGGCAGCAAAGGAAGCTACAGGGTGGCGGCAGATACGTGGACACCACGGCAGGATGAAAGAAGTGGTGACCGTAGCGACGGCACTACGGCCAGTTCAGCAGAGACTCCGTTCGGCAGTAGAAGTCAGAATCCGGGAAGAGGCAAACACCCAGTGGGAACAAGACTGGCAAGCAAGCCCGCATGGGCGGGCAGTATATGGGCTGATGCCAACCCCAACGAAGAAAGTCCTGAGAATACACCGGGGCCTCCCTTGGGCCCTTAGTACAGTGATAATACAGATGCGCACAGGAAAGATAGGGCTTCGGCACTATCTCTACCAACGAGGGCTGCCAGATATTCAGGACGGAAACTGCCGCTGCGGGATGACCACCCAGACCGTGCGGCATATCCCCCTCGCCTGCCCGCTCTTGCGATACCTACGCGAACAGTATCTGACGAAACCTGGTGGAGGGATAGAAGCAGGAGACGTCAAGACAATCTTAAACACGCCCAGGCTTGCAGTCCGGGCGGCCAAATTCATGCTTCGAACAGGGCTCCTTGGGCAATTTGCAGCCGTACTACAGGACGAAATAGATGTGGCAGAGCACTGAGGTAAAGGGTATTGTTGTGATATGAGGCTGGTGCAGATCAGGAACCAAGCCGAACCATCGGAATTAACCCCGAAGTATGTATACGAAGAATCAACTTGATTGGAAATCAAGTTGATCTTCTCGTTGTATATATAGCCTCATGTTTCCCTCTGAATAATAATAATCAAGCTTCCTTTGAATTACAACAGTTTACAATATCTCTTGGAAATTTTATTACGGAGAGCATGACTGGGTCCCTTTTTAGCATGCGATAAGAGGTTGGAGGGCCGACTCTGGACAGGCTGTATTCCCGTATGGGCTCATTATTTGTTGCTCTATGGTGTGTATCTGTATCGCTTCCATGGACGAAGTCACCCGTCTTCTGACCGTCCGACAACTCGGGTCAGGGAATTGTTCTGGGTTGCGGGCAGGCGAAATAGCCCGACTGCACATAGTTCGACCCCACCCTGGTCGGTCACTGTATATAGGGGGAGTTCATTTGAGAGAGAATGTTGGTGCTGGCTGCTGCAGGGTAACCCGGTCTGTTGATCCCAAGATAAAGGAATAAGTTGTCTAAACAAACTTCCACTCGTAGCTGCATCTGCTAGCGGATGGCGTTGGCAGTTGGACGAATCAGCTGCGCAGTTGAACAGTTTAACTTCAGTGGTTCGGTGAAGTGGGTCTCCATCATGTCCGCGAGTCGAAGACGCGGGATGTGACGCCAAGGTGTGTCGCGCCCTCCCCCTGGTGGTACTATCCTCAGCCTTTGAATCCACCGAAGCCACAAACTTGAGTTTTGGTTTTTTTTTATCGAAGGTGACCGGCATATTCGGATGTAACGTGGGATCTGGCGCTGCTTTGTGACGCGAAAACTTGGTGCAAAACAGCCATGTAGCCATGGCGACAATGTGGTCCAGGCGCTCATAGGGCCAATTTACTAACAATGCGTTTCCAAACCTAGATTTGATTTTGCCCTCAAAGAAAGGGTTCCTTGCGAGCGTTTTCTTTATCTTCCGCGATATGACTCTCCCGCACAGTAATTAACGAGGGAGGGGGTACGCTGAATAAGCATACTCCAACCACCCAGGCAAGCTATAAAAGGTGTCATCTGACTCCTGCACTACAGGGCATATAGTATCGTGGATGACACATAATTCAGGTACGTTAGGCTTGGTGGTTTAAGTCGAGCTCCATACTCACCTGCTCTAGCATCTAGGATCCAAAGCCGCAGAAACCATCTTACATATGGGCATTCGTTCGAACCGGTACACATGTTTCGTGCTTGTGGTAAAAGGCGTCCTGGTGTATATTGACCCGCAGTACCCTAGCTGAGGAACGCCAACGACAAGCTGAGGAACGCCAACGACAAGCTGAGGAACATCAGCAGCAAGCAGAGCAGGAAAGGGACCAGGAAAGAGAGCAAACACGACAAACCACCTTTGCAGAGCTAATTCGATACTGTCACAACTGTACTTCTCTATGCCTGAGAGTCGAAAGTCCGTCCCGTTCTACGACGGGAACGGTTCCGGCGCCTAAGGGGAAGCGCTGTCCGCTGCAACTTCTGCCTTGGACCGAGTGCACAGCCATACAGCAAGAGATCTATCACTCCGTTTGTACTTATTTAGCACCGCCTGGACAACCTGCTGCACAAGTGTATCCGTCGCGTACTGTCCTAAAGGGGTTTGGGGAAGAGTTCAAGAAGAGAGCTATAATCAGTGAGCAGGATCTGCAAAGCTATGAGAGATTCGGGGTGGAGAACCATGTCCGTGATATTATCGCGGAACTCTGCAGGATACGTGCTGCTCGAGAGGAATTTCAGTTAGGCAATGGAATTCAATTCGATAACCACGCAAATGCCCTCGATGCGGTTGACGCCGACCAGTCTAAAACAGATAAATCGGCGAATTCCCGACCGGATCAATATTGCATCCACCGGGTCGACGGTGATAAAAATACAACTATTATGACAGTTGAGTACAAGCCGCCCCATAAACTATCCGTGGAGAATCTTCGAGCGGGTTTGCGACAGATGCAGTTCTGGGATGAAGTGGTCAGACCGGACTCCGTTCCCACGGAGGGGCCTGAGAAACTGAGATATAATGCGGCCTGGCTATCCGGCTCGGCTGTGGTTCAGGAGTATCATGTCATGCTCCAGGAAGGGCTCGAGTACTCATATCTGACTAATGGATTCGCATTGGTTTTGCTGCGGGTCCCCTATGATAATCCGGGCACCTTATACTATCATCTCTGTGAACCCAACATGGAAGTTAACCCGGATGATGAACTGGGTTCTTTACAACAGCCACTAACAGCTGTTGCTCGGGTCTTGTGTTTATGCCTCATGAGTTTCCGCTCACAATATCGTGACCAGGAGTGGCGGAATGCCACAAAGAAGCTGCCAAAATGGAAGACAAGTTTCGATCATACACGTTTCCAGATCCCGGAATCGGAATTGCAACAAAACCCGCCCGATTCAGAATATACAGCATCGGAGTATACGAGCTCCGAACCTACTACATCAGAATATATACCGTCTTCGTCTCCTGCTCCCCCCCCTGCTGACACCCGTCGAATACCCACCCGGTCTCGAGCTAGCTGCGCGTGGCCGAATCTGACACCACGTCATGATTTCTGACTCGGACGTAGATCAAGCTCCAGGAGGAAGAAAGCGTGGCCTCAGTCAGATTGCATCCTCTCCTTCATCTCCATCTGCTCAACGATCAGCACATCTGGCGGGAGATCAATATACCCCAATCGGCAGCCAAGGTCAGCAGCACACCGCACAGTTTTGTACCCAGAAATGTCTACGTAGCCTGCAACGAGGTGGTCAGCTGGATGTTAATTGCCCAAATGTCGTGCTCCACCGACAGGGGGGGGGACAGCAGCCAACACCCCATCAATGCTAAAACGCTGATCGAGCAACTCAAACAGCAACTAGATGAAAATATCGACCGAGACTGTACACCAATGGGGGGTTGTGGCGCATCGGGAGTCCCATTTAAAGTCACCTGTACGGCATATGGATATACTATGGTCGGTAAAGGCACAACTCCCCGACGGTGGGAGGAGGTCAAACGTGAGGAAGTCGTATACCGTGTACTCGACCAAGCACAGGCTTCTGCTGTTCCTGTTTTTCTGGGGGCAATCGATTTGGCCAAATCCTACTTCGTACATGGAGCTGGCGAGATCTGCCACATGCTCATCATGGCCTGGGGGGGTGAGCCCATACATAAGATAGAGCGTGATACTACGATCACACGTGAGATTGCGAGGTCTGAGAAGGAGATCTGTTCCTTGGGAGTCTCACACCAGGACCTCCGGTCGGACAATATTCTGTGGAACGCCGAGCTGGGACGGGCCCTGATCATTGACTTTCACTGCTCGAAACTGAATCACCGACCTATGAAAAGGCGGGTGAAGTCAGCCGGGAAACATTCGTATAGAGAACTGCACAAGCGAAAACGACTTTGTATTGTCTAATAATGAGGGTGAGAGGAATTACACGCCTGTGCATGAACGAGTAATATGGACTGGCAGTAATGTAATAATTGAAAAATCTCAAATAAATGCAGAATAGTTGTTTGTACAGTAGCTGCCTTCATAACTGGAAGTCCTTATGAACAGTGGACCGGATTGTCATAGGCAAAAGAAATGCGGAGGGTCTCTAAATCTCAGTGCGTTAAAAGACACATGATGATGGTTCCTTTGTAGTTAAAGTTGGGATGCATCTTCTTGATAGCGCGAGGACCGGAAAGGAATCCCAAACGGACCAACAGACCGAAAAGGATGGCTGATCAAGACTATGGCTGTTCAAAAGCAGCGGGGCTTAGGAAAATGACGAGAGTTCAAAATGGATTCGGAACTCAAGAAATAAAAGTTGCAGGGTGATATACAAGAGCAATACTCTGTTACTGCAAGCTAAGCTTGAAAAGGAGTCTCGAGATAGGGCCTTGCATTAGCCTGAGGATTACGCAACAAGTTAGCTCAACCTCCAGAAACCAGATCAACCGATTTTACCCGGCCTTATTCTCGAACTACTCGCCAGCGGCCATCAAGCACTCCACCGCCTAATTCACCAGTCACCCGCCTAGGTTGCCGGAACATACGGACGTCCCCTTCCGCCTGCTCTGGGGTTCGACCTCGCTTAGTCATCACTTAGTAGGGCAGTTACACCTAAATAGCTGGCCTACCGGCCACCCAATAGGAGAACAATCGGTCGCTTCCCACAATATACTTATATAACATCGGGCCAGGAAATCCAGCATATGGGACAAAAAGCAGTCACAAGACTGGAGTACTGGAAAAGCGGGTGCGAAGTCAATGCTTTCTACGCTGCTCTCTAAAAGTATTGGTGCTTTGCCACCACCTACTGAAGGGCACCGAACTATCGCGAAAAACTCTTTCGAAAAGAGATTTGAAAAATAAGAGAGCTAGAAATGCAGTCCACAGGATACCTCACATGACTGAGAACGTAATTATGGCAACTCTGCCGGTCGTGGTACCAGTTCCAATAGTACTGCTTTTAACAGTTAAGGAGTGAGGATGATAATTAGGAGGTAGCCATAGCTCTCTTTGACCCTGAATAGTGATCCATCGACCTGCTCCCAGAGATACCTCTTGTCACCTTCTCGGAGGAAGTTGAGAAGCTTCCATAGCAGTTTCGGATATCGAAGGATCCAATGTTAGTAATTAATAGTGGCCGGTGCTCCGAAAATTCAACGTTGGTGACAATACTATCAGTGCGTATGTTATGCTTGAGAGCGCCTGTGGCGGTATCCCACAGCCTGATAGTCTTGTCCCTAGAGCCGGATATCAGCATCTGGCCATCGCCTGAGAAAGCAACTGATGAAATCCACTCAGAATGGCCCTTCAGTATATGCTTAAGAGCACCCGTGGCAGTATTCCATAATCTAATAGTCTTGTCTGCAGAGTCAGATACCAGGAACACGTCTGCCAAATCTACAAGTCAATAAACAGACTGCGGAGAAACACAAACCGAGTCAGCACCCTTTGGGTCCTTGCCAGCGAAGACAACAAGCTGCAGGGCCTGGCTAAAGAGGAGGCCGGGGCCGCGACCCACGAGGACGCGGTCCCACAAGCACAAGTCTCCAGAATGAAGTCAACAACCTAGAACTTGCACAATACCAAACAGCCACCACGGAAGACTTGCCAGATGATGTAGGGAGACAAGGCAGACGAGTGGATGCAGCGCTCTCAGGAAAACACACCCGGTAGCTGTACGATCGACTGTCGTGGAAAGAAGCGAGCGTGCTGGCCCAACTCCGGACCGGCATGGCACGATTAAGTGGGTATCTCCACTGAATCAACGTTGCGCCACCCCAAACCTCGAAGCAATAGGAACTACAATACGGTTTGCAATCGCAACAGGTCGACTCGACGTCACTTTAGCAAGTTAACCAGGTCCGAACACAACCCAACCACTCTTCCCGATCTAACTCACACCAACCACCTTGTGCTAGACACGCTAGACGCGCTTCAACTGCTGATGATAGGATGTTGAACACTTAAAGAAAAACCTTCAAGCCAGCCTACTAACCAAAATACTGACCCACGAGGATCCTCCGCAATAGTGGCAGCTGAGATGACATATACTGAAAGTATTTTCCTATCCGGTTGTATAAGACCAGGAAAGACCAGGCTTTGTCCAAAGCCGATGACATGTGAACTTGGGGGTATTATGGCATGCTGTACTTCCATTTACAGCATAGTATGTCTGAACAAAGGTCTGGCATGAAGAGTCGTTCATAGAAAATCGATCTTTGTCCGCATACCATGTGTCAAAATTGCGCGTCACAGAAATATCTAGTTGCTCTTCCCCTTGAAGAGCGCGTGAGAGCTTGAAACTGCGAGATACCAAAGCGATTGATAAATTTCGTCCATAAAAATTGTCGGTAAACGTAATAGCCGTGTCACCACCTTGGCAATTGGGTTCCGCCCAGGCTTCAAGATGTATTGGTCCGTACATATTCTGCGCACCAGCAGGTAAGAACAGGATCACGAGCATCTGAAACTAATGGGGTCTAATAAACATAGTAGACTCACGAGGGAATTATTCATTGCATCTATATTGGCTCTGGCTAAAGATATAGCACCCAGCATGATCGTCGCTATAGTTAACTGTATATCTGAAAAGTGCAAATGCCACCAGAATCATGAATCATAGATTAGGTGACCAGAGTACTACTTATACTACTATATAGAGAGGAAATGAATACAATGTATTAGCTTGATTATTAATATTAGTTGCGAGCCTGAAAAGGAGCGGCAAACCCCAAAGCTGTTATTTGCGGGTGGCAAGGAGAAACTATCTAATATATAATAGTGGCTAGTCAAGTAGCTTGATTAATAGATATAGATGAACATATCACGCGGCAGTTAGATAAAACCTGCAGGATTTTCACTGATAAGTCTTTATTTAGGTGGATGTCTGTTTCTATATAGTGTATCTGAGGATAAGCCCGCTTTCTGAGACCGTCGCTATGTGAATATAATAAATGCTACAGTATATATCTGATGCTATTTCTGTCAGAGATCTTCTAAAGTATCTCTCAGAAACAAAGATATCTTCTAAGAGTAATTTATAAATACCCGCCTTTCCCTATTACTACAGACCAGGAAACTAAAAGATATCCTCCATGACTGGAAGTCCTTGACTCAGTAAGACATTATCTTACCATGGACAGACCTTGACTTGCACTGATACTGGCTAGTACTACTACCGCTGTACTGTTTTCTCCGAGGACTGTCACGGGCATATATGCTGTATGGTTCTCAGAATTATTTTCTATATATGCCCATCACCCACCCCCTGTTAACCTAAGTCCCGATTTGGGTATCGAGGCTCTAATATTTCTGAGCGGAAGACTGATAATATTTCTGTATTATATAGACATTACTATGCAGACCATTTTTCTATTTAATAAAATAATATTAAATTTTTACTTTAGTCTTTATAGATGATACAGGCGGTACCCAGGTACTTGGTAGTGAGAGGATATATAATAACTGTAGCAGTTATATATAAACTGTTTACTATATTAAAAGTTGACATGATATTTGTCTTTAGTGTAAGCCCGAGCAGATATGGGTTCAGGTCATGGAGTAGGAAAATCATCAGGAATTACTACGGGATAATAAGATATGTTGGGCAGAGGGTGAGTATTAATTTGATTCTTTATATTATTGTATTTACTGATTAATTTCTAGTGTCGGGATAATGTTCTTGATTAATAATTATATACTACGTGATGTCTCTTTCTATAGGTGTCAGTGTGTTCAGAGAATCTATCTGTTAGATGTTGCTTCATCATACCTACAGTATTATAGATTAATAGGCAGATAAAGGAACTACTCTTCTTATCTATACTCTCTTATTATACTCCGGACGAGCCTCAGAAGTATATAACATGTTTTATTAATCTATCTGCTATCCAAAGTCAGTCTTCTTTACTTCCTATGATTCCTAGCCAGCTGTATACAGTTTCCTTAGAAACTTCATGAAATTCAGTGCTACTTGCTTGTTTTTTGTTTTTGGTAAGTCTCGTCTTCTTACTAGCCTGCGCCATTAGGACCGTACGCGAAAATTCCCTATATACCTATATAGGGCGCCAGCATCAGAAACGGGAAAGAGAGGAGGCGAAAAAGAGCTCTATAGTAATCTATATTTATTATATACAGGATTCTTTGATCTATTAGTCCTGCTTGAACATCCTTGACTGTGAGACAGACCGGGTGTGTTATAATAATACTATTATCATCAGCAGAAATATTAGCTGAGAGACTATTTACTGGTACTTATATTCTAATTATAGAAGTATAAATCTAGAGGTATTCTCGGTATTTTCTTCTTTTTGCCTTAAATAATGATTAGTGATTGTCCGCCGGTTATTCCAGACTTGAGTTTATTGGGATACTTGCTATTATTATTTCTTGTTCTGGCTTTTTTTTTCTGGCTTTATAGCTGGAGTTTGCCCTTCCTGGTAGTAAAGCTGTTTTCCAAATATGACTTGTTCAGGTCAATCGCAGTCTGCTATTATGCAGTGTTGGCTGAATCACTTGGTTTTGGTCTTTCTGAAAGTGACTCTAACGGGATATTTGAATGTGGCGGTTTTCTTATTTATATATATACATGCTAGTTTATCTGTGTGATATTAATCTAGTAATGATATTTAGTTAATCTTATATATTTAATCTAGAATTAATCTAACACACTCACTTCTTCCTATGATAATCTTTTATACAGCTGTTGGATATATTTTGCTGGGAGTATTATTTATTTTTTTAGTATATCTTTCTATATCCTCTGACAAGGCTTTTGTGGTGGCTGTTTGAAACTGTGTAGATTTTAATATTATTAAGTTCTTTCTGGAGACTTGTGCTTGTGATATAGTATTCTCATGGGTAGCAGCCCTGGCCTACTCTTTCACTATGAAAGAAAATACTCTAAGATTTTCAAGATCTTTTTTAATTCATGTGCTGCAGATCTCTAAAGCCGGCTCTAAGTTGCTAATAAAGTATTATCAGTATATTTATTATAAAGGAAGAATGACTCTTATATCTATAAGGACTTTTCTAAATAATATAATATTAGTATTTTTATTATTAGCCCTTGTTTCCTGCATCTGCCTGATGATATCATTAACCGCTGACATGCGGCGGCATCGACTTAACAGTACAGAATTGGTCCGAATAACTTTTGAAATCTTTATAATATAGAACATTTTCAAGAACAGATTGTCTCGTAGTGACCGGGCGAGATATTGTGTAAATAGGTAGTAGTCTTTCTTATAGTAAAGACAGTTCTCCTCACATAGAAGCTATTCATAGAAAAGATTATTCTAGTTAATAACAGCTGCTTTGACCATGACTTTCTTAATTAATAATGTTTTTATGTCATGAATCTGGACTATGGCTTCGCTGAGTCGCCTGAATTTGTATTTTAGAGCAAGTATGAGCCATCTTTTTGCTGTACTGTAAAACTGATCATCTAGGATATTATTTATATCGCTTTAGTCGTGCCATTTGTGTAAGACATCAAATAGTTTGAGAGTAATTTCCTGGCTGGGGTTTCGCATATTAAAGATAAAATTCTTGAAATCAGTGAAGCTGATATATTGAAGAGTAGTAGATTCAAGAGGACCGCCTGCTTTAATATAGTTATATTAAGTTTCACAGTCTCTTTGCGTAACCAGCTCCCCAAAGATTATAGCAAGAACATTATATAAGAGAAAAGCAGGATTATTAATCAGATATTGATAGGTAATCAGGTTTATCTTGAAAAATTGTTTTAGTAAAAGTAATATCAGTATGCCTTCTTGAATAATTGTAATAATAATCAAACAATTGGCACCCTTTGCTATATTTTGTATGTTTAAATCCACTGCTCGGCCAAATATTTGGTTTATAACTAGGGACCGCTCAGATAAGTACTAATCAGATTCAACAAATATTGTGAGTTTCATGACATCCACCCGACCTTGGCGTTGCTAGCGCGTTGAACAGGGTATTGAGGCCTATATTCAGGGGGTCTTTCCAAGTAATTAAAACTCACTTTTTTTATCAAAGTCACTGAAAATTGGCCCAGAAATCCTCGCATGAAGTGTATAAAGAAAGAACGAAGACATGTACTCTACTGTGTATGTGGTTTATGTTAACTTTACATACAGAATATAAGGATTCTCCGTGGTAGAAGGGTCCATGAACCTAGGGAGGGGAGGAAAGTTGAAACTAGAATCTATAGGGATGTATTTGGTATCAATACTATGTATATGTGTGTGTGTGTGTGTGGGTTTTTCATAGTCTGATCCCTTGTAAATAAAAGTGATATGCAGGATCTCCTTATTTATCTCTCACGATATATTTCTTATATACATTAAATCATTACTTTTCTGACGGATTTGAGCCTGGTCAAGGCCTATATTGGCCTAGTTGCCTGATGTTTTGTTCTGCGCGCGGCTTCGAAACCTCTGCGACGCTTCTGTAAAGTCAGTATAGCCCCGAGGGTGCTGTGGTCTTGTTCAGCGTCTTGTGCCTTACCTTCCTTACCTTGTTGCCCTCCTAATTTCGGTCAGCCCACCAGTACGTGGACTACCGTCTCGCAAGCTCCACAGACACACCTGTCGTCGACCTGGAAACTGCGTTGTTTCCGGTATGTTGCCAGCCAAGAGTAACCCATCTGAAGTTGTACAAGCAGATATGCTCAATTCTGAGGGAGCGATCTGTACAGTCTTCGGATACAGATTGCCGGCAGGGTTCTGTGATCTGGCGGAGGTGTTTTTTCTTTATATATTTAGTCTACTTATTCTTTCACTCGTTTAGTATTCTCTTCCGGATGAAGTCAATTTCTCGTGAGAGAAGGGACTGAAAGAAGTATATTTTTTTCGGGCTGACTGCTTTCTTTGCCAGTTAGTCAGTCTTGTTGTTTCCAGGGTTATCACAATGCCCCAGCACCCATTGGAGATGAATGGGAATCCCTTGTACTTTTATTTCGGAGGCTGCCTGCAGGATGGCTCAGATGATTCGCCGGCTGGACTTATTAGACAGGTTACGAATTGCTTGTAGCGCTGACATGCTATCACTTAAAATAATTATGGGTTGTTTTACTCTGTCTAAACAGCCTTGCTCTTTCTGGGCTACTTGAAAGATCAGGCTGATAGGATAGAAGATTGCCATAAGCTTGGCTGCGTAGACTGATTATTATTCTATTGAGCTGATACTGATTAATTGAGACCCTGTTAACTGCTGGTTGTGAGCAAGAGCTACTGCTACAGCTTTTAGTTTATTTTCTTTTCCTGAAGCATCAGAGAAGACTGTGATACTGGTTGAGGATTGTTGTATCTGTGTATTGGCCTGCGCTTTCTCCTGATCAGGTTTGATCGCGATTTCCGTAATGGGCTGGTTCCGCCATGGCTCATGTGGTTTTCCAAGGCTTGTAACCGCCCCAGGTTCATGGTTTGTAATGTTTCGGCTAGGGGAAAGCGGGCCTTCCTGTGGGTATAGGTGCTGTGTTCCTTTTGCTTGGTTTATTACTTTGTGAACCGGGTGGTCATCTGGCAGGGTGTTGAGGTGAGCAGATATAATGTGTTCCCGCTGTTTGAGTTGCAAGTGAGTTAGCAGAGTATAGGACTCAACTTCTAGTGTGGTTATAGATACTGTCCGGAAGGCTGAAAGGATTCGGATAAGAGCTGTTCTTTGTACTGTCTCCAGAAGTTGCAGGTGTATTAGACTGAGAGTATCTTACATAACCCTAATCAATCCCATTAGGGTTGTGTTGTGTTGGGCTGACGCATAATTCCCTGCTGGTGCTCGGAGGTTATTTATTGCCTGATTAGTTCGAGGGGTTCTTACTGTGTTCTTACTGTGTAGTAAGACCTGAATTCCCAACCCTGTTTTGCCTTTGGCGCAGCATAACTCAGCTCCACGCTGAAGAGGGATTGACCAGGCTGCATGTGATTATGTGTTTTTCATGATGTGATGATCGCCTTTTGAGGTGTCTGATTGTGGTTAATGGGAGACCTAGTAGGGAGCTGGATGACCTGCAGACCAGGAATAAAGCAAATAAAGCGGGTCACAGAAAGGGGAAAAGGAAAAGGAAAAGATAGAAATAAAGGAGCAAGTAGGGAAGTGAGAGAGATGAGGTAAAGAGGCAAGGAATAGTGAAGATATAGTTAAAAGATGGCGAGAGATGGGGAAAGATGATAAAGGAATCACTGAGTAAACACAGTCAAATATTTGCGATACCGTCTCCGGGAACGGGATGCGCAATCTGTGCGGGCATTAGTCTGTTCAGATGCCCAGGCGGGCGCGTCACTTCACCGCCTTCTGGTCGGTCCCTCTAATTGATTTGTTGTTCTGGGCCATCAACATATGCTGATGCTCGGGTAGGCCCGGGACTAGTCCTTATGAGGAAGCTGTCCAGGGGTTCAACTTGAAGCCCGCCTGGGGATTCCGTATGCGCACCGAAGGAATATTATGTCCTCGGTTTTCAACCTCTGGGCTTAGGGCGTAAAATAACGAGATCCACACATGGTTATACTGGCTTCAGAATAAGATGTTCCCCAAATTACCAGGGAAGCAAGCTTTATCGCGAGGGTCGATGGTTGTGTATATCAACAGTCTCTGTACGTGAAGGGGTCCACTATATATATGCATCGTGATATACCACCCATAATGACCAAAACCAGCTACTCCAAAGTGTCAAGCACAACCGGCTTTTGGTGATTCTACGAGACATAAAAATTAACAGCTTGAATACACTATCGCGATCTGACAGGCTGGTCTGCCAACATGTTCGCTATTATGGTCGGAATCCAGGTAAGTGAGAATCATGTTAAACCAATTCCATCAACTCACGTCTGGGGAGGACACCCACAATGATAATCCAGATTGGGATGAGGAAGCGTGTCCTGACGTGAGTGTTTTGGAAGGCACTGTCTTCATTTTTCTCACTTCCGTATTGTAGCTGGTCAACAGTCTTGGTAAAGTATTGCAGCGGATCGGACAACTTGATAGTATGCAGAAAGCGGAAGTCCTGATGCGGGCTCAACAAGGAGGATTTAATCAAATGGGAGACCTTGAGCACCAAGCAGAAGATCATATCCCCTAATACACGGGGCTATTGCGTGAACACCATCCAGGTAGCCAATGTCCGCCATAGGCTTGAAAACGCCGGCTTTGTGGATCGGTTTGAAATGCGAGAGGCCAACCAGGACGAACCTTCAGTGCTCCCAGGTAGGAAACGTGTTCATCCTGTTATTTTCCTAGCACTCCTGATCAGACCAGGCTAACTATTATCTTTTCCGAAGAAAATAGTACCATGGTCGCCACTCGGCTCACTCCAACACCTCCCTTTGTCCCGTACCTACCAATGAGTGGACCCAAGTCATTAAACCCTGCAGATAGCATCCTACTGTACGTCGCCCCTATTCCATGGATGGGCAATGAACACAGCCACGGTCATTGCCCAGGCGGCCGAACGGGGCAACGCTTGGACGTGGATATGACACCTGTTGAAAGCGCACTTTTCACTCCGCCAAGTAGAACTCCTCTCACCTCCCATCTAAGCCCTGGAATTGCTGCGCCCGCAAAGACTGTTTCCACACCTGGGATCTATGGGAAAGCTTCCTGCCATTCGACACCTCCCACTATGGGTGGTGGCTCTTCCCCTGGGGAGAGACGCGCAGATTTTGGACGCGCTATACGGAACCAACCAAGCGCAACGACAGGAGTATTGAAACCCAATCCAACAATTATCCACTTACTGCAATCCTGTGTAGATTGTGGAAAGGAAGTGCCCAAAGAGGTGTTCAGAAGATCTTGAAAGCGGAAAGGTATCTTATCCCCACAGACTGCTCGTGGACTACTTCGGCCCCTCTTGGGTGTGTGGGATAAACATATGTCGCTCGGCCTGCACACACTTATGCTACCCGTCGTCTGGCAAGGTCTGCAAGGAATAGTGAACTACCTTCGAGTTCTCGACACGGACGAGAGAGATCGGTTCCTTGATCCGTTGCAAAGCGTATTGGACTGGTCTTACTCTACTTCAACTACAAGGAACTCTGTGAGCATCCCGAAAAATACTGTCCTGGCCCCATACAGAAGCCACCCAGGTCTTATGTCTCCAACTGTATCCTGGATGCATACTGTGATAATCCTCGAACATCCAAGCCACCAAAAGCCTGTCGTGATAAGATATCAGGGAATTATGTGAAACGCGGGAAGTGGTGGTGGATGCTTGCAGGGACACTGGGAGTAGGCATCCTGTTGATCGGGGACGATCGCCTTATGAAAACCATGTGAGTCTCCTAAACACATGCAATCTTCAGCTTACTCATTTCTCCTAGAAACAATATGACATTCTCAGGCCATGAGATTGATGTCCTCGTCACGTTGGCCCTGAATACTAGACCAGGCACTGTACGCGTTTTCCACACATTGGAGCCCAGGCAGCCGTGCCCACTTACGAGAGAGGAGCATATTGGGTGGGACCTTTTGAGCATGCTGATGCAGCGCAGAGAGTCCTGAACTTCCTTATGACAGAGTGATGCCGCTTGGAATATGAGTATAGCCACTCTCCATCCTCAGCAAGTCGGAATATTCAGTTCTGGTGAAAGGCGGCTATATTCTCAATGCGCTCCCCAGTAACACCAGACGGGCAGTATCCAGCCTCACAGTGGATGAAGAGTCGGAGAGCAGTTTGAAATCCCGGTAACAGCCATAGCGTTCTAGTTCGCATTTGGTTACTCTGCTGATGCTGAAGAGAACATACTATCCATTGCTATCTATACTACGGCTCTCACACTAATATGGTTATCATTCTTAGATTGTCCTCCTTACCAAAAGAGCTATTATGTGAACTACTGAGAAAGCACAATCTTTTTGGCACTACCTATGTGGTGAAGGTTTCTTCCTCTGGAATTGATGTGCAAAGCTTAGTTGAAGTAGACGAGGATTTGAGCTTCGGAGTGGCAAGAAGGCTCGGTGCAAGCAGAAATATCTTTTATTGATTACGACACTGTTCTGATTTAGCTGACGTAGCTTATGGACCAATGCGTTTGTCTAAGAACACACTAACGGACAAAGAAGGCTTGCTCTATACGTAAAAGCAGAGAATCATCCAAACCTGAGAAGGCTGGATATCAGTTTCTACAATAAGATAAATATAACGTGCTGGTACGGTCATATAATGTGTGAGTGAACCCTCGTACAACGGTTCTCTAGCACATGTTTACATGGTTCAGAAGGATGGCTTTCTCCTTAACCAGTTTCATCCCACAGACGTTACACTCAGCCCGATAGCCGGCGAGGCGGGATTGACATATTTTCGTAAAAGAAGCCGCTTGCAAGAACGAATTGAGATTGACTTGGTTGCGTAGCTCTGTCAATATGACCTTCAAACTCCGGCACTGGCATCATTCCGGCATTCTTGATCCTCGGCAAACACAGTGGATACTCCTATAGGGAAATCCCATTTATCGCGACGTTATTCGCCCGAGTGGCGTTAAGAAAATGAGGGATCCTGCCCACAGCATAGTAGGGCTACCATTCCATAGTGAGGTTTGGGATTCGAGTGAAAAATGTGGCGGTAAGACTTGTCTCCAACACCACTGTGCCGGCGAGGTCTTGCGGTAGCAATATCTCTATGCCGCTTTCTCGGTGTCTAATCCATGTGTTATATGCTGCCTACAGGTTGGAATAGATGAGGTTTCCTTTCCTCTATTTGTATTTAGAAGATCGCAATGCCGGTTGTGATGTATTCGAGCGGCTAACCATCTCCGCAGCAATGAACTCCCGTTCGCCTTCTCGGACAGACTCGGTCACTGTCTCCGCCTCGAGTTTGGGGTCGATTGCCGGGCAGAGTCGTTACATACAGATGCTGTTGGAAGTCGACCATATGCCATGGATCTACAATATCATTGCCAGCGTCGCACACTGGGTGCTTCTTGCGGGATATCTAGTCTCCTGGAACATTTACCTCCTTGCAGAAGTTGGGAAAACTCGTGCAGGCTCTAAATGACAACGGTGCTAACAAGGCACTTTTAAAAAGAATTCAGAACCCACCCCTACTCGCGATTGCCTGTGTGTTCTTTGCATTAGGGGCTGCGCTTCTGACGTGGCTTTGTTGGAAGTGGCGCAGCAATTACATCTAGCTTGTAGGTCGAGTATTCCTGTACGCAGACCCATTATTCGTACTCGAATTGTGCTGAAGCAAAACTGATTGGGGTTTAGGCCGGTTACGATGAATGCAGCTGCGGGCCTCGCAACAACATTGATCAATGTATACACCGCGCAATCGGGCACTTGGTCGATTATGGCTCTGGTCACCACGGTGATGGTCGGAAGTGCCTTTTTCGTCGCTGCTGACGATCCTGTATGAATACATTTTGTTGGAGAAGGTCGAGGAGGAGCACGAGATGGAAATGCGTACAAGCGCCTCCATTGACTGGCGATGAGACTTAAAACTCGCGAGATTTGGCCCTTGTCAGAGAGTGTCTATCACTCGAATGCTGGCAGGTTTTGCGTGGAACTGCTAATAGATTTCGCTCTCATACGCATGGCCAACTTACAGACATTGTTTGACTGACCAATCCTTGATCAATCATGCGTTTCGTGCTTGTACATAGTGTTTATGTACGTATAAATCGTCATTGGCGAGCTTGGGCTGTCAGTCTGGGTATGGACCTTCTTGCCTCCCCTAATTCACCCTCAGGTACGGCTGATGGCTTGCTTTGTTTTCCATTATTTGTTGTTCTGACCTTATTGCTACTGGCTATCTTAGTACAGTTGATCAGATCTGTTGTGTTGCAACTTGAAAAGTGTGACTCTAATCTCCATGGGGTGGTATACCGCCTGGTAGAGGGATTAAGACTTCTTGATCTGGAGAATAATAAAAGAATATTAAATAGACTAGTGGGATAAGCTAGTCTACAGGCTAATTTTTATAGTGTATCTGTTACAGTTCTTGTCTTTGACTACTGCTGATTAAAGATAGAGTACTCTATTAACTGACTTATAACTTTCTCTGGGCTAGAATCGCGCTGGGAAAAGGAAGTATAATAAATGAATGAAAAGAGGATATATGGAGGTGGGGGGTATAGGGGTGAGGCATAGAAGTCTAATAAAAAGAGTGGCTACTGGCTAACTTGACTATATTTAATTAAATGGCTTACGCATGGCCGCAGCGTAACCTAAATGGGTTTAAGACTGATGTCAGAGTTTAAATTCCGAAGATACTAAGTTGAGCTAAGCTAATCTATTTAATCCTGATTTTTATAATATTTCCATAAAACTTCCCAGTATGACTGCTGGGAAATGCGAGGGTATATAATCCCTTTGCTGTGTAGGGCAGCCACTGAGCCAAGATAGTCTCTTCTGGTTGGGTGAGATGAGTGTATTAAATCTTGATGTCAGTATGAAGTATTATCTGATATTTTCTATTGGTTAATATCCATCTTAGACCCTGATGGTGATAAGCGGTATAATCTGGCACCTTCTGTTAGTAATGTTCCAGTCTGTCTCCATCTGGTGCGGGCCTGATGATCATCAATTCGGTCTTGCTGCAAGAGACCAGGAGCGTGCCGCCTCTCGCCACTGCCGATGGGATGCCTCCACCCACTGGTGACTGACTGGGCCACGAACTCCATGAACACTTGTTCATGGCGGGTAGTAGTAAGGTACATTCAGGTACCCCGTACTGTCTACACAAAATTAGTGTGGCCCAGCGAGGCATATCCCCCCAACTAGGACTACTTCCATACAATATCGAGGCCAAAGTACGGTACTGGGTCCCCGAAGGTACCCAGCGGCATGGTGGGCTAATCCAAAGAGGCAGTCGAGACAGGGCCAACTCCAGTTATTCGGATCTTTTGTCTAAGGCCTTAGAAGGGAAGTTGGATATTTGTAAAGACTTGGTTTGGTACAGCTTGACTCTTCCCAGTTTAGTCCCGGAAGTAATCTGCCAGGTTGAATGTATAAAATTGGGCTCTGCCGGCTCCGACACTCGCGGCCGAAAAGAGAGTTCCCCAATTCACGTTAGCGCCAAGGCTGGTGATTGGGCGGATGGAAGTGCCACCAGCGACAGGCCGGGCCAAGGCTGGGGCAGCCCGCAGGCTTGTCCACTTCGTGGTACCCGATCGATACGCTGGTACGCGTTTGGTTCTTCTTACTGAGAGTTACCTACTCCGTGACCGATGGGATTCCCCTGCTCTGCCTTAAAAATATGGTAATAATATAAGAAATGATAAAAAGACTAACATTGCGTGCGCGGTTCCCCTCTATTCGAACAGATTCTAACCCATTTTACTATGACAGATTTATATGTCCGATTATTTAACATTCGACTTTGCCATTTCGATTGCAGATTCTCGTTGAATAATACTAGTAATAAATAAAAATAAAAACAAGATACTTTTCGATTTCAGAAGAGTAATTAGACCAATTGTAATAAACTTCGCTCTGTTAGGTAGCTCCCCGACTGGAATCTTCGATGGGCTGCGGAAATATGTCGCAGTCTCTCCTAATTTTCCCCCAATAATTCTTTTTTTTTCGATACGGATGCAGGACAGATGGGGCTCAGAAAAGGCAACCACTACTACTGGGCCACCCGCCCATATATAAATCTAACATCTAGAACTATCACGGCAAAGGGACGATGACCACCACCACCACGACTAACACTTACCCGTCACCACCATTTCCCACCCTCTTCAGCCTCGGGCCGCAGTGTCAATTCAGCTGAACTTTTCCCATCGACAATATACCCTATTGTAAAAGGGAGGGAAAGGCAGGGGGTGGCGTTCTCGATTTTATCGACCCCGTTTCCACGCTATTGCCATCCTCTCCCGCCAACCGACCCCACCTGGCGACTCCTGTATCCGTTCCCTCGAGTCGCTGTCCCTTCGCCTCTTGGTCTTATACTCCCTCTACTCAAAGGCGACTTCCCCTCGTGGTCGTCTTGTTGTTTTCATCCGTCTTCACATATGTCTGGGTCGCACTCCTCCCGCTTTCTAGCTCCAGCTCCTGGTCAGCCCCCGAATGCTAGGGTTCCGGACAATGTAGTTCAGTGTCGCAAGCACAAGACCGCCGCCTGCAAGGCATGTAAGCAGAAGAAGCTCAAGGTGGGATTCTTTTACTAAGCCCGTCGTTACTGGTATCTTATACTATTATATTAAAGTGTCTTTCGTCGGCTGACCCCCCGTAAGTGCAGAGGTGATCCACCATGTCAATACTGTGTGGCAAACAGTATCCCATGTCTGGTCGACGAGATGGCTGACATGCGCCGTAAATATACCATGAAGCACAAGCTAGAGCATCTAGAACAAGCTGAAGAGACTCTGTTATAGTTGATTGATGCTCTGCGGAAGAATGAGGATAAATGCCTGGGACAGCTCCTGAATCTTATCCAGAGTAATATCTTCTTTGAGGAACTCTAAATATTTCTGGAGTATTAATTTATCGGGTATAAAATCAAATAGTTCCTAGAATTATATAAGATCTAAAGCCAGATCTCTCGTCCTTCTAATAATGGTGATGAGGAGTAACTGCCTTTCAAATTTAAAACTCTTGTTATATTCTGGATATCTGCTGTCTTGCTGATAGTCTTGTTTATTAAGTCCCTGCGAAGCCATGGACTATTATTATTGATAATAATAATCTTGTATTCTAATCTTATTTTGCTGTAGCTAATATAGATCTATTTCTTCTTTTACTGTTTGGATAAGGATGTTTTCCTCCGGGATATGTGGGCTGAAAATCTGTAGTACTGGTTCTGTTTGTGCTTCTTGGTAAATGCTATTCTCTGAGGCCAGTGTAGGTGCACCTGATTATTTTGGAGATAATTAATTTACTGTAGTATAAAATTAATTTGGTACTGTTCTTAGTATTACTCTAATTATACTAAAGTATTTACTGTTCCTCATGACATGCTTACACGGGGAGACTATTTTTACGAAAAAGTCCGTTGGCTTCTGGGAAGAGGAGGAAGAGATGACAGTTCTGATTATTTAAAAATTCCTGGTTTTATTTATTTGGTAGATGGTTTGAATGGTATATAATACAGGCTATACTAATATTGCTGGACTTGCAGAATGGTTCTGATAGATAAAGACCGGTTAGGCTGGACATATCTAGATCTAGCTATTTAAATAGCAGATAAGTATGCAGAAAGCCATCTACCCGGCAGAAGCCGGATATTACAGTTAAGAATGTTATAAACAGAAGTCTCTGGGGAGTTTTTAATCTTACTTTATAAGTTATCCTCCTTTTCCTCCGGAAGACGTCTGCTGATTATGATTGGGGTACAGAACGGTAATAGTGTCGCTGATGAATCATATCAATGTCAAACCTTCGCAGCGTCCGCGTATCCCCGTAACCCATGGCGATGCGCATGATGTCTGGTATCCATACCTGCGAGAGGTGGACGCCGTTCGCGGCCATCACGATTGCGTATTCAACCGCTGGTGCAATTTTTGCTGTATCATGATACAGATCAGCATGGGTTTTCACGATGTAGAGCACCTTGTTGCCCCTTCACAGATAATTAGATTCGTTGATAGCATCTATAAACAGCTCCAGGAGTGGCATGTGCATTTATTACTATACTTAAGCACGGAAGTGGTGACTGTTCTCTATATTCTGGAGTCTTCAGTAAGTATCTTGTTATACTATAATATTCTTTTATGTCACTGGGCTTACTAATTTCTTCTGTAGTATGTTTTACCACACCACTGTTATCAGATTTTAGATTTCTATGGTCTAACCGTGAGATTGCTCTTGATGTATCTGCTGCTGTCCATACGCGAGAGCTCTGCCTGTCATCAGCGTGCTGGGTGGCAGTGCTGCTGCGAGTTCATCGCGACAAGTAGGGCATTGACTGAATAGTGCTGTTAATAATCCAGTGATACAGCATCAGCATGTTTACTCTCACAAGTCCCGGACTCTGCCAAGAACTGTAACGCCTTTATTAAGCTTTATATTATTATCCAGGTATTTTCGCGACGCTTTCTTCTAGCCAAGGGAATTCTATGAATGGTCCAGCTATAAATAAACCAGATGCAGGTAGCACTTTCCGAGGTGACAGATATACTATTTTCTGATTTTAAGATATTGGGCTGGAAGAAGTATAATATATAGGAGTTCAGTAGCTTCTACTTTTATTTCAGCTTGGCTATGCAGCAGGGGCCGGCCTGCCAGGGAGAGATAGATATAGATTAATTTCAGGTTAAATAAGATACTTTCTGTTTTTTCTAAGTAGAGCAAGGTCCGGATGTGTCAGCGGCTGATGTAGAGTAAAACAGCTTAGTTAATGGATAATAGTATCACCAGCCATCTTTTTCTCATCTGAAAATTCATGACGAAGTAATGAACAATTACTGAGTAATCTATCTATATATGCAGATTATTGATCACGCGGATTATTTGTTTCAATGTCATGTGGCTGAGAGACAAGCGGGAGCCGGATACTATAGAAAGATTAGAAATATTTTCTGAATTAAACATGGCTGATCCTGGAAGAATCCTGATCCAGAGTGTTTTGTCAAAATATCTTTTATAAATTTTAATAATAGGGATATCATGGTGTTTCTTTTTTATATATTATAGAAGATTGGAGGGCCTATTCTAGATAGTCTATATTATTTTATTAATTTATTATTTTCTAGTTTTGAGATATTTTTATTACCTCTGTGGACAAGGCTATCTATCCTGTGACGGTCTGTAACACAGGTCAGAGAATTCATCCCTGTTATTTCAGGCTGCGGGCGGGTGTAATAACTTTATTATATATGGTTTATCTACATCCTGGTGCGGTTACCGTTTACTGCTACAAGGATCAGTAAGATTATATTCAGTTTCTAGTCTGTCCATGCCTAGAACTATAATAGGAGCGGTACCAAAGCTGGTAATTAGCTGAATAAGAGTAGTGCCATGACTGGTAATCAGTTTAACAGGAGCAGTGCCATGGCTGGTAGTAGACTTGATAAAAATAATACTATGGCTGGTACTGAGTTTCACAGGAATAACTATTCCAGTTAAATTGGGCTTGGGATGAGATGCAGTACCAGTCAGCTTAGGCTTCCCAGTAGGAAAAGTAATAGGAAGGGGAGGAGAAGCCGTACCAGTAATAATAATTATTATCTAAGTATTAGAAATAATAGTAAGCAGGGTACTAGAGCAAATCTCTTATTAAAGTAATTAGTATTAATTATAATTCTAACTTTAGACTTACCAGCAGACTTAAGATAATTAAACTTTATATTAATATAGTTAAGAGAATTAGTATCAGAATAGATTCTAGTATATTTCTTTACCGCGGGTAATGACTCCTGCCAGAGCTAGATTAGTAAAGATTAGAAGTATAATATCTTTCTTGATTATCTTATTTATAAATACACAGTCCAGTTAATGAAAGTAAATATTATAATATAATCTTTTAGGCCAAATGAGCGGAAAGTAAAACAGTAACTAATTTCTAGATATAATATAAAAAAGAAAAAAAGATATATTAAAAGAATAGAAAAGTCTACTTTTTAAATCTTTTATTAATAAAATTTCTAACTATTTCCGTGAGCGCAGCTCGTGTATAATAGTGATGATATTATAGTAGGATCCAGTAAAAAACAGATCATGGTATAATAAATACTCAGAAGAAAAATACTAGATTTACTGCTTAATACCAGTATCTAGTAAGCTATATAGTAGATAATAGTTAAATAAAATATATATAATAAAGAAATTAATATAATAAGACAAGGAGAGTCCTCCGCTTGAATAAAATATTAAAAAATATTATATTCTGTTTATTATTAAAATTAAGGCTTATAATACTTACATCAGAGTCTTCAAGATGTGAATCTGGAAGTTCAATCAGTAAAAGAATATACTAGTAATATTATTACTTTAATATAGAACTTCTATACAGTGTAGCAAGTTCCTCGTACCGAAAGACCTATGTAAAGATCTAGAAAATAAGAAAAGTGAATGGCTGATTATTATTTAATTTTGGCAGATGATAACTGCGAGGTATATATTCTTAGATTAACTAGACTCTTTAGTTATCTTTTAAGCTGTAGAATATTATAGGCTTCTGAAATATCTACAGGCTTCAAAAGACTACCTGCTCTATGAATAATATATTCATGGAGTCTGTGGCCCAGTCAGTTACCAGTAGATGGAAATATTCTATTAGTAGTAGTAAGAAACAGCACACTCCTGGTCTCTTGCAGTAAGACTGAATTAATGATTATCAGGCCCGCACCAGATGGAGACAGACTGGAATATTATTAATAAAAAGTACTAGATTATACTGCTTATCACTGTCAGAGTCTAAGGTGGATGTTAACTAATAAAAAATATTAGATAGTATTTTATACTAATATCAAGATTTAATATATTTATCTTATTTAATCAGAAGAAACTATCTTAACTCAGTAACTATTCTATATAATGAAGGAATTATGTACCCTCGCATTTTCTAGCAGTTATACTGGGGAGTTTTATAAAAATATTATAAAGATTAGAATTAAATAAATTAACTTAGCTTAACTTAGTATCTTCAGAATTTAAACTCTGACATCGGTCTTGAACCCATTTAGGTTATGCTGCGGCTATGCGTAAGCTATTAGTTAGATATAGTTAAGTTAGCTAGTAACTACTTTTTTTATTAGATTTTTATACCTTATCTTTATACTCTCTATCTTTATATATTTTTTTTTTATTTATTTATTATACTTTCTTTTCCCAGCGCGATTCTAGCCCAGAGGAAGTTATAAATCAGCTAATAAAATACTCTATTTTTAATCAGCAGTAGTCAAAGACAAGAATTATAATAGGTATATTATAAAGATTAGCCTGTAGACTAGCTTATTCTACTAATCTATTTAATATTCTTTTATCATTCTCCAGATTAAGGAGTCTTAATCCCTCTGCCAGGCGGTATACTATTCCATGGAGATTAGAGTCATACTTTTCGAGTTACAACGCAACAGATCCGATCAACTGTACTAAGGTAGCCAGTGGCAATAAGGTCAGAATAATAAATAGTGGAAAATGAAGTAAGCCATCAGCCGTACCTGAGGGTGAATTGGGGGAGGCAAGAAAGTCTATACCCAGACTGATAGCCCAAGCTCGCTAATAATAATTTATATATACCATGGTTTGTTTCTATTGGCTGATTGTCATGTTATATTAAATATTACTGTAATGTATCCTGCTGCAAGGCTGACATCCACTGGTTTCACTCTCATAGACATTGCCGCTAATAGTCAAGCTGGTAGTAGTAATAGTATTACTCTGTCTGCTTTATTAGCTTATTTATAATTAACTAACTTCTTCTTCTATTATTCTTCTTTTCTGGCTCTCCATTTATCTCTTTCTTTTAATACCTGATTAAGATCTTACTTTGTAGTGCTAGTAGTTTCTGTTATTCTATCTATTCTTTACCTGGTACTTAACTTTTCTTAT